AAAAATACTGTTCGATAAATCAAGGAAATAAAATATTCATTTTCAAAGTTTCCCTATGCGACACTGACATAATATTCTTAACAAAAAAAATACGAAATGATTCCCTTAAAAAAGAGGTTAATTTATAGAAATGTCATTAAATTCGGAATTATTTGTTTTTATGACGTTTCAACGCTATATTGATCTGGAGATTTCGACCTTATTGCAATGGGAATGTTCAAAACTCATTTCCAGGGAATGGGTACCAAATCATTGCACTAAACTGTACTTATTCAAATAAAGATTTTTATGGCGACAAACAATGGAGGTCCTACATGTATTTTATGGACGGTACAGGAAAAATCTTTTTTCTTTTCTATGATTTGTAGTAGTACACAAAACCAAAAAGCGTCAATATTTTTCTTTAAGTTTAAGCAAAACAGGTTAATGCTGTAAGAATTCCAAGATCCAGATTATTATTATGTTTTTTATATTTCAGGTTCATTATGCAAAGCGCGTTTCGCGAACATGCGCGACCAGATGCGGAGAAAGCACAAGGAGAGGCTGAAAAGTCAGAATCACATGACGCAAATTAGAAGCTACAAGTACGAAGAGGAGCTGGCCTTCACGATACCGTTCTTCAGGGACATAGAACCGCAGAACGCCGACGATTACGCCGACTACCTTGAAGAAGAGGCGAACAAATGCGAAGTTGAAATGCCGAGAGAGGTCTTTATCAACGAAAACGGGGAATTCGAACACGACACTAAAGATTTAAACCTTGAATTCAGGAAAAGGAACGACACAACAGCCAATAGCAGAGACGTAAACGACAGCATTATCCAAGAGCTAAATACTACAGATCCATTAGACGTTTTTCTCTTAACTATAGGCACGACGCTGAGGAAGTTCACGCCGTATTATTTGAACCAAGCGAAATCGAAAATATTTCAAGTGGTGCAAGATTATGAATTGGAACAGATTATGAACAAGGAAGGACGCAGTGCACAGAGCGGTGATAAAAGATGAAAGGAAATACAGAGGTTATTACTTGTTAAACTTGATGAAGGAATAGTTGTCATTAAATAGGTTAAGTTTATTGATAATAAAGACTATTATTTTTATTACAATTTTGGTGTATTTGTTTATTTCCTGTCCTTTTTTTTTGTTCATCAATCATCATCATCATCAACAGCCTATCTTAGTCCACTGCTGGACATAGGCCTCTCCAAATGCACGCCACTCAGATCGATCTTGGGCTACTCGCATCCAGCTCCTGCCAGCCATCTTGCGCAAATCGTCACTCCATCGTGCCTGAGGACGTCCCACACTACGTTTGCCTAGACGCGGTCTACACTCCAGAACTCGACCCCAACGGTTATCGGTTCTTCGGCAAATATGGCCAGCCCACTGCCACTTCAACTTGCTAATCCGGTGGGCTATGTCGATAACTCTGGTTCTCTGTCGGTTTACCTCATTTCTGATGCGATCCTTCAGAGAAACGCCGAGCATAGCCCTTTCCATAGCGCGCTGAGCGACTTTGAACCTGTGGACCAGCCGTACCGTCAGTGTCCACGTCTCGGCTCCTTCTGTTTTTTTTGTTACGCTGTCTAAACTCTATTTACAGACGTTGGCGCCCTTAAGGGGCACTCCAACGAACGGACCTCATGTCTAGCATCTCGCAAGACTCCCGGAAACGAAACGGAGAAGCCGTTGAGCAGTCCGCGCGGTTTACGAGCGTTTTCGGCATACTATCCGATTATAAAACCCGCGAATACCCTCTACGCTGAGATCCCCGTTTAGGGGTTTCACCGCGTCTATCTTTAGGTATTGGCATATAATAGGGATAATGATGGGGTGAAGTAAACGGAATTTTGACGACCTCCGTGGTCGAGTGGTTTGTACGCCGGGTTTCATGGTCTCGGGTTCGAATTCCGGTGGGGGCAGATGTTTGTGTGATGAATACGAGCATTTGTACTCCAGTCATGGATGTTTATTATGTAACTCTATATAAATATACTTACGAGTATATATGTACAGTATATGTATTCTATCCGTTACACTAGTATCCCATAACACAAGCCTTACAGTGCTTACTTTGGGGCTAGGCTAATTGGTGTGAGTGTTGGAAATATTTATTTATTATTTAGTCTATCCAGTTAGATTAGGTATCAATAAATAATGGACACTTTTTTTCTTTTCTGAATCAACCAAAAAATGACAAAGGCAGTGACGTACGTCATTTCTAAGTAAAAATTGTACCAAGAAGATTATGACGTGTCGGGCAACATTACACTAATATTATAAAGGCGAAAGTTTGTGAGTGTGTATGTATTACTTCTTCACGTCTAAACGGCTGGAGCGAGATTAATAAAATTTGGTATGGAGTTAGCTGACACCCTAGATTAACACAAATGCTACATTTTACTGCGGGAAAATATCAAATTCCCATGGGATATTTGATGTATTTATTTTCCCTAATAAACCGCGGGTTACACCGCGGGGCAAAGCAAGTTTGAAATAAATATAATCTCTCTGTAATTTTATATGATTATGTGAAAAGAGACAAAATATTTATCGAATACTTTTTAATAATCTACCTGCCAGGCGAAGAAAAAAAGTTTTTCATCCTCCCTATACAAACTATATTTAGCAATAGCGCGTAGCTGGACTACACTCGCTTAAAATGATTTCTGATAATAGAAAGGATTTACTTATTATTATACCCTTAAACTATTTCTGGTGGCAAAAAAGCATAAAAATGTCTAATGATTATAGCAAGCACTATAGCTAGAATGTTAGCGCGTTCGGCTGCGACCGTTGAAGTTAAGCAAATTTCGCAGTGGTCGTTCATTGGATGGGTGACCAAAAATCTTCTATTCGAGTTCCTCCGTGCTTCGGAAGGCACGTTAAGCTGTTGGTTGGGCTGCATGTGCAGTCGTTAGCACCCGCCAATCCGCACTGTGCCCGCGTGGTGGGTCATTGCCCAAACTCCCGATTCCATCCATAGGTTGTGCCCTAGCAGTGGGAATATTAACTTTTAGTCCGCGTTTTGGAATAAGGCGCAATGCGTTTCAAAGCACCACAGCATGTGTTTGTATGTTTAGCGCCATCTGTTAGCTTGGTGTAGAACTATAAGAAATGAAAATTTGTTCCGTTTCGCATTTTCTGTGAGAGAGTGTTTTGTTTAAATCTCTAAGATTAAATTATAATAAGACAGTACGATTTTTCTATTGCCACGCAGGTAGGTACAGGTACGTACCTGGGCGTTTTTCCCCGCCCCACACGACAACGGCTAACTAGAGCCGAGGTCCGAGTCTCAGAGACGCCTTCTAGTTGAGCCAACCCCCTCAGGTTCGAATGGTCTAGAGGCTCCATACGGAGAAGAGACTCTCCCGTGGGGAGATGCCATCCGCCTGGAATACCTCTAAAGGCACTTACCAATTCTTGGCTTGAGGTCCCCTTAGGTTCTCGCCGTCCCCAAACACGGTGACGCTGTAAAGGTCATCTGCGACAAACAGCATACATATTAAAAAAAAAACAACTTTTTATTTGTTTGTTTCTCAGTTATTTCATTTTCCACTCGGTTCAGTGGCCCAGCGTGGACCTCAAGTATCAAACGGGATTCGAACTCGCATGTTCCGCTATCTATTTAGGCGGAGATTTTTTTCTAGTAGCATTTTCTTTAGATTTGTAAATCCTATTAATAATATAATATAAATGTGAAAGTTTTTATGTTTGTTAGACGGAGACACAAGACAATCACTTAATATACAAATAATAGAAGTTTTTAATATAACAATATTAATACTAAACAAAAGCAAAAACAATCATCCCTTGCCCAAAAATGTAAAGTCCATCACAAAAACAAAAAAAATAATCTTAGAGGCTGTGTGGGCTTATGACGTTAATTATGATAGGGTGCTCACGTACAAAATTATTAAATTTTAAAACACGATTTAAATTTACTCGGTGGTTAATAAAAAAATAAAAGTATCTGTACATGTACTGTATCTGTACGTGCGGGTTCGAGTCCCGTCTGCTGCCTGGTCCGCGTGGATTTTTTTCTAGTTATATTTTCTTTACATTTAAATATCAAGCAGTTACATGCTTAAAAACTAAAAATTATAATAGTAATATATACCAAAAAATAGCTTTCAAATGATTTAAGTTTTATCGCTGCCGCCAACGATATTAAATACCCTAGATACTCCACGAGCGCTCAAAATGTGTCCCAATCAAGAAGTGCTTGAACAGTCACGCGCGGACCGTTGAAATGTAAAGATGCCGCAGAGCTCCGTGTAAAAATGCGAAATAAATATGAATAGTACGTAAAGTGTCGTTTTTACGACAGGTATCTAATCAATGTTTACTAATTTAACGCATTTAAAGCAAATTTTGTTCTAATACTTACTATAAACTGATTTAATATAAAATATTTGTGATATTTAAATGCACGGCCGGTTATACATCGCCGTATAGCCGTCTCTTTTCCTCGCGGTCCGTACCTGCTATATTGCTAACAGCGCATTCAGAATTGCGCGCTAAATCAATATCATAAGGTCTATATTCTTCCACATATAGTTAAATTTTACGAGCTTGCATTTCGAACTGTCATAAGTCTTTGACGCATGCGTTTAATTTTAGACCTTATAGAGTATGCATTAAAGGTGACTTTCAATGTTTAAATAATGCCTAATATTGTTTTTGCAAACGCGATCATCTTACGGAGCTCCGTGGATCGTCCAATGTACCTTTTGGACAGGTTTCGACTACGATTTTGTTCGTGTTATTGTATCTAGGATATTTAATATCGTTGGCTGCCGCAAACTGTTTCTTTTGGGTTACATATTGTTTACCACCTGAAGACAAAGGACACTTTTTATCCCAAAAAAGTGTAAGGTTCCTGTGGGATTCTCAAAATAAAACGAAAGTTAACGCGGACGAAGTACTTAGAAATACAAACCTTTTTATAATGTTATTTCAGTTACTTTTATAGTTTTTTATTATGTTGTTTGCAGCTGTCGAGTTTGCCGGGATTCAGTGTCAGATACACTACGGAGACTTCCAGGAGGACAAACATAAGCCGGGACTCATAGAGAAGTATGTTTCTTATTGATATAAATAGTTTTGTATACAGGCCAACAGAATACAGAAAGAGGTCGGAAGGGTGATCACATTTGTACGGAAACCGATGTCGCCGGCTCGCCCGCACCTCATTTCCACCTAATATATATAAGTAATAGCCAGTCAAACGAATTCGCATATTTAAGTTAGCTTACATAACTTAGTTCGCATAGTGTGCTGCACACAAGTATGAAAAACTGCATCAGTTATGCGAGGTAAGCTTTACTGACTTACAACAACAACAACTGCGTTAGAGTGTCTAGTGGTAGAGAGGCTAGGGTTACTATAAAAAAAATTGGTTCGTTCGTGATATCGTCTTAAAGAAACATTGATGAAAAATTGTATAATTGCTAGCTCTGACATCACGCGAGAAGAGAGAAAAAATTGTACAAGCCATGCCTTGGGCCGATTGTGCCTCTCTATTGCTTCTTCCGCGCTCTCGCTTGCACGTTCAGGCGGAACGTGACACTTTTTGCTGCATGCAGCCGGTGTTCATCGATTTATAACACGTTATCACATCAAACGATTTGTGTTCAGCCTCAGCGAGTACCTTCCGCAGCAGTACTCCGGCTCCTGGGGCGTGGAGAAGAAGATCCTGAAGGAGTTTCGGAAACACCACGGGCTCGGCCAGATAGAAGCCAAGTTCCTCTACACAAAGACGGCGAGGGACCTGCCTACTTATGGAGTTACGTTCTTCTTGGTCAAGGTTCGTGGTCAAGAAGTACTTATCTACAAAGTATTTCCTTTCTTATCGTTTAATTTTTGTTTGAGTGTGTATGCTGTTGGTCGTAGATGACCTTTATAGCGTCACCGGGTTTGGGGACGGCGAGATCCTAAGGGGACCTCAAGCCGAGAATTGGCGAGTTCCTCTAGAGGTATTCCAGGCGGATGGCATCTCCGCGCGGGGGGAGTCTCCTCTCCGTCTGGAGCCTCTAGACCACTCGAACCTGGGGGGTCGTTTAAAAGAAATATTCACATCTAAAATATAGTGTATTTAAAGGAGCGTTATGTGTTAATTGACCCAATATGGAGGAGCTCGATGGCGCAAGTGATTAGCGCGTTCGACTGCGATCGTTGAAGTTAAGCAACTTTCGCAGTGGTCGGTTATTGGATGGTTGACCAAAAATCTTCTATCTCGAGTTCCTCCGTGCTTCGGAAGGCACGTAAAGCCGTTGGTCACGGCTGCATCTACTGTCGTTAGCACCCGGCAACCCGCACTGGGCCCGAGTGGTGGGTCCTGGCCGAATCTCCCTATTCTATCTATAGGGAAGGCTTGTGCCCCAGCAGTGGGGTCATTAATAGGCTGATGATGATCCTCCACCTTACATAAGATCACACTATGCTGTTGTGTTTCTGTTGGTGACAATGGTGCCAGGGCTCCACGGGGCAGGGGATTGACTCAGGATAGGCAACTGTCTGAAAAGCCACCAATGAATCATCTTAAACAACTACCAAAACTACCAATGATTAACGTTAAAAATGCAGGAGAAGTTAAAAGGCAAGAAGAAGCTGGTGCCTCGCCTGCTGGGCATCAACGCGGAGTCGATCCTGCGGCTGGACGAAGTCACCAAGGAGATCCTGCAGGTGTGGCCGCTGACCCAGGTGAAGACATACCACGCCGGGAAGTCGGAGACCTTCACGCTTAACTTTGGCGATTACAGGTTGGGATTCTGCTGATGAATAGATTAGGAAGAATGGACTAAGGACTACGTATTGCTCTATGGGTATATCATGACCCGAAGAGCAATATGGACGCGGCCTGGAGGGAAGTATATCAAAACGCATATTATTCTCCCTTCTTGCTTACAACTAAACGTAGACAATAAAGTCCAGTATATTTTCAGTCAAAATTTCTTTATCCAAATCGGTTGCACATTTCAAATCCTTTTTAACCTTCAACATGTTTTTGTTAGCTGCGGAGAAAAAACCGTTCCCCCTACCGGGATCCAATCCAAAGACTATACTTTATATTTAAGTGTAACTGGACCTTATAATGATGTTTTGTTAACATAGTTATATGATTGTTCAGTGACAAAGAGTACAGCGTGAAGACGAACGACGCGCATCGCATTCGGGATATATTGCAAGGGTACATCGACATCATTAGGAAACGAATGGATGCCAAGTACAACCTGAACCTCACCGAGCACCATGCCATCTGCGAAGACATGGTGCAAAGCTCCAGGTTAGAAATTATCATCATTATCCTAATTATCATCATTATCAGCCTAATTTTTATTATCACCAACCTATTTATCATTATTATCATTCTAATTATTATTATCAGCAACCTTATTATCATCATTATCAGCATAATTGTTATTATCACCAACCTTATTAACATCATTGTAAGTCTAATTATTATCATCACCAGCCTATTAATGTCCCCGCTGTTGGGATACAGGATTTCTCTATGGACAGAATTGGGAGAGCAGATTGTGACTACTTCTAGCCTACTTTGTGGTTGTTGTGCTAACGACTACAGATGCAGCCGGGGTTCCAACTACTGCGCTATCAAGAATTTCTGCGTTTTCTTATGAAATTACAAGAATGGAATAAATATATTGCATATTGATAATAATAATATAGCATATTCATTTTATGACGATGGAAACTGTTGGTATTACTTCCAGGGGTCACATAATGGAGCACATTGAACACAAACCAAACAAAATCTTCGAAGAATCATTCGTTGGACCCAGCCAGATCTTCACTTACGAGCCGGGTAAATATTATTTAACCCAGGTATACAATTATAAAATACTAGTGGCCCGCCCTCGCTTCGCTTCGGTGTAGAACTGTAGTGTAGGTATACTGTTGTTTCTGTTCTTAGGCTTGTATTACCCATAATGAATTTCTTTATATAATTGTAAATCTTCCATGAAAATTTATTTACCGGATAGTAAAAATTTTGTTGTGTACTTTAGGACCCGTTGTACCGAATGATCATTTTTTTGGTTGAACGCGCAAATCTTCGGAATTAATGGTCCGATTATCCGATAGATAGTACATTTATTGAGGAAGGCTTAAGGCTATATAACATCAAGCTGCGGTCAGTAGGAGCGGATTCATCATTATCAGCCTATTACAGTATTTTCTGGTGGGTCCTCACTGGTGGGGCACAGGCCTTTCCTATGGATGGAATAGGGAGACTGAGCCATGACCTACCACACGGGCACAGTGCGGCTTAGTGGGTGCTAACGACTGCAGATGCAGCCAGAACCGACGCCCTAACGTGCCTCCTGAAGCACGGAGAAGTGAGATAGTGAATTGGTCCCCCATCCTATGAACGACCACTGCGAAAGCTGCTAGACTTTAACGATCGCAGCCGAACACGCTTACCACGTAATCAATGATTCGAATTCAGGGATTCAAATGAATGTTGCAGGTAAAGCCATGGCTCAAGGTACTCAGATCGTCACGGTCCAGCAGTTGGTGATGCAAGCTCGGGCCGGCGGCCAGCAAACAGCGAAGGTAAGCTCAAACTCAAACTCATTTATTCAGTCTAGGCTGTTACAAGCTCTTGTGAAAGTCTAACGCTACGCCATCGGTTCGTAAATCTACGGCGGGAGACCTTGTACTGAGAAGAACCGGCAAGAAACTCAGTAAGGGCTATTTTTTTCTCCCTGTTTTGTTTCATACAGTGTCGTCAATTGAAAGATGACATCAAAAATTGAAAACATGTGTTGATGTCAACTTCCATCACATTAATATTATTAATTAACAAAAGTTAAGTATAGCTAGGTATAATGCGATTCAACTAAGAATAGGACCGACTGGGCGCCATATTCTGACGTCATAGCTGTCAAATAGGTAGAGTGAGCAGAAAAAGATTTTTTAAATAAAACTTATTTATTAAGATTGAAAAGAAAAACAACCGATTTTTAATAATATTTATTTATTAAGACTGTGAGAAAAAACATTTGTCGGGGACTATCAACCTCTTTTTTATACTTTTTTTATAATGTTTGAAGTGACGTTTTAATGTAAAATAATTTTGTTCTTTTTTGTCTGTCAATAAAAATCGTTTGGAAAATTTGCCAACATAGTTTTTCTCTCGTGAAATATTTAATTGTTTTCACATAGTGGCGACCGTGATTGTAAACAAAATGGAAAAGGCAAAACAGGAGAGATCCGTAGCCAGACGGTTATTTACAATGTCCTCTACAAAATTGACCGAGCTTTTGAAGAGCGGCGACAAAAGTTCCATCGCGGCAGAGTTTGCCAAACTTTCGGAACGTTATAATAACCTGGTAAATATGCAAAACAATATGTTATCGCTGTGGTTATATGACCCCGAAAGGGACGAGGACGAATTTGACGCTGACCTGAACTCTTCAGAAGAATATGTCGACAAATGGTTCGTGCTCAAACAAAAGGTAAACGAGTACATGGAGAACATAAATTTGTCATTAAGGCATGACCAAAATGAAGGTATGTGTGCATCAGTTGTATCGAATAAAAGTCATAGTCTACACCTTCGGTTACCGAAATTAGATTTGCCGAAGTTTGATGGCAAAATAAGTGATTGGCTCTCATTCTGGACACAATTTAAAAAGATTCACTCAGATGAGCATCTAGACAATGATGAAAAATTTCATTATCTACTTCAGTGTATGGAGCAAGGTTCGAGCGCCCGTGAATTGGTAGGGAGTTTTCCACCTACGGGTGACAATTACGAGATGGTCATACAACAGCTAAAAGATCGTTTTGCACGTGATGAGATGATCATTGAGCACTATGTTCGAGAAATCATGCAGCTTGTAGTAGCACAGACAAAAGGCACACTGAAACAGTCCACGAGATCTCTATACGATAGGCTGATGACTCAAATACTAGCCTTGGAATCTTTGGGTCTCACGCAAGATAAGTACGCCGCTTTCTTATACCCTTTAGTGGAGTCAGCACTGCCCGAAGACACACTAAGGGCCTGGAGTCGCTCACACATGCAGCTAATTGTGGAGAAAGGGACACCATTGTCTCGTCTTCTTTCCTTTGTCAAGAAGGAGGTGGAAGCAGAAGAACGGATCCGACTGTCGCGATCTGGATATAGCAATACATGCTCACCTGCCTCACCAACCGCCGCCTTTTTTACTAGCAGTGCAGGCACAAGTAAGTCGAATGAGAAATACAATAAAAAATATTCACAGCCAGAGCAGGTGAAAGCGAGAGAGTGCTTGTGGTGCGAGCGAACTACTCATTCTAGCTCTGAATGTAAAGTGGCTATGAATAAAACTATAGAAGAGCGCAAAGAGTTCATCAAAAGCAAGAATGCTTGTTCTATTTGCCTCATGAAAGGCCATATCTGGAAGAAATGTCGGAAATATCCGAAATGCATTGTATGCTACAAAAGACATTACACGATAATGTGTGAAAACCTAGCCAAGGAGAAAACTAAAAACGAGCTCTTGAATGCTTCTACGAATGCTGACCAGAACACGTTATATCAAGCTGTAACAGCTGAACCTGAAACCGTACTATTACAGACACTCAAAGTAAGGCTGATAAACGGTGATAGAGAGCTTGTCGTGCGCGCGCTGTTAGATACAGGAGCTCAACGTTCATTTATCAAAAGTGACATTGCTGAGAAACTACAATTGAAAAGACTTGGATGTCGAGAACTAAGTCATTCTCTCTTTGGAGGAAGCGTCACTAAAAAACGTAAACAAAATATTTACGAACTATACGTACAAAGCCTAGATGGCAGATACGGAAGGAAGTTCACAGTCATAGAACAAGAAGCGATCTGCGGGGATCTACCTAAGTTAAGAAAGGGCAGTATATTAACTTTATTAAATAACTTAAATATTTCTTTATCTGATTGTGTTGACGACGTAACAGAAATTAGTCTTTTAATTGGTTCTGATGTTTTAGGTGGCATATCTGCGGGACGATCGATTCAGTTGCAAGAAGATCTTCTGGCCGTTGAGACAAAATTGGGATGGACACTGCAAGGTCCGGCAGTTGGTGTACATTGCTCCTTCGGTAACGTAGACACACTCGCGGTTAACAATACTTGTTCTTTTGACATTGATGATTTTTGGAAGCTAGAGACGCTAGGTATTAGGGACCAAGTAGAAGTAGGAATCGAACAAAAAGTACACTCAGATATTATGAAGTCTTTTAAAAATACGGTTCGTGTCAATAATGAAGAACGATACGAGGTTAAACTACCATGGAAACCCATTGCGAGTCTTCTCGACACGAACTATAGCTTAGCGTTAAAACGATTAAAGTCTACAACAACAAAACTTATTATGTTAGACATATTAAAAGAGTATAACCAAGTTTTCGAAGAGTGGTGTGAGAGTAATATAATAGAAGAAGTACACAATGATAGCCTACTTAGTGGTCATTACATGCCTCACCACGCTGTAATCAAGGAGTCGAGTCTCACTACCAAAATTCGACCAGTATTTGACGCGTCGGCGAAGGATCGCAATAGGTTATCTCTCAACGCGTGTCTAGACAAAGGTATTAATTTAATCAAATTGATACCTAAATTATTATTGCAATTTAGAAGGAACGCTATAGGCGTGACGGCCGATATAAAAAAGTCATTCCTTCAAATATCTGTCAACCCTTGCGATCGCGATTTTTTGAAGTTTCTGTGGTGGCGCGATATTAACGCGGTTGACAAGGTACTTAAAGTTTTCAGACACCGCCGTGTTGTATTCGGTGTCACAACTAGTCCATTTTTACTGTCGGCTACAATTTTGCATCACCTAGAGCAGTTCGACAGTGATATAGCGGCTAAGTTGAAAACTTCGTTTTACGTAGATAACTGCGTACTTAGCGTAAAAAACGAAGAAGAAATGCAACGATTTATATCGGAAGCGAAGGAGTTAATGATCAAAGGCAAGTTTGAGCTTCGCTGTTGGGTGACAGGTCCTCTGATTACAGAAGGTGAGTCGTCTCCTATTTCCGTTCTTGGACTTATGTGGGACCCTCAGTGTGACGAAATCTTCTCTAAGACACTATTTTTAAATACTGAGGAGAAGGTGACGAAGCGATCCATCCTTTCAGCAGTACAAAGCATTTTTGATCCCATCGGTTTCGTGTGTCCAACTACTATCATTCCAAAATTAGTAATACAAAAGTGTTGGATTCTTAATATCGACTGGGATCAAGATCTGCCCAAAGACCTTCAAAAGATCATAATAGATTGGTTTCGACAATTACACTGTTTGAATTTCTGTCGCATACCTAGGACACTTAGTTGTTTCGACTTAGACTTTAGTAATAATTCTATTCACATATTTAGTGATGCGTGTCAAGTCGCCTACGCTGCTTGCATATTTCTTCGTTCCGAATATAAAGATAGAGTGAGTGTTCAATTGCTCATGGCTAAGTCAAGGGTAGCGCCGACGAAAGCGATTACCATTCCTCGCTTGGAACTCATAGCTGCTCTAACGGCTGTAAGATTGTATGAAGAAACGAAGAAAGGACTAGACTTACAATGCAAAGAATATTCTTGGACCGACTCCAGCATCGTGTTAGCATGGATTAAAAGAAAAGTCGGTTTAAACACCTTTGTACATAACCGTGTAAGTGAAATCGTAAACAGTACTAATGTCAACGATTGGCGACACGTCCCAGGCGAACAAAATCCAGCAGACCTGCCTTCAAGAGGGTGCTCTGCAAAGCATCTTCTTGAAAGTAGATGGTGGGAAGGCCCCGATTGGCTTAAGACATCACCTGAGGAATGGCCAGTTTCAAATATCACACCAAACCTAGAAGAGGTATTAAAGGAAGTCAAAAAGAGTTGCTTACTAGTTCAACATGATAAGTTTTCTGATCGTCTTTGCTATTTCAGTAAGTATACGAAGATTGTTAGGACAGTCGGTTGGATGTTACGATTTGCAAATAATAGTCGGCAGAATAAAAATGAAAGAAAAGGAGGCGAATTAGATGCAGAAGAGTATGCACAAAGTGAACGTTGTATACTAAAGTTATTACAATTAGAATATTTCTTTAATTTTGAGAATTTATTTACACAATTTAGATTAGAAACTTTTATAGACAGTTATGGTTTAATTAGAGTTAGAACGCGGCTTACATTAGGTGAAGACACATACAATTTCAAATATCCGATCTTAGTACCGGGTCAGAGTGTCATCACTGAGCGACTAATTTTTGAAAAGCACGTGCATAATCTTCACGCCGGATCACAAACCTTAATAGGTATCTTACGTGAAGATTATTGGGTGATAGGTGTTAGAAGATTGGCGAAACGGGCTGTACGCCAGTGCGTAATTTGTAGACGCCATAGCGCTAAAGCCTGTTCAACGCCTAACCCTCCATTGCCAGCGGACAGAATACACTGCGGCTGTGCCTTTGAAGTAACTGGCATAGATTTAGCGGGTCCTTTGATATTGAAGTCAGGGTCTAAATGCTGGATTATATTATTTACATGTGCAACATATCGCGCGGTACACCTTGAAATCTGTACTTCGTTGAGCACCGAAGATTTTTTGTTAGCGTTGCGAAGATTTATAGCAAGGAGAAATAAAGTCAGGGTAATATATAGTGACAACGGCACTAACTTGAGAGGTGCTAGCAACCTCTTCAAATTCGTTAACTGGGAAGAAGTGTCGAATCGGATGTCATTGCAAAAAATTTTATGGCGCCATATACCTCCTGCAGCGCCATGGTGGGGAGGATTTTGGGAGCGACTTATTAAGGTTGTCAAGGAAACGCTGAGAAGAGTACTTGGCAAAGCAGCCCTGCAACTCGACGAATTGGTCACAGTACTCTGCGAAGTTGAATTTTTGATAAACTCCCGACCCTTAACATACATTGCTGTGAGCAGTGAGAATGTGGTCCCACTTACACCTGCGATGTTCTTGAACGTAGGGTCGACTAATACTTTCGACACAGATTTGTTTGGTCAATTGGATGGCGCTGTTCTGACGGCTCGGTGGCGCTATCTAATAAAATTGCACGACGACCTAAAGCAGCGGTTCCGAAGCGAATATTTATCTTTACTAGCTCAAAAATCATCTGTCAAAAGAATAGAATATCGGTTAAAGGTAGGTGACGTCGTTATTGTCGGCTCAGACGATAAAAAGAGAGTTAACTGGCCACTCGGGCTCATTTTAGAGATTATTTCCGGATCGGACAACCAAAGTCGGGTAGCCCGCGTCAAAACTCAATCGGGAGTGTTGCTTAGACCGTTTCAACGGCTTTTTCCCTTAGAGGTTCCCCAGGAGCGATGTACCACATCTGCCGGTTCTCTCCCGGCCCATAACCTCTCAATTCATAGCACTACAGAATCGTTCGGTCCACAGATAAGAGCGTAGTCTTTTGTTTTGTGATTATGTTTTTATAGAAGTGTTATGTTTAGTTACTTTTTGTGTTGCGTAACGCAAGGCGGGGAGGATGTCGGGGACTATCAACCTCTTTTTTATACTTTTTTTATAATGTTTGAAGTGACGTTTTAATGTAAAATAATTTTGTTCTTTTTTGTCTGTCAATAAAAATCGTTTGGAAAATTTGCCAACATAGTTTTTCTCTCGTGAAATATTTAATTGTTTTCACACATTAATCATGTTCTAGCTCTTCAATGCCCCTCATCTCTGCATTACCGCCGGAGTAGGTATGAATAATCATGCACTATTACTAGGTCACATACGAACATGCATCCTTTATGTAAACGAAAGTTTTAAATCGAGTTTCTGAACGCAACTTAAAGTGACATTTGGTTTACGATTTAGGTTATCAACCATTGATAGCCAAAGCTCAATAAATGAAAAAAAAGTATATTAATTATCAATATTTGTTATTGCTTCTTTACTAGGCTTTTATTCTAGAATTAGCAGAGTGCTAAAAAAGGGTTCCAAGATTTTTTTGCAAACCGTACTTTTCAAGCGACATTTGACAGATGGAGGTCATTGGCTTTCCAATTCTTATTTGAATCGCACTATACTTTTTTTAAGCTAGTAGTAGGTACGCTCGAGTAGTTAATGCTCGACTTCCGTACAAGACTCCGCAAAATCAATAATTCATATAAAGGTTTTTGTGTACGCTTTTACAATAAAGTTCCTAGCAATATTCAAAAATTAAGCGTCAATAAATTTAAAACTGCCATTTAAAAGAGATCTTATTAATAAAGCCTATTATAAAGTGTTTGATTATATTTCAGACAAAAATGCTTGGGTTTAAACTGTTCTGAACGTTCCGGCAGGCTTTTTCTATAATTATGATGAAGATGAAATGATTTTCTATTGACACCGTAACAATATATTTTTTGTAAATATTGTTACATAATTATTTAACGCTGTCAAGTTTTTTTTTCGCCAGTTTTTCTCCACTGCTAAAAAATGTACTTAACTGGTGGTAGGGAAAAAAATTGAGAGTTTCTATGGACAGCTATATTCTACGCAAGCACCTGTTGAAAGCAAGGCTAGAGACCCCAGAGCCAAGCTTATTCGACACTACACTGAAGATATCCCGGACATCAGCCTGTATGAGATTAGTATGGCTCTCAAACAACTTAAAAACAACAAGGCGGCGGGCGATGATGGAATCTGAGAGCGGGCGGTAAGCCGATACTTAAAGTCCTCCAGAGGCTTTTCAACTCCATCATCCTTGAAGGCAGAACGCCAAAAGCATGGGAAAGAAGTGGGGTTGTCCTGTTCTTCAAGAAAGGTGACAAAGCACTCTTGAAAAACTATCGACCAATCTCGCTTCTTAGCCATGTTTATAAGTTGTTTTCGAGAGTCATTACGAATCGTCTCGCACGCAGGTTTGATGACTTCCAACCTCCCGAACAAGCCGGTTTCCGCAAAGGCTTCAGTACCATAGACCACATTCATACGCTGCGGCAGGTTATACAGAAGACCGAAGAGTATAATCTGCCATTTTGTTTGGCGTTCGTGGACTATGAGAAAGCTTTCGATTCGATTGAGACCTGGGCGGTGTTACAGTCTCTCCAAAGGTGCCAAGTAGACTACAGGTATGTCGAGGTATTAAGGTACCTCTACGAAAACGCCACTATGTCAGTCCGATTACAGAACCAGAGCTCCAATCCTATCCAATTGAAGCGAGGCGTGAGACAGGGAGATGTGATATCTCCGAAACTGTTCACAGCTGCATTGGAGGATATTTTTAAGCTTCTGGATTGGAAAGGACGAGGCATTAACATCAATGGCGAGTACCTTTCGCACCTTCGTTTCGCCGATGATGTAGTTCTTATGGCTGAGACCTTGGAAGATCTTAACACGATGCTCGAAGATCTTAGTAGTGCTTCCCAAAAAGTGGGTCTTAAGATGAACATGGAGAAGACGAAAATTATGTCGAATGCCCATGTACTACCCGCTCCAGTTAAAATTGGGAACACTACACTCGAAGTTGTGGACTGTTACGTCTACCTAGGACAGACAGTCCAGTTAGGTAGGTCCAACTTTGAGAAAGAGATCTCTCGTCGTATCCAGCTCGGATGGGCAGCGTTCGGGAAGCTACGAAAAATATTCGCGTCCAAATTACCTCAGTGTCTCAAGACAAAAGTCTTTGAACAGTGTGTGTTGCCAGTGATGACCTACGGAAGCGAGACGTGGTCCTTTACTGCGGGTCTCATAAGAAGGCTCAAGGTCACGCAGCGAGCAATGGAGAGAGCGATGCTTGGTGTTTCCCTACGCGATAGAATCAGAAATGAGGAAATCCGTAGGAGAACCAAAGTTACCGATATCGCTCAAACGATGGCTCTGCTGAAGTGGCAGTGGGCGGGACACGTAGCAAGAAGAACCGATGGCCGTTGGGGCGGAAAGGTTCTGGAATGGCGACCACTCACCGGACGACGCTCTGTGGGTAGGCCCCCCACAAGGTGGACCGACGATCTTGTGAAGGTCGCGGGAAGCCGATGGATGCGAGTGGCGCAGGACCGATCGGTGTGGAGATCCTTGGGGGAGGCCTATGCTCAGCAGTGGGCGTCATACGGCTGACATGATGATGATGATGATGAGGGGAAAAAATATGGACGATTCAGAAGAGTTGTACGAGTATTTTGCATCCAATTTCAATAAAGCTATTTTGACTTTGACTTGACTTTGACTTTGTACGGTGATAATACGCTATTTGACAGTTTGCAAAATAAAGTACCAATTTGTAGGCATCTGTATTTAATATGCAATGTATATCAGGCCGCCCGCATAGGTAGTAGTGATGTAACGAATGCCATTTTTTGAACATTCGCGAATGCGAATGCGGATGCGAATGTCTGGTACCGACATTCGCGAATGCGAATATTTAGTTTTTTTTAAATTGGCGCCAATTGTCTATGGCACGGTGGCAGTCCCGTTCGAATTGCCGAGTTGATATGAACTTATCTGACTGAAGTGTCATTCCGCTCGCACCGGTCTTTCCGTAAACAAAACAAGTGAATTTTGAGGTTAGTGATTCTGAGTGGTAATAGTGATTTATTAACATGAGTAAATCGAATACTAGTGAAACATTGACTTATTTCACACTTTGCGATGCTGAACGAGCTAAATTGCAAACTGTGTAACAATGAATATTCAAGGAAAGGCAGAACTACAACTTCTTCAAATTGTTTTTTTTTAATATTCATATTCGCAAAACATTCGCAGAGATTTTGCGAATGCGAATGTGAATGCGAATATTCAAAAATATGCGAATATTCGCGAATGCGAATGCGAATATTCGTTACATCACTAGTAGGTAGGCGAGCTCTCTACCAACTATGCTTGTTCATAAAGTCTGATTTTTAAAATTATCTGTTAAAAATGTAATGCGTCGTGATAAAAACGAACGAAAAAAATTGTGGCGATGTAAGGTACGATATCCATTAAAAGGTTTCAGTTTATTTTTTACTAGCTGTGCCCCGCGGCTTCTTAGGGATATTTTCCCGCAGTAAAACGTAGCCTATGTGTTTATCCAGTGTGTCAGTTAACTCCATACCAAATTTTATTAAAATCGCTCCAGCCGTTTAGACGTGAAGAAGTAACAAACATACACACTCACAAACTTTCATCTTTATAATATTAGTGTGATTATTTTAACAGTTCCGTTATTGCTCTTGATTTTATTTTCACTGCAATTATTATTTATCTGTATGTATCTTTGTGTTTTTCCGATAGGTCGGTGAGGTGCCGATGCGTAAAGGCATGCCTCTGGACTTCGTTAGGAAACTGAATCGTTTGAATTCTAATTCCGTCAAGATCGTCACTTTGTTGACTGGTAAGTGTATCATGTTTAAACCTTTGATTCCATCCATCCATCGATCAGCCTTTCTCCGTCCACTGCTGGACATAGGCCTCCCCCATAGAACGCCACAATGCGCGGTCCTACGCTATCCGCATCCAGCGGCTCCCAGCATATTTAACGATGTCGTCAGTCCACCTTGTTGGGGGCCGCCCCACGCTGCGTCGTCCGGTACGTGGTCGCCACTCAAGGACCTTTCTTACCCAACGGTTGTCAGATCCTCGAGCGATGTGGCCTGCCCATTGCCACTTTAGCGTGCTAACTCTTCGGGCTATGTCGTACACACCGGTCCTTCTACGGATCTCCGTATTTCGGATCTTATCACGTAGGGAAACACCGAGCATAGCCCTTTCCATAGCACGCTGCGCGACTCTGAGTTTTGTTATGAGGCCGACATTCAGAGACCTAAACCTTTGATTATTTACTCAAATATTCAACGACTTTTCCATGTTCATATTTTCGATAATTCGATAATGTATTTTAAAATTCTTGTTTGTAATTTTGAGTTTATTTATTTGACCCTAACTACCGTAAACTACCACCGGTTCCAAAATTGGGAGACCTTCCTGAGAAGAACCGGGGAAAAATCTCAAGAGAGACTTAATTTAACTTAACTTAATTTAACATAAGAAGGAGATAGAAAGCCTCTCTTGAGTTTGTTTCGCCGGTTCTTCTCAGGAAGGTCTCCCAATTTTGGAACCGGTGGTAGTTTACGGTAGTTAGGGTCAAATAAATAAACTCAAAATTACAAACAAGAATTTTAAATAAAATACTTTATTAAGTAAATTAAATAATAAATTCATACATAGACAATAAAACTTAAAAATCGAACAATGAAATAACCAAACGCTCAATAAAAGTCTTTCGAAGGTAGCTCGACAAATTAAATAAAAGTTTTATTCTGACGACGTAGCCTGTAAAGGCTACGAAACGTCAATAAATAAATAAAGTTTTCGTGCATTAACCCGTAAAAACTAGTTTTATTTAATGAGTGATGTGCGTGAAAACCTAAGAAATAAATAACCTACCTTAGTATCTATTTACCAACGTTGAGTTCTAAGATAATGTAATGATTTCCAGAGCCCAATCAAGCAAATTTGTCGGAAGCTGGTAAAATTGTGGATAACATGGAAGCCGATATGCCGAGTCTTATTGAGGGTGAGTGAGGTCACTTGAAACATTAGTTTATGTGCAGTCAGATGCTTTAATTTGGGATCATTCATCAATTCATTCGTCACCCATCCAATGACTGACAACTGCGAATGTTACTTAACTTCAACGATCCCAGCCGAACGCGATGACCACATGCGCCATCGAGCTCCTACTGTGTAAGACACCCAATTAAAATACAAGTAAGATTTATTTTCTCCATAGTAATTGATGAAAAGCAATTGGTCCTTCGAGCCGGATCCAAAAGTATTTTTTATCGCAATTGTTTATTGAATTACAGAATTTTTGTTTGTTTTTTTAACAAACATAAATATATAGTGCCGAATCTATTCACGCTTTTACAAACTTTTTAAAAATCTGTCCTTATGAAACTTTTGATTTGAATCTTCTTTGTGATTGAACTCGATTTGTTTTTTTTTGTGTATGTATGAATCTATTTAAATAAGAGTATATACACATATATATTCATATATACGTATTACCTTTATCACTCAAGTGATTTACGCCGCCGTCTCTCCAACTTTCCTCATCCAAAGCTTGTCAGGAAGAGATCGCTCTTAGCGATAAGGACGCCCATTGTTACACTAGTTTCAATTGGTTTTGTACTAAATGTAATGTTTTCAGTGGTTTAAAAAAAAAAATAATAATAAAAAACTCTTTATTTTACACCACAAAAAAAAAAATATATAAAACATACATAATGGCTGCTTAAAGTGTAAAAATGGGCGGTCTTATCGCTAAGAGCGATCTCTTCCAGACAACCTTGGGATGGAGAGGACAAGAAAGAAGCTGGAAAGACGGCGGTGTACAATAATGTGTTTTTTATTGTATCGTATAATATGTATAGGGACCTTCAAGGCAAGAGCAAAATAGGCATTATTTGAGTCTGCTTAAAGATTTGGTGCGATTGTGGTCAAACGCAATCAGAACAGATATTATATAAAACAATAATATAACATAATTCATGTAAAATATTGAATACATTTCTGTTGAAGGTGTTAAAGAGGCTGCAAATAAGGAGAAAGACGAGGAAGCCAAGAAGAGAATGCTGAACGAGCTTCAAGAACTAATGGACAACATGAAAGCTCTATCTGAAAGTATTAATACAAATGTAAGTTTCTTTCAGTTTCTTGGGGATTGGAATAGGAGTCTTTCTGAAAGCGGGCAGTGAAGCCCCTGTGTTTTTTTTAATATCGTAAATCTACGGCGGGATATCTTGTACTGAGAAGAACCTGCAAGAAACACAACAAGATCGGTTTTTTCTCTCTATATTATTTTTCAAGGTGTCCTCAAATTGAAAATTTACTTCAGAGATGATTTTGTAAACTACATACATTAAAAGTAATTCTCGCTTTAAAGAATCTTGAAGTAAAACAATAGGTATCTTTTTTATCTTTCCAGAAACCAGAGGAAGCACAAGATGCCAGTAAAAGGATCGCAGATCTATCGATACAGATGTGCTGTGCTATGGACCCAAGAATGAAAAAACGCGGCGAATTCTGCCGTGTAAGTTGATTCGTTTTTTATTTTACAAAACGCATAATAGGGATGATGACTAATTTATTTTCTTCGTTTATCGGGTAGATTATCAAAAAGTATTGGACACGTATTTGTTCTTTTTTCACATAATATGAACATTGCAGAGATATATTGATTTGAAGAGTCGCATGACGTCACGCGTGAGTACACTTATAAGTGAAAATTCACTCAAAAGTGCCGTCACGAGCCCCTACTCCCAAACTTTGACGCGCTATAACTTTGTCATTTATTGGTGGATTGCCCAAAGAAAAAAATACGTGTCCATTATTTTTTGATCATCTAACTTACGGACTAAATAGAATTTCGTTTACTGTACCCCGTCATCACCCCTATTGTACATGTAAATATACCGTTTCACAGGTTAAAGCGCGTACTATTTTATAAAGGTTTTCGTACCTTCTCCGTACTTAAAGTACGCGGTTCGATCCGTGAAATGTTATATTAATTATGTAATGCGAAAGTTTCAAGGATTTATATTATGCTCTTAGATCTTGAAACAAGAGATTTTGTGAGAACATCATCTTATCTTGGTCCCTCAAAACTGAGGACCCCATTCATATTGGTTTTCTTGCAGTCTGTTGCTAGTTTTGCTTTATTAAATAAAATAAAATAAAAATAATATGCTTATATTTCAAGACATGGTCTCTTAAATGTTGGTAACAATTCTCTTAACTTATGTTAGTATTTTATTACATTACAATTTGAATTATCATTCGATTAAAAAAATAATTAATATTAAAATTTATAGAGGAGCTCGATGGCGCAAGTGGGTAGCGCGTTCGGCTGCGATCGTTGAAGTTAAGCAACTTTCGCAGTGGTCGGTCATTGGATGGGTGACCAGAAATCTTCTATTTCGAGTTCCTCCGTGCTTCGGAAGGCACGTTAAGCCGTTGGTCCCGGCTGCATCTGCAGTCGTTAGCACCCACCAATCTGCACTGGGCTCCAGTGCTCCAGCAGTGGGGACATTAATAGGCTGATGATGATGATTAAAATTTATAAAATCTACTGCACCCTCCCCTCGTCCTGGTCATCAGACATGTAGTTTGATGAACTGACCGAGTAGAGGGGAGTCGGTCTCATATACATTTGTTCCTTTACCGCTTTATTAGAAAATGTAGGCAAAAATTAAACCTGGACTAAAACTGATGCTGTAATTTTTGTTTGCTAAAAAGAAGATAGAGACAACGTTAAGTTTAAACCAGGAGTAACTTTAGTCCACGTTTTGGAATGAGGCGGTAAAAGTTGCTTTTCTGTACTGTTTTCAATCCATATAAGTACATTGAGAACTACTTGTATGTTAATATGGTATGATTTCAGTGACATACTGTATTAATAAATTCAACCCTTTTTACAAGCTTTTATTTAACTTGCAATGTATGTTTGTTCGGGTGGAATCTTACAACTCAATTTTAAGGCACTTGCCCTCAACCGATTGAGCTGAAATTTGGTATGCACGTTCAGTTCGGATGACAATGTGACGTCATTCTAAATCCAACATGGCGGCATACCCAAAATGGCGGACCATGATTTTTTTCTTTTTAGCGCATTTAAATAAAAGCTTGTTTTAAAAAAGGTTTTTTTACCTTAATTTTTTTATGTTAATTTTTATTGCAGTTAATTGTTAAATATAGTTATAAGTCTTGTCAACCTTAGGCCCTGCCAGAATATCAGATCCGCAGTGGACCTGGCGTCGCTGTGGCACTATGCCGAGGCAGGGACTTAGTTGGCCTATATTTTGTTATTGCTTTTGTTTTGTGTAATATTATTATTTAAGGCTATTAAAATTCTTTCTTTCTTACTTTTAATTTTCCCTAATCTCAGCGTTCCCGCAAGAGTTTCATAGAGGACGAGAAGACGAACGCTTCCATCCGTCGCGGATCTTGTCTGGCGGCCGCACAGCATCTCTCGGACACCATACAGCAACTGCTGCAACACATGATCGATGTGAGCGTTAACATTTTATACAAAAACAATAGGGATGATGACTATTTTTTTTCCTTCGTTTATCAGGTAGATTATCAAAAAGTATTGGACACGTATTTTTTCTTTTTTCACATAATATAAACATTGGACAGATATTTCATTTGAAAAGTCGCATGACGTCACGTTTGAGTACACTTAGAAGTGAAAATTCACTCAAAAGTGACGTCACGAGCCCCTACTCCCAAACTTTGACGCGCTATAACTTTGTAATTTTTTGGTTGATTGCCCAAAGAAAAAATACGTGGCCATTATTTTTTGATCATCTAACTGACGGACTTAATAGAATTTCGTTTACTGTACCCCGTCATCACCCCTATTACATTTTGAGCTACATTTATTTTTTATTTTAGGCAGTTGTAAATTATTTTTAGACTTTTTTTATTACACATTCTGTTTGGAATCTACGACACCACCTAGATTTTCTGAAAGAGATCTCATTTAGAGATAAGCCCTGCCCTGCAAAACACAAAATGAACACATTTTGATTGCTATGTCATACAGTATAACATTTACAATTGGTAGAACCACTGATGATAATAAAATGAAATAAGTATGAAATGACAAGAGACTGAATATTGATATGAAATACATTCTTCAGGAATACGAAGGTCCACCATTGGATGCGTCCGAAGTCGAGGAGTTGGAGAATTCAGCCGCTGACAAAATGGCGAAACTCAACGCAGCGATAGCATTAACCCTGATGGCTTTTGCAGGTATCAACGACGTGTTTTGTATTCAATAGTTTACTATCATACACCTTTGGAATATATAACGTCGTTCGTATCGTATGAACGTCTAAAATCATACCAGGATGCTTCGAATAACATGGCAATACTTCGTTAAATTAATAACCTTTTTCTAGTAATATTCATTAAAATAGAGAAAAAAAATTGTTCGTTTTCACACACCTTTCGAGTTCATAACGTGGTTCCTGTCTGTCTGTAAGTAGAGGGTTAAGGTCACCTATTATGTTAAGATATCACAAACTATCAAACACCCCGGATTCGCACGACAGTCTCTAATCCATGGTTTTTCTAATGTAAACAACAACAGGTTGAACAACAGGATAGATGGAACAATGTCATGTAATCCTGAATTGTCTTCAATATCTATCAATTCAATATCTATAGTATTTTGAGTCTTAAACTAGTCTGTTTAAAAAAAAAGTATTTTAAATGGTGTTATGACCAAAGGAATCATTATTCTAACATTTTTCAATTTATTAAATGATACCTGTTGGAAAACTGATCTAAGAAAATTTTAAAGTGCAGTAAAATTATTTTCCGTTACGATTTCATTTAAAAATGCAATCCATTCTTTCATTTTTCTGATTACTGATGACATTAAGTAACGGTTTGATCATAAATTTTATTTTCAAACGTGTTACAGATCCTCAGAATATAGATTACGGCGTCGCTGTAACCTCTATGAACAACATCAATGAGCTTTTGCCGGAGTTGGCTAAAGGTCAATATCTTTTCTTTTTACTTATTTATTAATTTCTGCTTTATAAAGCCATTACTCACATTGAATTTTGTGACTAGATGCTAAAGCGCTGAGCAGTGTAAATGATGGTAAGAATCGTCAGGAGTTCTTAGACGCAATACAAGCATTGTGCGATGCCACGAAGGCAGTCTGCTTGGCTGCCGACCAAGAAGACCATCAAGTAAGTTGGATCACTACTTAAATGTAAATAATTCAGACAAGCAACCCGCCCCGTCTTTGGACGAATAAAAATTATTGATTGTTAATGGATAAAATAATTAGCATCACTCAGGAAAAATGCAGCTTTCGGAAAGAATGTTCAAAATTAAAACACCGAGTTCAAGAGATTACGGCTTAAATATGAATATTATGGGGCACTGGACTACAAGGAATTCCAAATCTTAACTAAATAAACAACATTAAAATAGTAACTCATTGATATTATTGTCTAATGATATTTTTTAAGGATTAACAGCTGATTTAGTGCCCATATGGGTGTCCTGTCCTTGACTTTAAATTTAATTATCACCGATTTTGTTGTTGCTCACGATGCTGAATATTTTATACAGAATATGCGTGAAGCTGCCAAAGATTATGGCCGAGCTTCTGATAAATTGCAGTTTACATTCCGACGTGGTGGTAACAAGAACGTAGATAAAGAGAAAGAAGTAAGTAAATTAAAAGTTATTAACACTGTATCTAAGTCAACAGTATATGAATCAATATAAGTCATCATCATCATCATCATCATCAGCCTATTAATGTCCCCACTGCTGGGGCACAGGCCTTCCCTATGGATGGAATAGGGAGATTGGGCCATGACCCACCACGCGGGCCCAGTGCGGATTGGTGGGTGCTAACGACTGCAAATGCAGCCGGGACCAACGGCTTAACGTGCCTTCCGAAGCACGGAGGAGCTCGAGATAGTAAATTTTTGGTCACCCATCCAATGACCGACCACTGCGAAAGTTGCTTAACTTCAACGATCGCAGCCGAACGCGCTAGCCACCTGCGCCATCGAGCTCCTCAAATATAAGTACATTATTTAAATAAAAATCATTGGATAGCCTCTTTTTTAAATCGCCTTCTAAACTTACTGCTATAATTATAGATCAGGGTCGATAATTTTTGAGACCAAAAAAAATTATAGTTGGATGAAACCCATTAGAAAAGGTGGAGAATATAACAAAAATGAAAGAAAAAATAAATTACGGGCGATCTGAGGTCCGGAAGGGGGAGGGGGTGAGTATTTAAGGGTAAAAAATGGTTAATCTCGATTTCCGGTAAAACTGCAAGTCCTATGAAAGAAAGTTAATTGGCAAAGTTGTAGGTAATAAAAAGATCTACAACTTTTGTATCGACATTTTTTTCACATAACCTCAAAATTTATGTGAAAAATGCGAATAACCGAGTTTTTGGTTTTTGATTTTTTGAAAAAAAAAAATATTTTTTCACGAAATTTGGTGAAAACTTACCTTTGTATGTCCCAAATATATAGTAATTTTTTTGATTTAAAATATTAATTTTTTCACCTTATTTTGACTTAATATCGAAAAAGCACCCTTATTTTCAATCGAAAATTCTCACGTCAAAATATCTGCTTTTTTAAAAAAGTTAGGGTGTTTTTATTTGTTGAAATCTCTACTTTCTGATGATATAAAAAAAATATACACTACTATGGTAAATGTTCTCAGAAAATGCAAATTAATAATGAAAAAAACTCCAACTTTGCCATTTAACTTGCAGTTTTACCGGAAATCGAGATTAACCATTTTTTACCCTTAAAAACTCACCCCCTCCCCCTTCCCGACCTCAGATCGCCCGTAATTTATTTTTCCTTTCATTTTTGTTATATTCTCTACCTTTTCTAATGAGTTTCATCCTACTATAAATTTTTTTCATTTTTCACCATTTTTAAAAGTGTCGACCCTGGTCTATTATGCTAGCAAATTACTTTCTAAAGAAAAGTTTTACTAGAAAAAAAACCACGCGGACCAGGCAGCGGACGGGACTCGAACCCGCATCCTTCGCAATCCGGGCGAATGACTGACTGACTTAAAAATAAATAAAATCATAACTATAATTGCTATTTCTTCTTTCAAATGTTTAATACTTGAAAAAGTATTCATTTGACATTGTGGGTTACCTAAAATGCGAAGAGATGGCGCTGCCTTGCAGCCTAAGGCTAGGAAAATTTCGACGCGGCTAAGAGGGCCGTGGTAGCATAATGGTCAGTGCATTCGCCCGGATTGCGAAGGATGCGGGTTCGAGTCCCGTCCGCTGCCTGGTCCGCGTGGATTTTTTTCTAGTAAAACTTTTCTTTAGATTTAAACATTTAGCAGTTAAATGCTTAAAAATAAATAAAATCATAAATTACTTTCTGCAATAGGGTATTTGACAAGTTTCAGAAATCGATCTCACGTTATTGACTCATGTTTATGGAGTCCGTAAAAAGTGGATATTCATCATTCTGTTGTGTAATTCAGTAAAAATAACCAAATCAAAAACTCCATTTTCAAGTTGCCGCGAAAACGTTTTTCTGGACAATATAGCGTCTTACTAGTGTGTGACGTCACACGACTGTTATTAAAACGTCAAACGATACAATGTAATGTCACTTTAACCAGTAGTTTACTTGCGTGTGACGTCATTTTAGGCTCCGCCAATCGCAAGAGTTTTGGGTCACGTGACAATAGATAAGAAAACTATTATCTTTTTCGTGGGTTTTTAGTAAAATTATGAATATTTTTTTTTGTAAATAAAGTAAAAACCCCTGCCAATATTCATTCTAAACACAGATGCTATCAATTGGCACTTTATTTTTAATACCGTCAAATACCCTATTAAGTTTAAATATATAAAAGATAATTGTATATTTTTCTTCTATTGATCTAGTGATCCCTTTCTTTTCCTATTTGGACGCATTGTCACTTTTATTTAGCTTAAAAATTGATCGTGAAAGGAGTTAAAGTAGGAGAGTTTCTTCTCTTTGTCTTATATAATAAGTAAAGGAAATACTTTCAGATTCTAGATCTTTCCAAGGACGTGGATGATAAGACTAAAGCGTTATTGCAAAAGAGCAAGGAGCTCACTCCTTATGTTTCGGAAACTGAGAGCGGGGCATTAGAAGAAGCCTGCGCGCGATGCGCTGATGCCACGGAAGATATCAAAACTTGTGCTAAGGTGTGGAAAAATTTACTTTATACCAAATTTATTACTATACTTTAATAAATTTTTGCTTTTATCATTTACATTGGAACAAAATTTTCGTTGTCTACTATAGCAAAGTGATTCAGAAACTTTTCTTCGGATTGACAAAGTATTGAGTGTCTCTAATTGCTAGATTTAAATCGAGTGTTTTTGTTTTTAATTGATTGCTAGATTTAAACGGCCAAAGTTCACTTATCGTGTCTTGTAACCAAGGATCCGGATAAGGGTCTGAAACGAAATCTTAATCGATTAAAAAGTATTGTATTCGATGATTGGTATAAGTCAATGTAAGAAATAACAATTGCTCAACTAATTTATTTTCAGTTAACTGCTTCTTCCATACAAGAACCACACTGCAGAAGCGCGTTGAAAGCAGCCGCCGAAAACTTATCATCATCAGCTCAGCACCTCGCTATCACTTGGAAACCGATGGTCGAAGATCCGGCAAGAAAACAATTAGGAGACGAATTGAAAGATAGAACTATGGAATTGGCTAAAGCATTGGATAGACTCAAGGGTACCTTCGCCGGTCTTGACGGTGAATAAGTTTGTGTTGATAATGTTTTTAAATAGTAAAGCCACAACTGAAGTTTATCAGTGTAATGTAATGATATGTTGCAGTATTGATTTGTTAAGTAGTTGATTCAGTTTGAATTAATGATACTTCCTTTTGTTCGGTATAAAATTTTTTGACCTTTGAAAATTGCGATTCTTCGAAAATAAATATGTGTTTTACCAAATATAACCTGTTAACTACTGTAGTTTATATTAATTTTAAATGAAAATATCTCGAATCTAAAAGAACCCACCTTTTCAGGTGTTCCAGAGGAACAGGATGAGGCGAAAACGAGTCAAAAACTAAAGTTTATCACTACAATGGCCGCTGCTAAAAAAGATATCAAATCATTGGAAACTGAGTTGAATAAGGTAAATATTTAGATCGAGTATTTCCCTCCTTCATTAGAGAAAAATTAGCATTTTTTAAGGTTTTTAAAATTAAGATTTAGAACAAATAGAAAATTTTAGGGCATAGCAATCAGCTGCTTGTTCAGTAATCGGATTCAAATATATTGAAATATCATTAATACTAGAAATTTTCTAAATGAGGTGAAAATAGTTTGTGATTTTCAATAATTCAAGAAATAATTTAAAGATACTATAACGATCACTAAAAACGATTTATTGTTATCAGCCACTCGACGAAGTTTCCCAGAAGGGAACACAAGAAGAGTTACAAAACAGACTGGCTCAAAAGTTGGCTCAGCTTAACGCTGCTTTGGCCGCCTTAATGAACGCTACAGCCGGTAAGTCAATTAATTAAAATGGTTAACATATTAATACTTTAAGCAGTAAATTGATTACTAACCCAAAAACTCGAGTCAAAGAAGAAAACGTCATACAAAATTTGACTAAACATAGCTTAAGACAGCGTTTTCTCTTCGCACTACAGACCTAGACTATTTTAAAAGGTTTTAGATGTATAAGAATGTAAGAAAAGAGACTGCATTTATGAATCTGCATCTTAAAATTAATAGAAATCTATGAATTTAGAAAAGGTAGCTATTGATAAAGCCCTTATAATTTTTTAAAACAATCAGAGTTTTTCAGAGTACAGTTTTTTCTAAACTTAAACATGACAAGTTTAAAATTAAAATCATGTTAAGTCTGATCCCGGGATGATACCCATTGTATCTTCTATCTTCTTATTAAAATTTACTTGGAATCCAATGACTTCACAGATCTTGATGTAAAGAGTGGATCGAATTTGATCCGACGAACTTATCGGGCTTCTCCCTCTGAGCCTCTTTCCAGAAGTAGGTCCATCGTGGTATTAAATTCAAACACGGATGCCTATGAAATTCAATGTTTTGATTATTATGTTCGAAATAATGACATTCATAACATCATAGTAGGTAAGTACCGCTAATAATATGATTTATATTTTGATTGATACAGGAAAATGTGTTGTTACAGATCGCGATAAGCCAGACTATGAGACTGCCGAGTTAGCGGTCAGTACTATTAGGGAGCTTATGCCGGATATAGTGAAAGGTAAGTTTATATACTTTAAGTGATATTTTAGCTGTACTTCCGAAGAGCAGAAATTCTGAGATAAAAAACAACGTATAATTGAACTAATAAGTGAATAATTTTGTAGATATGGATGAATTGAACTATGTAAAACAATTTAGATTTTGTATCCAATTTACAAGACTTCCTTTTTTGTTATATCTGTGATGTGGCGCCGTATTTGGTCACTGCTTTAGCTACATATGTTCCTCTAAATTTAATTATTCCGAATCTGTGTAGAGAAACAACCTTTATTAGATTTACATTTTTTAACTAGACGTAAAACATCGGAATTGAATTCAAACAATGAAAAAAAGGTATGTTAAGAAAATCATATGCGTAATATATATAAATAAGTCTTGATCCAATCTCCCTATTCCATCGATAGGGAAGGCCTGTGCCCCAGCAGCGGGGACATTAATAGGCTGATGATAATATGAATATCTATATAACAAAAATATGTTATAAATATCTTTACTTACTTCAGTCTCTCTAAGGCTCGTATTACAGAATGACATCTAAGTGTTGATCTTTACTTGAGTACAGTTAGAAAGGGAAATCGCTATGTGCTATATAAAGCGACATCCCTTTCTAACTATGCTCAAGACTAGATCAATCACTGAGAATCTTTCTATAATACGGGCCTAAGAGACCATCAAACCAACGGAGATCTCTCAATATTTTATTAAACATTGACCAAATTAAGATGCATATTACATATTAGGATCTTTGCTGGAGCTTTTTGTGTCACTGATCAATAGCTGCTCTTCCAGCCGTCGCAATTAATTAATTGTTTCCAAATCTTAGTTTAAATTGATCTGGTATAATTTCTGTGTTAGATGGCAAATGTTTGAGTACACACAAGGAGGCAGCGAGTAGGGAGAGGATGATGAACGAACTGAGGGCGCTGTGTGAAGCCACGAAGGACATTTGCGACCCCAGCAACGGGAATTTGGAAGTAAGTAACTTTTAACAGTGCCTGCTTCAATAAATTTGGCTTAATAAGATATAAGAAATTTAAATATGAGATAGAATATGAGATGAATAGAGAGAAATATGAGATGAGCAATATGAGAGTTGGTTGCAAGAAACAAATAATAATCACAATCACAATAATATTATAAAGGCGAAAGTTTGTGAGTGTGTGGGTGTGTATGTTTGTTACTTCTTCACGACTAAACGGCTGGAGCGATTTTAATAAAATTTGGTGTGGAGATAGCTGACACCCTGGATTAACACAAAGGCTACGTTTTATTGCGGGAAAATAACCCTAAAAAACCACGGGTAACACGGGGGGCACAGATAGTATAAAATTTTTATAAGTAGGATTTTAAATGTGCTACGTAATTGTGAAAAAAGAAATATAATGACATAATGGTGTCGATTTTGACACGGTTCTCTAAACCTGAAACTAAATTTAACATCAGTCTCTCCTTTTCATTCTGTTTAGAGAATGACAAGGATACACTGTTGTCAAATTTAAGTTTAGCTTTAGAGAATCATGCAAGAATAATGCCCTGTAAGACAAGACTCGGGAATCACTCTCCTCTTTATAGAATGTTGTCAACCTATAATGCTATTCGAAATGATTTCGACATATTTAAAGGTTCTAAAGCCTCAATCAAAAAATGTTTAAATTCTATATTCTCTGATTAGGTTTTTAGTTTTAACTTTCATTTAATATTATTAGTTAGAGTTTAACCTATATGTGCTATATTTATCCTTTAGTATATATCCTTAGTAGTTAGGTAGTTTTAGAAATGCATGTTGTGCTTGCATCTAGTAGGTTGCAAAGTAGCTGATGTTTTTTTTTTATGCATATATTTATATGGATATTCTTTGTAACCAGTTTTGTAAGCCAAATAAAAAAAAAAAAAAAAAAAAAAAAAGAATCGACACCAATATTTCGTAAAATGATAATATGGTATAATTTTCTAGATTTTGTGTTTTGTATCTTTTATAAGCTTATTAACATTTCTCAGGACATCAACCGCATCGCATCTAAGTTCGCTGCGTCCTCTGGTAAACTCAACTACATATTCAATCCACGAGCCAATCGCAATGATGAAAAACAGGTAAATGTTTCCATTCAACGTCATCGTACATTCTACTTTAATTATTTCTTTTTCTTATTACAAAAGTCACTGTGTAGATCTTGTATTTTAAATTTTATAGCTACTGCTAATTCATTTGAAATTAAATTGTGAAGTAACTCAAAGTATGATACTATTGATCCATATAAATCTTCATACCAAGCAACAAGAAACTAATTAGTTGCTAGTAATTATTACTAATAAATTGTTGAATGCTTGCAAAAGCAATAGGCTGAGTCTTCATAAATATTTCTTCTTTACTTCGCGGATTTGAAGGTCAATGTTTAAAGGGCTAAGACTTTTCAGAGTTTTTAATATAACACTGATGATTGATAAACAGATCATGGGCATTTCATCGTCAGCCAACGAGAAGTCCTCGCAGCTGTTAGCTGAGGTGCAGGAGTTAGCTCAGCGAGTGGACGGCGACTCAGGAATCGAACTGGAGACTGCGCGCTGCAGAGCTGAGGACGCTGCCATAGCTCTTCATAACGCTGCTTGCGTACGTATTGTATATATTTTTACGTGTCGGGATGAGGCTCGAAATTATATACCAGTTCACGCTTGACAGTACTTTATTCAACACACAGTTAACACACAATGTTAATCACAATACACTCACTAAACACTGCACTTCACTATACAAGTCTTTAAACAATCGCACTAGAACGTTTTACTAGCACTTTGATCGCTTTTTTGTATTCGTTCCGAAATCACTGTTGAAACTCAACTGTCTGCTGCGCGGCACCGATCGCGCATACGTCCACACATAGCATTATAGAAAAGTACCGTTAAATTGAGAATAGGGCTGATGACGGGGTACAGTAAACGAAATTCTATTTAGTCCGTCAATTAGATGATCAAAAAATAATGGACACGTATTTTTTCTTTGGGCAATCAACCAAAAAATTACAAAGTTATAGCGCGTCAAAGTTTGGGAGTAGGGGCTCGTGACGTCACTTTTGAGTGAATTTTCACTTATGAGTGTACTCAAACGGGACGTCATGCGACTTTTCAAATCAATATATCTCTGCAATGTTTATATTGTGTGAAAAAATACCTGTCCAATACTTTTTGATAAACTACCTGATAAACGAAGAAAAAAAAATTAGTCATCATCCCTATTAACTAGCACCCGCGAGTGCGTAGTACCTACTTATACGCAGGTAACGCGCATAAGTTGTAAACAAGTGCAGATGTCGTTGCACTTTCTCCCTTACGCCGCACCGCATAAGGCTCATATTAGAATGAGCCGCACCACTCGACCTTTATCCCGAACATTCACGTCTCTACCCGCAGTGTTCTGGTAAAATCGTTCTCCAGTATTTTCGCGGTTTTGTTTCGTGAGCGTTTGTGACAATATAGATAAAGATTTATATTATTCCTATAATACCTTTATTAGAATAAACCTTGCCAAATTAACTAAATTCTATAAAGTGTCCAAAAAAGTAGATACAAAAGAATAAAAACTCAAGGTATACAATAGTATCGATACTGACATGATTTTTTAAACTTAAAACTAAATTTAACATCAGTTCCTCCTTTTCATTCTGTATAGAAAATGACAAGGAGACACTGTGTTGTCATGTTTAGGTTTAGAGAGTCATGCCAGAATCATCACCAATAATTTAATTCTACTATATAAAAATAAGTCGGGTTTTCCTTCCTGACGCTATAACTCCAGAACGCACGAACCGATTTCCACGGTTTTGCTTTCGTTGGAAAGGTCTCGGGCTCCGTGAGGTTTATAGCAAAGAAAGTTCAGGAAAAATTAAAAAAAAACTTCTTTTAATCACCAAACGAAATGTTACATAAAACGAAGCCATCTGGTGGCGAAACGGAGTTCGCCGGGTTTGCTAGTAATTTAATAATATTAAGTTAATAGCTTAATTTAACCCAGAGAAGATAAGCGCTGTAAGTGCAGATTTACCCGAGGCTTAAACTATAGTTACAGTCAGTAAGAGTCTCGACAGTCTCAATATTCCCGGTACTTTTACTGTAAGTATCAAAATGATCAAAATTTCTTCAAGACTCTCGAAATTTCCGAGACCGTGATTCCCGGGATGAATGATGAAATGATTCCCTAGTTATAACGCAAGAGGGTACGGAAAGAACTACCTTTTAAGACAAATTTCTTATTATGAATTTATAATTTTCATGATATTATAGCTATTAACGGGATTGTTACCATGTACAATCACGGAGTAACTGAAGTAATTGCGGGTAGATGTTATTGGCAGACATATCGATCTACCCTCTGACGTCGTCTTTTACTGCGCTCGATACCCCTACCACTGGTCACATTCTCACTATTCACTCGCACTTGTTCCCGACACACAATACTCACAGTATCAGATAGCGGAACGACACTTTTTTTTTTGCGGTTTTTACACATACGAACCACTGGATTCCATTTCGGTAACAATCCCGTTAATAGCTATAATGTTAGTGACCATGAAAGTTTAAAACAATATATCATGATATTGTTGTTGCTCTAACTAGGTTACAGCTCCATGTATACAAGATCCTCGTTGCCAAGAGTCTCTGATCTCAGCCATCGATTCTTCATCAGCCGCTAACCAACATTTGGGTTCAGTGGTCGAACGAGTGTTGAAAGATCCACGATACAAAGACATGGGAGGTAAACTGAAGGAGAAACTTCTTCTCTTGGAGAGGGAGTTGGATAAACTGAAGAAAGCTTGTCAAGACATCGGTGCAGGTCATTTTTATTAGGAATATTTAATAATTTCATAATTTTAATTTTAATTTTGGTTTTCTTTAATCATAATCTTTATTTGCTAAAACGCGGTATACAGGTATTGCATAAAATGAATTGAGCAAGTGTTTGCAATTTTTTAAAATAGCATGCAAATACATAGATAAGATATTTGAAAAAATGAATTATGTAATTACTTCTGGTATTTTTCTACAAAATTATGAATGAAAATGTAATAGCAACATATTAATATTAAAAGATTTCTTATTGTCAGATAAAAAAAACAACATTGATCATAATGATTGTAGGATAATTAAAAAACTTTTTAGATCATACAAATTGTTTCCATTTAGCCATTTGTATATTATTTACTATTCTATTTCTTTCATCAGTAGTCTTAAATATCCCGATAAATATTTTGATTCTTCACTCTAATCTCGTTTTAAAATTAGATTTGGTCAAAGAAATTACATTATCATTATAATATCCAGCTCGAAGGACCAAGTTAATAAAAAAGTAGTCGATGTTAATTTCTTTTTTTATATTCACCAGGTGAGAATACTACTGAAAATAAGGAAACCGGTCAGGAGGCTTTGAAGATGCAGTTCATCAGATCTGCAACTGATGCGCTTAAGCATGTCGACACGGCATATAAAGAACTGGACAAGGTATGTCATGTTTGTTTGTTTCATAATGTTAAAGAAAATAAAACTTAGTTTACATATTATATTAACCGTGTTAATATTACATTACCGTATATGTTATATTACCGTGTAAACTGAAATACACAGCAGAATGATGAATATCCACTTTTTACGGACTCCATAAATATTAGTCAATAACGTGAGATCGTTTTCTCTAACTTGTCAAATACCCTATTTGTTTGATTTTTTTCTCATTTTCAAATATTTTTTTATATTTAATAGGTACTAAATTTTATGTAAGGGGAATAAATTTTCGATGGTTAATGACTTACCTAACCTATTGGGATAATGTACGGAATTTGTTTATATTGTTGCAAGCCGGTGGTGGGTCTTAAGCGAAAGATGTCTCCTGAAGGGATTTCGAAGAATCTGACTGATGCTTTACATCGTCTCACCGCTGCCATAGCGGACCTGATCACCGCTACAGCCAGTAAATATACAAATGTTTATTTCTATCAGTAAAACATTGAATCATAAGTTGGAAAGTCTCCAGAGATGGCACATCACTACTTTGATGTCTCAGATAGTCCGAGTTCTTCCATGTTTTCCTTCATTATACAGGGTGTAAAAAAACCTATAACGAAGTCGAAAGCCATGTATTTTCCACATCACGACGATCATTTTTTTCTTATGGACCATACCAGGGAAATTTATGGTAATGGAGATATTGAAGGTCAAAGCCAAAATATTTGTTTCATGTTTTATACATTAATATTTTAAAAACGTTATTTAGAAACTTTTTTATCGACGAACTTAGACACACATACACACAGGCACATTCTTTGCGTAGTGCCACAGTAGCGCGCCGCGCTGTACCTTGCGTAATGGATTTTTTTTTTAACTTAAAAATACATTTTTTTCCCATCTATAATATTTTGTAATATGACTTGTTTGGGTGTACAGAATGCGTAGTTTAAGTCTTTGTCATAGGTTTTTTTTACACCCTGTATCATCTATTTTAATATTAGAATAGCATTGAATACTGAACACTTCTACTTCTCCGCAGCTAAAAAATATGTCCAATAACGTGTGCTAGGGAAAAAAATTTTTTTGATGATTCAAAAGAGTTCTAATAAACATCCAATTTGAATGAAGATACCTATATTGATTTCTGAACAAAATGTTTTGTTCTCGTTAGATCGTGAGAATCCAGACTATTTGGCAGCCGACGATGCCTTAAAGGTTGTCAACCAGGAACTACCGCATATTGTTAAAGGTAAGACAATCCTGAACACAAGAGGTGTTATAAATGTTTTTGATTCGATTTTGATGATTTGAGTTGCAGCATGTTATTGAGAATTAAGCTTATTTTCTTTCATATTCTTCATTATGTTAATCGTATTCACTCACTCACAAACTCTTTTCAACACGACAATCGCAAAATCAAATGAAGGGTTAATTTATCAAATCAATTATTTTTTTCAAGTCTATTTAGTTCGGTATCACATCGAGTTACCAAAAGTGGAAAATTTTTGGAATTTATTGTCAATCATTGATGATTATATTCGAGAAATTATCGATACCCTGACGGTTGTTTGCATATAAGAATGCAGAAAAAATGCAATTAAAATACTTTAGGGTAGTATCATCTGCCTCAGGGATAATAACTTGCCAAAATTCAGAATCTGTGGCGGGCAAAATTCCCCACCCCTACGAATGCAGTTCAGTAGCAGAGTAAATGTACGCCCCTGATTTTGATGCAAAGTGAATAGGTATGGTACCAGGTTCGGCAGCGGAGTAGCCTTTGCGGAACATGTGACAAAACCGTACTTTTTTGGTGGGAACCTTTAAATTTTATTTGATTGTTGCCGATCGGATTTCAACCATTCGAGGGTTTTCCATTTCAGCCCATCATAACCACGTTATAGAAAAGTGATTCTTTCTAATAGAAGCAATAATGTATGCTAATCAATTTTTCTATTAGACCAAGTTAGCAACTTTTCAATTCGCACCATTATTTCGTAGACGCTAAAACATTCAGCAGTAGCGAACCTGAAGATAAAAAAGCCGCTATGCTTGAAGACTTGAGGGCGCTATGCAACGCCACCAAGGCACTGTGTGAGATCGCCCCGCAGCAGTCCAGCCAAGTAAGTATACTTACATTGATATCCCTTAATGTTTTTAACTTTCATGGTCAGTAACACTATACTTATTAGCGGGATGCTACCAAGTACATTTTTCGAAAGTCTTCGATATTTCGGCACTTGTTGGAAGCGTTATGATCACGGAATAACTGGAGAGATATCGCAGTCTCACAAAAAACAAGGTACATTGTAGCGATCCCGCTGATAACTGTAATGCCATTTTAAGTTTTATAACGGTAAAATTTCCAGTTTTCCTGGTAAAATTGGGATGTACCTTTCAATTGCACACGTGTAAATTACTGAGATTTTTTTATATTTCCAATGGCACATTGCTGATTATAACATCGGGACTCAAATTAAAAATCTTAATACAACCGCATAAATAACTTTAAAAATCGTCCTCATTTTCTCTCGTAACTGCTATACTAAACAGGGCATTTAAAAGATAAATGCCTTTACCGTTATTATTACAATTGTCACAGGAGATGAATCAGGCAGCCGTAAAGTTTGCGGGTGTTTCTGGAAAATTGGTGTACATGTTCGATCCTGCAGCAAATCAAGATAGAGAACATAACGTGAGTATCTTATAACCATAAATCATTACCAGCTTATTGTCTCATTGCTGGGGCACACGCCTTCCCCATAGATGGAATAAGGAGAAAGGTCCTAATCCACCACGCGAGTACTTTTGTTGTGTGCTAACGACTGCAGATGCAACCGGAACCAACGACTTAACGTGCTTTCCGAATCACGAAAGAATAAATTCTTGGTCGCGCATTGCGAAAACTGCTTAAAAATATGTAAATTTTATTTTCACTCTTAGTCGAGCATAGTTAGGTTTTTCAATTTATTTTCTTTTGCATTCTATGATGCACCATTCAGGTAAACGAATTATATATAGCATTCGATAAAGTAGCATTGTTTCGAAAAAATATCCGTCTCTGATTCGAAACATCAGGAATGATGGATATACTTACTAAATCGCACTCTATATCCGATCAGAAAAATAAATCCTATAATGTAAATCAACAGGTCGTAGAGCATTCATCAGCAGCTTGCGAGACGGCATCAGAACTTCTAAGCACAGTGTACAGCCTCGCCACCGAGTTGGATGGACAGCCTGCCACTAACCTAGACCAAGCAGGCTCAGGTCTAGCGGATGGGGCCAACGCCTTGCTGACTACCACACAGGTAAAAGACATATTCATCAGCTTTTTGATGTACCCTCGGCTGAGGTACATGCTTTCCCTAAGAAAAGAATAGGGAGATCGGGTTATGCGGGCCTAGTGCAGATTGGTGGCAAGCACTATACAGCTGGGACCAACAGCTTCACGTGCCTTTTGAAGGTAGAGATAGTGAAACGAGCTCCTCATCATCAACTTATTAATGAACCCACTGTCAGCTAGCTGACATGGCCAAACTTCATGACAGATTCAGCAGATTATTGATGTAATTACTGATGCGGAAAATGGTTCTCATAGGAATTAAAATTGTGAATTAATTGACTAATGGCATCAACTCCTTGGCCAATACACAGGTTAGCTTCATTTCCACCATATTCATCTTCCCAATCAGCTTAATAATGCTGGGTACATTAATAAGCTTTACTTCAGCCACAAACTTAGACCAAGCCAAAGTTCTGGCTGACGGGGCCAACTCCTTGCTGAGTACCACGCAGGTAATATCCTCATCATCATCATTATTAGCCCATTAAAATATCCACTGCTAGCCCACGACAAACTTAGACCATGCGGGGGTAGTACTGGTTGATGGAGCCAAATACTTGCTAACTACCACTAAGGTAAATGACAGATTCTGCAGTCTAATGATGTATCCGCTGATGGAGAACAGGGTTCTCCTATAGACCGAATAGAAAAGAGAGATAGAAAAAAGCCTCTGTACTAAATTAATAATGACTAGAACCAATTGTGGATTGGTGTGTATTACATAGACTGCGTGCAGCCGAGGTCAATGAATTCACTTGCATCCGAATACATAGACCCATTTGACGACCATTGACAAAGCTTTCACCACCATCTAAACTTCGTGAAAAATTGTAAAATAAAGTGTCAGTTAATGCTTTCTTAAGTATGCCTTTTTGTATAAGGAGAACACATTGCATCTGGCTCTATATCTTGATTTCCTTCCATTGTAGACCACTATAGAAGCGGGAATCTTCATTATAAATATAATTTCTTCTTTCTACAACCAGGTCACAGCGCCATACCTTCAAGATAGATCTTGTCAGACCAAGCTTCTATCTTCTGTTGACCGTTTACAAGCTGCGTCCGACAAGCTGGCTTCAATATGGCGGCCGTTGGTGAAAGATCCCAAATATTCCAACATCGATTCCAGTTTGAAGATGCATCAAGAGAAATTGGATAAAGAATTGGAGGATTTGAGGAAGGCATGCCAGATCACAGATAGTGGTGAGTTTGATACTTTTACTGTCCTCCCTGCTGGGGAGCCTTTCCTTTAGATGGAATAGGGAGTTTTGCCTATGACCCACCATGCGGGCCCAGTGTGGATTGGCGGGTGCTAGCGACTGCAGATGCAGCCGGAACCAACGGCTCCTCGTGCCTTCCGAAACATGGGGAAGTGAGCGATATTAAATTTTTGCTTACACATTATGTGTAACATAAAACGTACAGAAATGCGTGTTTTGATTTTGGAGAACTTTAGATTACTGAGCTACAATTCAAGTAATTTTATAACTGATTGAGCCGCAGATTTGGTACTTTGTGTGAAAATGCGAACAGCTTGTGATTAAAGATGTGTGTATTTTTTTATATTTATTTTAAGAAGAGGTTTTAAAGGAATCATCATCATCATTATCATCATCAGCCTATTAATGTCCCCACTGCTGGGGCACAGGCCTTCCCTATGGATGGAATAGGGAGATTGGGCCGTGACCCACCACGCGGGCCCAGTGCGGATTGTTGGGTTTTAACGACTGCATATGCAGCCGGGACCAACGGCTTAACATGCCTTCCGAAGCACGGAGGAGCTTGGATCATGAACATTTATTTTCATCGTGCTATTTGGTGGGCAATAGGTCACGAATCTCTAGAACGTCAGTTGGCAATTGCCGTAGCCTTAAGTTCTGCCTTCTTAAACCTCTTTAATGATGTTAGTAACTTTCAAATTCATAATTGTTACATCAACATCATTTCACAGGATTACAGACGAAGGCAATCGATAAGCCAATGCATCCCTTGCTGTCTGATAAACGACTCAAGTTCATAAATACGATTTCGGCAGTCGACAACACTCTGAAGAGTCTGCAAGAAGAATTGGATAAAGTAAGTTCTAGTTGTAAATTACATTGGTATCATCATCAGCCTATTAATGTCCCCACTGCTGGGGCACAGGCCTTCTCTATGGATGGAATAGGGCGGGCCCAGTGCGGATTGGCGGGTGCTAACGACTGCAGATACAGCCGGGACCAACGGCTTAACGTGCCTTTCGAAGCACGGAGGAACTCGAGATTAAAGATTTTTGGTCACCCATCCAATAACCGACCACTGCGAAAGTTGCTTAAGTTTAACGATCGCAACTGAACGCACTAACCACCTGCGCCATCGAGCTCCTCATTTATTTAATTTAAAACAAACTGTTCAGCAACAATCAAGTATAATTTTGTAAATTCTTCAGCTTATTAATATACAGTACAGATTATACCATCTTTATCTACCATAAAACCTATTGTTCCTCGCAGCCTCTAGACACCTCGCAGACTCCAGTGCCGGCCAGTATTCAGAACAAGTTGGCTCAAAGCCTGGCTCGACTCAACGCGGCTATCGCCAGTTTACTCGCCGCTACTGCCGGTAACAAACATTACTGCTACATCATTTACTATCTTTAGGAAAACTCTTACTAAGGAAAACTAAAGAAATCAATCATTCTTGTAGCGTTTTCGTTATATTCCGTTTTTTCAGGATTTTTGTATGATTATTTTTTTTCTTTACGCCATTTTATAAAGATACCTTTCTGTTATACAGACTCTATACACCCCTACCTCCTTACTAATAAACGAAGAATAAGCTTGGATTATAGTTACTCCAATGTTTTTTTATCTGTTCATTGATTGTCAAATACCATTTGAGCGATATGAACACACACATACACGGCGTAATTAGTTTTAGCATATTCCTCGTTATAAGGAGGCTAATAATCTCTTATCTATTAGACAAGTCCGTCCGTCCGTCTGTCTGTGGTGCTGTTTCAGCGGCCAAACCGTAAGAGATAGATAAAGAGAATATTTAAGTTATAAGTTAAGAATAGTCTGATAAGACTACAAACCGGATTTCAGTAACGTAGCACTTCCGGTTTTCGAGAAATCACGAATTTCAAACGAAACCACACAAAATCTCCGAAGTTCTCAATTAATTAAATACATTTTTTTTTATATCAGGTTTTGGTGAACATTTGGTTCACTAGTTGTTTGCTACTAGTGGTTTGCTAGTTCCTTTATAATTCCGCTCACCTTATAAGCTAACTTCACACCGAACATCTTTTTTAGCAATTGCGACTGCTTCACATCAGACATGGCACTGGTTTCCTATGTAAAAATATACAATACGGTATTTGACAAGTTTTGAAAGCGATAATGGAGTCCATAAAAAGTGCATATTTTTAATTCTGTTGTGTAATTTAGTAAAAATGCTAAATTAAAAATTCAATGTCCAATTTGCCGCGAAAACGTTTCTTTGGACATTATGGCGTCTCACTAGTATGTGACGCCACGCGACTGGTATTAAAACGTCAAACGATACAATGTAATGTCTTCTTTTTATTATGGCATGACGGAAATGTAATGTCACTTTGGCCGGAAGTTTACTAGCGTGTGACGTCATTTTAGTCTTGGCCAAGCTCAGGCGTTTTCGGTCACGTGACCATGGAGCAAAAAAATTAAAAAAAATGCCTGAAAAAGTCCAAAAACAACAGTTTTTTATACTCCCATACAAATTGTAACAATACTTAAAAGTCAATTTGAACTTTAATACCATACCATAAAATTCAAATGTTAGTGAAGAGGTTCTGGGAAGGCAAAATAATTGAGTGACGTAATGTCAATAGAAGTTTGGAAAAAGCAAACATACCATTTTCAGTTTTTTTTTATAATTATATGAAGAGGCATTTTAGTCTACACTACATCTCTACACCGAAGCGAAGCGAGGGCGGACCACTAGTATTAAATACAGATGCCAACAATTGGTATATTATTTTGGATACTGCCAAATAGCCTATTTCTTATATTTTTGGCTATTACTCGCTTCTCTCTAGTCATTGTACACTCAAGTGTTTTACGTTCCACAGACAAGGAAAACCCAGATTGCGTGAAAGCCGAGCGAGCCGTCAACGAAATCAACCAATTGCTGCCAGAATTTGTGAGAGGTTCGTTGTTCTTTTAAATTTTAGTCGTATCATCGTTATCAGCCTACAAATTAGCACTAATTATATCCGTACTTGTCCTATTCTGTGGTTCACGGTGTGGCGGCGATATCTACATGCCCCACATACAATCAACATTGAGGAAATAGCCATTCGCCTCCGCTAGAGATGGCGCTACCTGCGCTGCGATCATAATAGTATGGAAGCCTACATCGCACAAGTGAAATTCGGAGGCTAACACTCAATAAATGTATACAATACCCCACCTACATTAGTCGGTCCGCGGCCCCCGAGCTACCATCATTCAGCTCGGAGGAATATCTTCCCCTTTGGGATTCCTACAACGGAACATTCTACCTCTTAAATACATAGGTAAGGCGCGTGCCCCAGCAGTGGAGACATTAATAGGCTGATGATGAAGAAAGTACTGGGTTACAATATCTCTGTATCTTATAATCATAACACAAAAACTAATACCTATGCATATTCGGACGAGTCCGTTGCTGAATGATTTTTATGCTGTGTTTTAAGGTGTCGCCTACTCGAGATATCCCGGGTTCGAAGCCCGCTGGGGGCAGATGTTTGTGTGATGAGTTCGAGCATTTGTACTCCAGACTTGGATGATTAATATCTCTTATCTAATAGACAAGTCCGTCCGTCCGTCCGTGGTGCTGTTTCAGCGGCCAAACCGTAAGAGATAGATATAGAGAATGTTTAAGTTATAAGTTAAGAATAGTCTGATAAGACTACAAACCGGATGTGAGTAACGTAGCACTTCCGGTTTTCGAGAAATCACGTGATTTCTATTTCAAACGAAACCACACAAAATCTCCGAAGTTCTCAATTAATTAAATACATTTTTTTTTTGGTGAACATTTGGTTCACTGGTTTGCTAGTGTATTTCTATATAAATATACTTGTATATGTATCAGTATGTATTCTGTCCGTTACCCTGGTCACGGTAATATTATCTATACAGTATTGTGACTAGGTCCTGTCCTTGAAATAATTGCCTACGGCCGAGCGGGTCGTATCCACGCGGTAGGGCTGCCGCCTACACTATTTTAATTTCATCTACATAATTGAGTTTCTTTCTAATTTTGTGATTGTAAATATTTTATTTCATATGTTAAAAAAATATTTTGTGAATGGATTACGAAGTGTTACTTAAAATATATGTTATTTTATGTGTAATATTTAATAAAAAAAAAATATAGATTTGAGACAGAAAAATATTAACGCCTCGACTGAGACGTACGAAAAGCTTTAATATTAAATTTAATAGAATTCGTTACACTAATATTTCGCAAATAACATTCTGCGGCATTCCATTGAAAAAAGTAGAACGCTTTAAGTAATTGGGTGAATGGGTAACAGAGGATTAAATGACAATTGTGATATTGAGAGAGTGCGGAGGTAGCTGTCTATCTACTGTTAATATGTTAGATTCGTAAATTGTACCAAACCGTTTTAAATTGTAATAGCTAAAGAAAATATCACTAGAAAAAATTCCACGCGGACCAGGCAGCAGACGGGACTCGAACCCGCGCCCTTCGCTATCCGGGCGAATGCAACTTTCTTCAGGTTTAAACATCGAGTAGTCACATGCTTAATTTTTTAAAATTATAATTATAATAGCCTTTTTAAAGCATTCTGCAAATCGTTCTATACATGCGGGTCTGTGTAGTATATGTAGGGGGTATATAGCGGTCTTCTATACGACTGCATGCGGTCAAATATTTATTCATTTGTCTGTATGTGATGATTTATTGAGGAGCTCGATGGCGCAGGTGGCTAGCGCGTTCGGCTACGATCGCTTTGAAGTTAAGCAACGTTCGCAATGGTCGGTCATTGGATGGGTGACCAAAAATCTCCTAACTCGAGTTGTTCCGTGCTTCGGAAGGCACGTTAAGCTGTTGGTCCCGGCTGCATCTGCAGTCGTTAGCACCCGCCAATCCGCACTGGGCCCGCGTGGTGGGTTATAGCCCAATCTCCCTATTCCATCCACAGGGAAGGCCTGTGCCCCAGCAAAGGGGACATTAATAGGCTGATGATGATGATGTGAGTATTTTGATTAACATTAGTATTTTAGTTTAATCTGTTTGTTGTTAACCCACTATGAATCCATCGTTATCCGAAATAAATAAATAATTATAATAATAGGTATACGGATGGTGAGTGCAAGCAAGGAACCTCAAACCAGAGACTTGATGTTGGCGGATCTGCGCTCCTTGTGCGACACCACGAGGCAGATATGTAGTGATGCAGGCAATGGATCATTATCAGTGCGTATAGTTTATTTTAATCATGGTTTTATTTAATGTGATAAGGTACAAGAAAAGAAACAAGTTCTGAATTTGACACCCAAACAAAAAATGCTAGGAGGAAAAGCAGATAAATTATCAAAAGTAGTTATGCTAAAAGAAAAAAATATGATATTCATTCAGAAGAGGAAATAATTTACGAATGTGATCCAACAGACAATACTTTTTACGATTTTCAAAGGTCTCATAATCTACAGTGAATTTTGCCAGCTTTGCCCATTTTGGGTACGCTTACCAAACATCAATTTTCGAAAGACATGTTTGTTTAAATGTTATGAAAATATGGAGCTGGTCGTTGTAGCCCTTCAGAAAAGTGATCTGATTGAGGAGAAATATGTCATTTCTTATTCATCTGTAACAAATTCTGATTAATTTGGGCTCAAAATATTTGAACATCCATCATATCTTGAGAACAAATTGACAAAAACGTGTCCCTTATTGAAATCATCATATCTTGAGAACTAATTGACAAAAACGTGTCCCTTATTGAAATCATCATATCTTGAGAACTAATTGACAAAAACGTGTCCCTTATTGAAATCATCATATCTTCAGAACTAATTGACAAAAACGTGTCCCTTATTGAAATATTTGTTATTTAGTATACTTATTTTCGTATGAATATGCGCTACAGAGCTCAAAGTGAGACAAAATTTGGCCATATGAATCAGTCGAAGAATGCAATTTCGAAGAACTACCCGTAACTGAACCAAAGGGTTATGCATGATTTTCGAAATTTGTTTCATGTTCAATAGTCACATGATAAAGATATTCTATTGAATTTTACTTGGTATTAACTTTACAGGGCTTGAAAGAGCATGCCACCATATTGGCGGACAAATCTGGAAAGCTGTTCTATGCGGTCAGCCCGAGAGTGGACCAACCCAAGGAATATGAGGCAAGTTGTCCCTTCTTATGTCGTAAATAGTAAAAACTTTAGTTGAGACTGAATTTGCCATTCGCAACTTTATAAGGCATATGCAAAATGCACATTGTGGGAGATTTTAGGATTTTGCACATTGGTAGATAATCCAGATATGCGATGTTACTTTTTTTTTCCAACAATTTAGAAACGGGATTAGGTTATTCTTAATTTCTTAAATTCGTATGGGACGCTCTATGTATGAATTTAAATATTTAACAATTAGGACTGAAATTAGATTGCAAATGGTGTGATATTAAGAAATCCTTGCACTGATAACAATTAAATATTCTTAATTAGTGTTTATGAAAACATAGTATAATAAAAAAATATTCTTTACTTACTTACTAATGTGTTTAATATTATTGTGAATTTGGATCGCAATAAATTATATTAGGTAATCAAACTTTACTCTCACAATATCTTCGCTTGTGTTCTTAGATAATAGATTTAACGATGGAAGCGTGCAAGAAGGGCGCTGTATTGCTATCGAGTGTACAAGCTTTGTCGTCACAATCTGAAGGGGAGATGGCTGTCACCCTGGACGAGGCGGGAACTGTCACCGCCGACGCCGCTGACACGCTGCTGGCCACTGCTCAGGTAGGGGGTACTTCATTGTAACAATTGTTGGATTTGTTGGGGAGGAGAAGATGACTTACACCATATTTTAGATGGGAGGGAATCTATCATCTTTGTGTTAAGAGAGCAGATAGAGATGACTTTCACTATCTCTTCTCTTTGAGGTGGAGGGGAGGGGGAAGCGAGACGCCTTCTATTATAATTGAAGCAGGTTATATGACCGTCACTGATTACTTGGCCAGTGACGCAATCTATTAACGTTAAGTCTTTTCGGTTTTAGTTACAATTATGTTTGATACATACGAAAAGTTAAACTTCATAGTTCTTTGAACAACGAATATTTATGTAGCAGTCGTGTAACTTGACTCAAAGTATTACTAATTTTCGAACATCAGATCAGCTTAAGATCATACTTAATAACCTAACTTCAAAACCTATTATTTTGTCGTAGTTAACAGCACCGAGTATCCATGATCCTGTTTCTCGGGCCACGTTAATATCCTCAGCTGATGAACTCACATCGACCCTGGACAACCTTGAGTCTGTATGGAAACCAGTAGTAACCCATCCACAACATGCCAACAAGAAAGCCTTGCTTGATGGTCAGAAAAAAGATCTTGAACAAGCTTTGGATAAGCTGAAGAAAGCTATCTTAGAAGATAGATCTGGTAAGTTTTAAATTGTAATTAAGTGTTCATTTAGTGTCGCCGCACACGGGCCACACGCCACAGCCACAAACGCCGCCACGAGAAGCTAGAAGCGGCTACTAAAGTGGCTGAAGCGCGCGACAGCGGCCGACTAAGGTAAGGGAGAGAGGGGTGAGGAATCGCGCGAGTGACGTGCGGCGGCGTTTTGTATCGGTGAATTAAGTGGCTGGTGCGGGCCACAAGAAGCGAGCGACGACGATTTGTAGCGTGTGGCGGCCACCGATGTACTATGTGTGGCGAGTCCATATAAAATGTATGAAAACTACAAGAAATATGCCGGTGGCGGCGATTTGTGGTTGTGGTCGGTGGCCCGTGTGCGGCGACACTTAGTGTTTAAATATCTTAATTTCTAACATATTTTTATTTTAAAGCATACCGTATTCTTCTTTTCTTTCTATAAATTTCTTAATTCAGAGTATTTCTTTACATAAAACCATCAGTTTGAACATCGACAAACCAACTTGATGGCGATATGAAAATATTAAAATAATTTATTTATTCGAAGATTACGTAACAGACAAATGATGTGTGTTTATTTTAAGAAGAGTTTTACAGGATTTTTTAAATTTATTTTCATCGTGCTCTTCGGTAGTAATCGGTCGCAAATCTCTAGAAAGTTAAAAAAGCTTTTGTCGTAACTTTAAAGATATAATAAATTTTAAATAATCCTTACATAAAATTATTTCACAGGATTACAGACGAAGGCAATCGATAAGCCAATGCATCCCTTGCCCTCTGATAAACGACTCAAGTTCATAAATACGATTTCGGCAGTCGACAACACTCTGAAGGGTCTGCAAGAAGAACTGGATAAAGTAAGTTTTATTTGTAAATTAAATAGTAATATTATAATTACTATTGTTATCTAACATAAAACCTATTGTTCCTCGCAGCCTCTAGACACCTCGCAGACTCCAGTGCCAGCCAATGTTCAGAACAAGTTGGCTCACAGTCTGGCTCGACTCAACGCGGCTATCGCCAGTTTACTCGCCGCTACTGCCGGTAACAACAACTACTATACTGCTACATCATTTACTATCTTCAGTAACACTGATTTTATCTTTGAATTAAATCTTATTGTTTGTTTTATGTGTTCCATATTTCCTAGCTTTTTTGTGTTTATTGTTTACGATACCTAATATATTTTTTCTAGTTCACCGGTCTATCTCTAGTCATATTTTCTCTTATAGTTTCGCTCAATATTTAAGTTCATTTCTATTTGTGTTATCAAGTGGTTTATTTTCTACAGACAAAGAGAACCCAGATTGCGTGAAAGCCGAGCGAGCCGTCAACGAAATCAACCAAGTGATGCCAGAATTTGTTAGAGGTCACTTTTTTATCTACATTTTCCTTAAATTACATATCTACTTTATTGTTAAATTTATTCGTGTTATCATTATCAGCCTATTAATTAGCACCAACACAATCTGCACTAGGCCTTTACTGTGAATTATGATCCGTTATGCCTATTCCATCTATAGGGAAGGCGTGTGCCCCGGCTGTCTGAACATTAATAGGCTAATGATGATCATGGAAAGTAGTGGGTACAATATCTTCGTATCTCATGTCACAATAAAAACGAATGCTTATTCATATAGGTATAAGGATGGTTAGTGCAAGCAAGGAACCTCAAACCCGAGACTTGATGTTGGCGGATCTGCGCTCCTTGTGCGACACCACGAGGCAGATATGTAGTGATGCAGGCAATGGATCATTAACGGTACGAATTATTTATGTTGATCATTCTTTTATTATTTAACTAGTGGCCAGCTCTTGCTTCGCTTCAGTGTAGAGCTCTAGACTATAGTTTTTGTTCTAATATAGTCTGGAATACTCACAAAAAACGGTGCTTTCTATTAATAAAAAAAATTCAAAATTGGTTCAGTAGATCCACACATTATCCGCTGCAACCGTACAAAAATTACATCTTTTTAATAATAGTATTGGTAAAGTTGGAACACAAGCATATGAATTGACTGATAACCAGTGGGATAACATTTTAAGTTAATGAAATAAAATTTGGAGAATCAACAATTTTGGCCTAACTGAGCCTAAATTATATGCATAATTTTTGAAATGAGATGAGCATGATTGAGATATTGCATTGCTTACGCTTTTATATGATTGTGATGTTTCTAATTCCTTACTCTATTACTTACATGTGCCGCAAATGATTGTGTATTTACCTGGCATTAACTATACAGGGCTTGAAAGAGCATGCCACCTCATTGGCAGACAAATCTGGAAAACTGTTCTACGCGGTCAGCCCGAGAGTGGACCAATCTAAGGAATATGAGGCAAGTGGACGCAAACAGTTTCAACTTTTGTACAGAACTATGTTATTTCGTATTAAACAATTCTGGGAATCTGTATTAAGGACAAATTCGATATTTCCTTTAAAAAGCTTGACCAATTCTTACAGAATTCGCTGGGTACTAGATCGTCCCAGTCAAATTTATAGTTAAGGCTCAATTTGATATTCGCAACCTTTTAAGGCAAATTACTTTAAAAAGCCCATTAATGGGACGTTGTGGCATGGGATTTTGTTTAGAGCAGATAATCCAGTTATGCGAAAATAGTATATTTTTTCGACAGTTCAGAAACTGGATAATGTTTAGTATCTAAAATTTAAATGTGACAATCTAAGTTTGAATTTAAATATTTAAGAATTGGACTAAATTAAGATTGCACATGGAGTGATAATAAGAAATCCTTGCATTTGTAACGATAAAATATTCTGAATTTGTGATTTGGAAAAACATAGTACATAAATCATCATACGTATCTAAATGATTGCACTTACTAAATTAAACACATTATTGTTAATTTGCACCGCAATAAATCAGTTTAGGTCTTCAAACTTCACCCTTACAATATGAGGATATTTTAAGAGTAAAAAAGGTTATTAGAGTGATTAGTACCATGCACCTCGTTTTTTGCGAGTCCCGATATTTCATCACTATTGCAAATGCCGAGATCACGGAATAACTACTTGCAACAGTGCCGAAATATCGGAGACTCACAAAAACAAGGCACGATCAGCCAATTTGATTACTGACCATCTTAGAATCATTACAAAACAATAAGGTAGCATTTCGTTTGAATTTATGTATTCCACGAAGGCCCTAAATTCAATTGCGCTTCTATAAATAACAAAAACTTGTTTGTTTTGGCATTTTTAAGCGAATTATCGCTCAAGTGGGTCAGGAATCAGTTTGTTCGATTGTTCATGGTAACAATTCCGCTAATAACTATAATGTTTGTGATGATAGTGTGATGGAAGTTTAAAACAATATATCCTCGGTTATGTTCTCAGATCATAGAACTAACGATGGAAGCTTGCAAGAAAGCCACTGTATTGTTATCGAGTGTACAAACTTTATCGTCACAATCTGAAGAGGAGATGGCTCTCACCCTGGACGAGGCGGGAACTGTCACCGCTGACGCCGCTGACACGCTGCTGGCCACTGCTCAGGTAGGAAGTGCTTCATTGTAGCGATTATAGGGGTGGGGGAGATGACTTACACCATATTATTTGAAATGGGAGGGCGTCATATCATCTTTGTGATAAGATATTGGAGATCTTCCAATATCCTCGCGACAAGCACTCTTTTTATGGTGGGGAGGGAGGGCCTCCTCCAGGCTGGCTGATGTTAGCCCAGGGTGCCAAAATTTGCAAGAGAGCGAGATGTAGATTTTCCATACATATCATCTATTTCATATGGCCGTCATTGATTACTTGGTCTGTAACGCCTTCTGTTAACGCTATGTGTAATGTCCTTTTGGGTGTTTAGTTACTTAATTTTTTTTAGCACGATGCAGATTTTTCATTTATCTCATCAATTTCGTATGGCCGCTATCGATTACTTGGCCAGTAACGCCACCTGTTGACGCTAAGTGTAATGTCTTTTCGGTTTTTTATTACAATTATGCTTATTACATTACAAAGTTAATCAAGCACTTTGAAAACGAATATACTTCTGTAGCAGTCGTGTAACTTGCTTGAAACTGTTTCTAATTTATTAATCATTTGTCGTAGTTAACAGCACCAAGTATCCATGATCCTGTTTCTCGGGCCACGTTAATATCTTCAGCTGATGCCACCATATCGTCCCTGGACAACCTTGAGTCTGTATGGAAACCTGTAGTAACTCATCCACAACATGCCAATAAGAAAGCCTTGCTGGATAGTCAGAAAAAAGATCTTGAACAAGCTTTGGATAAGCTGAAGACGGCTATCTTAGAAGATAGAGCTGGTAAGTTTTTTAAATTATAATTAGAAGTATATTCAGTGATTTTTACTTTATAGTTAACCGTATTCTTCTTTTCTTTCCATAAATTTCTTTATTCTGAATATATTTAAGAGCCAATCCCAAAGAATATTGAAATAGTGAAGAAATCATCTTAAATATCAAAAAACGTAATGTTTGCGCATCAATTGGATAATAATAAATTAATTATTCGAAGATTAACAGACAAAATTGAATATCAACAATTGCTTTGCAAATTACGTTAAATCTCCGCAAATAGGGGATCTACAAAAGAATTCAGTACAAAATATTTTTTTTGAACAGTCTAAAAATTTTCTCTACTGCTACTAAAAGTATCTGCAGTGACATCACTACCACTTTTATCATCTTTTGTTGCGGCGGAATGATTTCCTAGATCACTGAAATTGGCTTAGGCTACAGTGGCCGCTTACAAACCTTGTCAAACCAACACATTTCCATGTCTAGCTCTGAAGTCTCCAATGAGGAAAGCCCCTCCTCCTCCTCCACCTAAGCGAGTGACGTTACACGAACCAGCAATATGCCAATCTCCAGGACTCAAAGACGTTACCCGCGACTTCCTTCATAACATCAGAAATGAGGAAACCCAAGGTGAGTGCTGAAAAATAAAACAGGTTTACTTTAATCCGGGGACGAGCTTTTTCCAGTACTTAACCTTTTCTTCAGATAAAAGGAATTTGTGATAGCTAAATACTTAAAAGTACGCATAGTTAGTTTTTCAGGGCGGTTTCCGCACTTAGTCCTAATCATTGGACCATTGTGCGTATCTTGAAACATTCCCGTTTACTCCAGCTAGCCTAGGTTAGTCCAGAAGGAAAGCAGTCTTGGCAGACTGCTGCAAGCTTCCGAGAGCAATGCTGGTGACTGTAGAAGTCGTGCCCGTTGGTCGGCCACACTCCTGCATTCTATAATGACATGCTGTGGCGTTTCGCCTCCGCCTCCATACATCCTCTGCATAGGGGGCTGTCTGTTACTCCTATTGCGTATAGGTGTTTGTTTAGGGGACAATGACCAGTTAGGGTTCGTATAATTAAAAGTACGAATAATTTCTATGTTAACTCTGCTGAGGTTTTCTTTATGGACAGCAATTCTACTGAGCGACGATCACATGAAAATGAAAATGGTAAAAAATACCCAAAGCTTTCTTATACGTGAGAAGAGTTTTAGGCGCTTGTTTCTTTGGCCCGCTGCACGTAACCGACGATATGTGGAAATGCATCGGCTGCACGCCATCGGTCGCGGGTTCTCTGGTATAAGGCGCGGTATGAAACTCTAGCTTGGACCGTTATTGCGCGCGCGTAAAAATGAAGATGTGTTGGGGGGAAAACGAGGTGCGCGGGTGGGCTTTGCGCCGATTGGCTCTCCAGTCGTACCCATGCGTATGCGCAGGTATCCCCCCAGCGTAAACTTCAGCGCTAGAGTTACGCGCCGCGACCTGTAGTCGCGATTGTAAACGCTGTTAAACATTCGTGTTGGTACTCGGGAGCAAAATTAACGAGCAATTCATAAGTATATTATTACTTAAATTTCACGTAGCAGACGAAGTACGCAGAATGCCTAAGAAGGGCTAAAGAAAATTCGAGACGGCAATTAGGGCTGCGACAGCATAATGGCAAACATCAAGCAGTTTTATGTTTAAAAAATACAAAATACTACTTTTTGATGTACTTAGCGTTAATAATGTTACTTTTTGAAGAAAAAGAGAATGATGAACTTGTGACATTAACAAAGAAAAGAAAAGCAAAAGTGAAATGTTTGCAAATCGACAAGATGTAGGTGCATTTTCTAATTGTCTTCTGAAGCATCGAACAATATTATATTGTTCAAAATTTCAAATCCCAAAGGTTTTGTGAGTTATTAAGGTAAATAAAAGACCGAGATCAATGGTAAAGGTTGTCTATTTCAAAATAATATTGAACTTAAGTGTATTCAAAAGAAAATAAATACCGTGATTCAGAAAAATCATAGAAAAATATAGAACACAACAGTAACGCCATCCATTGATGACTTTGAAAACTAAATAATATTATTACAAACTTAACAATATAGTGTTGCGTCGTTATAAATTAATTAACAATTCGTAATTTTCCTCAATGAAATTCGTAACAGTTGACGTTTCTGAAAACCCAGCGCCGAGAATTTCCAAACATAGCATTCGGACGCTGTCGGCCATGGACACGCGGTGGACGTCCGTCTTCGCCGTCTATATGATAATTTGAAATTTGGCAAACACAATATTTTGTGTCCTAAATTAGCTATATATAGATTACGAATTCTCAAAATTAAGAGATTTTGAAATCTAATAAAAAAACAATGTTTGCAGCGGCTGGCCAAGCTCTTCTGGCAAGTCAGAAGAAGAAGAAGCAAGAAGAAGAGAAGGCACAACAGCAGAAGTTGATAGACACAGTCGACGCTTCTGTACTGCAAATACATAAGGCTGGTGAAGAGTTGACTAAGGTATGTCAGAGATTTTGTAATCTATACTTATAATAAATCTGTAGAGAGGTCAATTCTGTACATGAAATATATTTTCAAAATACCTATCAGGGGGTGATAAGTGATCGATAGTGATGCCAAAAATGCAATCAGTAAAATTTTTGTCTGTCTGTCTGTCTGTCTGTGTGTATGTTCCTTATAGAAACAAAAACTACTCGACGGATTTTAACGAAACTTGGTACAATTATTCTTCATACTCCTAAGCAGGTTATAGTATACTTTTCATCACGCTACAATCAATAGGAGCAGGGTAGTGAAGGGAAATGTTGGGAAAACGGGAGAAGTTACTCCATTTTTTAAGCTTCCGTCGCGTGTGCAGCCTTAATGGTTAAAATTACATAGAAATCATGTATGACGGAAATACTCTACATAAAATTGTCTAAAAAATATCCCGCAACAGCATATGTCTATATTTTATGGTTGACTCACAATAACACGTGTACTTCTGATAGCTTAGCAGTTCGGAGCATTCTGATTATATTTGTTTACTCTTACGTTTATAATACTCTCATTCATCCCTAATTTAAAAAAGTTAACATTATTAGCTATTTAATAAAAAAAGAATCATAGAAATCGGTATAGAAACACCAAACTTATACATGAAATAAGCCATCGCGCCGTCGCACGTGAATACTGAATCATGCTATAAGGATTATTTTTGTGTAACGGTTGCCGCGCTCGACACGGGTCGCGGCGGCGGTAGGGTATAAAAAGGCGGGAGGTCCGAAAGCGAGCTTCCCCGCCCCCCCGATCCTGAGAGACCTTCAGTCGCTCACTCCCAAACCGATACGGATGCACATCAGAGTGCATCCGTCCTCTAAGCGCACTATGCAGTAGTATTTACTAAGGCAGCGCTGCATTATCCCCTTCTCAGGGGTTGATCGCGTCAGATGAAGCCTGTAAGGCCTCTAAGGTCATAGGCATCCCCCACGGGTGTGTTTTAGTCAGTAAGAGTCTGACATAACCCTACAGCCGGCTGTAGGGTATCCATGAGGATTTCACACCCGCCCGCCTGGGAGGAAACAAAAAAAAAAAGCGAGCTTCATTCAATATTTGGCTGTTGATGCGTTCAGAGCGTTCGACCTTATTGACAGACAATAATTGATATTAAGAAACCGTGCTTATCTTAGAATAAAAACCAAACATTTGTAAACAAAATTATCAAATAAATCATGTTAAACGTGTAGAAAATGAGTACTGGAAAACGGAAATATGAGAATTTTAGATTGATTTTAAATACAGGTAATAAAAATGACCGTTATTATCTATATATGTATATAAAAGTCAAAGGTGACTGACTGACATAGTGATTTATCAACACACAGCCCAAACTGCTGGACGGATCGGGCTGAAATTTGGCATGCAGGTAGATGTTATGACGTAGGCATCCGCTAAGAAAGGATTTTGATCAATTCTACCCCCAAGGGGATAAAATAGGGAATGAAAGTTTGTATTTTGAATTGAGAACAATTGAGAACAAAAGCTGTAGTCTACACTTCAGCTCTACACCGGAGCGAAGCGAGGGCGGGCCACTAGTACAACATAATCCAATTAAGTCGCACAAGCATCGGGTGTTCATATAAAAATGTATTGTATAATTCAATACATTATAGTTTGTTTATTGCCCCATCTCACGTGAGAGCGACCGCTCGCAAAGCCGGCGCAGCTGCGGCGACAGCCGAAACCAAAAAAAGGCGTAAATATGGGGGGGGGGGGGGGGGGGGCTTGGAAGAGTGAATATTTGCGTCTTTTGTCGTGGAGACCTTGGGGCCTTGGGGTGCGGAAGCCCGTCAGCTATTTAAGGAGATTTCCACACGCCTCATCGACGCCTCAGGGGATCTAAGGGCTGGCGCGCATTTCGGACAAAGGTTGAGCCTGGCCATTCAACGGGGAAATGCCGCCAGCCTCTGGGCCCTAAACTGCGAGCGCAGCGATTTGGGGTCGATTTTTTACATAATATAGTTTTATTTTTATTTTTTGTTTGGTATTAGTATTTAGTTTATTTAGTAGTTTTAATGTAGTTTGTTTATTTAATAGTCTTATTAAAATGCTAGGTATATTTAAGAGCCCTTTTACAAAATTGCACCGCTGCCGTACTGATCGGCACGTAGGTAGATTTGCACTAGTTTATATTGCATTTGCAATTACGGGTGATGTTTCGAGTCTTATAAAATAATTATTAATGAACTAATTCTAAAAATATATACATATGCCAGTAGTTCAATGATGGTAGATTAGTTTTATGAAAGTTTTTGATAGTAATTCTATTTAATTCAATATCAAAATATGAGGTGAAACTGCATTATTTTTGGGAAAACTCACAGAGGTTAGATGTTTTTTGGACAATTAATGAGATGGAAAATCAAAATTCTTATACATTATGTTACAACAAAAACATAGTTCTGATGTCGTAGTAATTAACTTGATCTAATTTATTGAACGTTATTGAGAGATTGAGGCGTTTGAAGTTTTTTCCGTAAACTAGCTGCGGTAGAACGATCAGTACAAAAAAAGGAAAATAGTATTTGCAAATATTCTACATTAACTTACAATAGGAAAAATAAATCTACTGTTTAATTCTATTGGAATCAGTCAAAATCCTATCTAAGAGGGTAAATGAGGCGCTCAAAAATTACGATTTTTTGCAAAAAATGTAAAAGGGCTTAAGTCTTTTTGTTAGTTGTGTGTCTATGCGCTAATGTTGTGAATGGTGTTCTGTTTAATTTGGTATTGGAACCCTTCGTTTATACCAAGAAACGAATCTTAAACTAGTGTTATAAAAAAAATAAAAAAATAAAATTCATTTATTTCGAGCAACATAACTCATAATCATAATAACAATACATAATCAATTATTATAGAAATAGGCACATGTCACTAAAAAATAAACCTAATCATTTATTTAATTTAATACATTACATAATTTAAATTTAATAATTTTCATCAAATAAAATAATTAAAAATCAAAGGTCAAGTTAGGTTAGGTTATAATGTCATACACAAAATGAATATTAAAATGTCATAGGTACACAAAATTTCTTATTTATATCAAAACCGTATTTTTTAATATAAAATAATAATTTTACAATTGTATTTAATAACATTATACAAACCTTGTAGCATACTTGTTGTGGTATTTCAAAATATTTTTTCGTTTACACTGCATATACTACTTGTATCTTGCAAAGTATTAAGCACTCATTTACTTCAAATATTTGGTTTCTCCAACAAGTTTGATACAAGTGTTGTATAGTGCATGTATTATACATGCACATCACATCAGGAAGGATCTCAATAGCTCAAGTAGTAAGCGCGTTCGGCTGTGATCGTTGAAGTTGAGCAACTTTCGCAGTGGTCGGTCAATGGATGGGTGACCAAAAATTTACTATCTCGAGCTCCGTGCTTCGGAAGGCACGTTAAGCCGTTGGTCCCGGCTGCATCTGCAGTCGTTAGCACCCACCAATCCTGGGCCCGCGGGGTGGGTCATGGCCCAATCTCCTTATTCCATCCATAGGGAAGGCCTGTGCCTCAGCAATGGCGACATCAGTAGGCTGATGATGATATTACTATTGTACAGCTTATACTTACTTAGGGGACGTCCATAAATTACGTGAGATGTTTAAGGGGAGGAGGGGGTCGAGTCAAATCTCATCTACGTCGGAGAGAGGGGGGGTCTCAGCAAATATCACGCATTTTTTTTCACAGTAGTATCTATTAAGTATTCTATTGTTAAATTTTTATTACACTTATAACTCTCAGTAATATTGATTACTAGTCTTAACTAGTCGTAAATAAAAGCACGAAGCATTTTTTTTTCTTTTTACAATAACAATCCAACGCGTTTACGAAAGAAACCCACATTTTGAAAAATCCCACGTGAGACTGGGGGTTGGAGGAGGGGGTTGAATAAAATCTCACGACATCTCACCAGGGGGGGAGGGAGGGACAGAAAATCCAAAAAAACACCTCACGTAATTTATGGACGCCCCCTTACCCCGCTGGTTCAGCGAGCTGAAGTGGATCTTGGCCTTCGTCATGAGAAGACTCCACTGCTCCCTTTCTTCAGCAGCTTCTTGTGGGTTAATTTTTCCTCGCAGCTAGAACAGATCCTTGACTATTTGGTCTTTCCAGCTTATAAGTATACTTTTTGCTAGTTATACGCCGGAGACGGGGAGGTGATTCCAGCCCTATCGCCGGAGCAGACGGCTGTGGTCCAGAAGCAGATGGAGCATAAACTGGCTGCCGCTAATGCTGCTGCCGCGAGACTGCTGGCTGCGCAACGTGAGTAAATACATACACACACAGACGTACATTAAAAACTTGCCTTAATTTGAGGGTATAACTGATCAGGCATAAGTGTTCTGTACATTTCAAGATATAGGTGTTATTTTTTTTATTTAAGAATCTTTACTAACATTATATATTTAACCATCATTGTTACTAATCATTAAGGATAAATAATCAGAAATAAAAATGTTCTTATTATAATAACCTAACCCAATAATTATGCATCAAAGTTTGATATAGGGAAAATTATTTTTGGAGGATATTAGGAGGGAAAAATCTGAAAATTATTTAAAAAAAACGTTTGATCCATTTAATTAGAGATTTCATAAAATAAATACGATTTAAACTAATAATTCTCGTTAAAAAAAAAAGATTTCACAACGAAATTGAATTTCAATAACAACTTTCGCTAGAATCTTAAAAATTATCAGAAATAATGTGAACTAGCCCGATTTCCTACTGAACATCGACGAAAGATAATCGATCGTAAAGGTTAAGCAACTTTCGTAATGCTCGGTCATTGCATGGATGACCAAAACTTGTCTCCGTGCTTCGGAAGTCACGCTAAGTTGGTCCCGGCAACTGGGCCCGCGTATTGGCTCATGGCCCAGTCTTCTTATTCCTGCTAAAGGGAAGGCCTGTGCCCCAACAGTGGGAATATTAATAGGTGATATGCAAATCTAACGTAATGATAATGTTTACAACATAATCCTTGTTTCCATTAGATATGAGCTCGTTGAATCATGGCGCCGCTTGCGAACCTGCTTCTACACTGGCGGAACTCTCACCAAGAATCGTACAAGGTATTTAAACGTTATTACAAGCTTTTATTTAACTTGCTATGTATGTTTGTTACGGTCAAATCTTACAACTCAATTTTAAAGCTCTTGCTCTCAACCGATTAAGCTGAAATTTGATATGCTCGTTCAGTTCGGATGACAATGCATGATTAACAGTGTGACGTCATTCTAAATCCAATATGGCGGCATACCCAAAATGGCGGACCAATCATTTTTAATGCATTCCTACAATATGGGTATCAAATTAAAGGGCTTGCTGAGAGTAACTCGAAAAAAATGTGACGTCACTCTCAATCCAATATGGCGGACTTCTAAAATTTGAAAATCTATTTAGAAACAGATATCTTTAACTAATTTAGTTGAAATTTTCTTTTTTTCTTTTTAGCGCATTTGAATAAAAGCTTGTTTTTAAAAAGGTTTTTTTTACCTTAATTTTTTATATGCATACTCTGACGAAGTCCGTGGTCAGTTTAATATGTATTTCTATATAAATATACTTATACAGATATAAGTAGTATATGTATTCTATCCATTACCCTAGTATCCCATATCACAAGCCTACAGTGCTTACTTTGGGGCTATGGTAATTGGTGTGAGTGATGGAAAAAAATATTATTATTTATTACTTATGGTAAACTTTGTGTATTTTTGTTTGATTTTAATCAATGAAAAATGACATTTTTATTTCAAGATTATAAAGTAAAATCACGCTTCAACGTCAAAATGTGAACAAGCAGCTGAAGATAGAAAGAAGAACAGCGTTACAGACACGAACTAATATTATGTGATTGCTGGCACAGATGCAAAGCTGTTGCGAGGAGCTCTAAACGAAGACGAGAGGAAGTCTTTCATGGAAGATGTCCTGGCGCTGTTCGACTCCACCAAAGTGCTGCTCGGTGCCGCTAAGAACGACCATAGGGTATGTAACTGTTTTCTGTACCACCATCAATAGAGATGATGATGGGTTAAAGTCATGTCTTCATTGTAAACAATGGTTAGGAAACAACTAGCAAACCAGTGAACCAAATGTTCACCAAAACCTGATTTCTCGAAAACCGGAAGTGCTACGTTACTCAAATCCGGTTTGTAGCCTTATCAGACTATTCTTAACTTATAACTTAAATATTCTCTTTATCTATCTCTTACGGTTTGGCCGCTGAAACAGCACCACAGACGGACGGACTTGTCTAATAGATAAGAGATGTTTCTGAAACAACACGTAGATGTTTACAGGAACAATGTTTCGGGAACTTGGCCGTCCACATCTCAGTTGTTTCAATTGAAATATTTCTATCGATTTAAAAACGATTTTATTGTCGTCCCATACTGCCGCCATGTTTATAAACAACCGGGAAAGACTATCTTTCTTTTGTGCTCCATAAAATAAATACAAAGAGAGCTGATAAAGTTAGCTAGTTTCTTATCAGTTTTTTTTTTAATGTGATACTTGGTTTTGCGTGCCAGTGTATTTTGATTATGCGAAAAAAGAAAATAAACGCATCCAATAGTTTTAATGACCTACCTGATAGACTAAAGAAGAAAACTGATATAATAAATGGCCATATATAAAAAACAAACTAAGTTTTTTATATATGGCCTATTGTTAAATCATATATCGTCGGTGATACTGCAAAACGTTCCATGTCAAGAAAAAAATATTTTGTTTTTTTTTTAATGAAAATGATCAAGTGCGTGTATCCGAACGCACTTACAAATCGTTCTAAGTCGTCCGCCAATCAGAACACAGTTTTCAAATGTGTTGCAATACGTCACTTTCAAGTCTTGTCACTTGTCGGGGTACTGCAATATGTTCCATGTCGACGCAACGGTTTATCGCAAGCTGATTAATTATAAAAATATAGGTTTTGAATAAATATTTAAAGGTAAGTAGACATTACCCTATAATTTAATGTTATTTCATCGTACTATAACTGAAAAAAACGTAGAAAGCGAGTAGAAATCTTAAATTCTGTACAAAACTCAGTTCTGTATAACAAACAAAATGTTTTAGCTAATTTTTGAATTTTATTGCTAACATTGCTTAAAAACATGTGTCCAGACCAGACAAAAAAAAATGTTACCATGAAATATCACTTGATTTCACAGACAGGTGAAAGCTGCGCTAAGTTTTATGTCTGCAAAGAAATGTTCTTATCAACCTTAGGGATTGGGAAAAGACAGTTACGAGACTGGTTGCTAACAAACACTGACAATACAACTATACCCAATAATGATCTTGCAGGTGATAAAGAAATATCTGTAATTGCGTTTTTAGACAAACTTGCTAAAGTAGAATCTCATTACTGCAGGGCGTCTTCTAGGAAATTATATTTGGAGCCGGTTTGGGATAGTTATAATCATATTTTCGAAGTATATAAAAAGAGCTGTGTAGAGAAAAATAAAACCTTTTGCTCAAGACGCTATTTCTTAAAGATTTTTCGAAAACTTAATTATGATATTTTTAGTCCCAATGCAATAAGTGCATTAGTTATAAACAGGGTCACTTATCTCAAACTGATTATGACACTCGTCAAATAAAGAAACAGAGATCGAGAAATGAAAAAGAAAATGATAAATGTGATACTGAATCTGATATATTAGTTTATTCAATGGATGTACAAGCTGTTCTTCTGTGTCCAAATCTTCAAGCCTCGGCAACTTACTATAAGACAAAGTTAAAGGTCCACAACTACACCATCCATAACATGAAAAACAAAGAAGCTGCATGTTACATTTGGCATGAAGGGAACGGTGGCTTAGAAAGTGATGTATTTGCTACTATTTTGTCTAAACACCTTAAGCATGATATTGATAAGTTTAAACCAACTAAAATTATACTATGGAGCGATGGGTGTGGTTATCAAAACCGATGTTTGACTTTGGCTAATGCTTTGCTTGACTTGGCAATTGAACTTAATATTATAATTGAACAAAAATATCTCGAAGTCGGCCATACGCAAATGGAAGTCGATTCAATTCATAGTGTGATAAATTGCGTGGTCAAAAACGAGCTATTTTTGTTCCTGCCGATTATGTGAGCATAATTAGGTCAGCAAGACAAAATCCCGAGCCTTATAAAGTATTTTACTTAACTTACAAGGACTTTCATAGCTTTTCTCAGGGTAAATATAAAAGTTTGAGATCGGACAATAAAAAAGGTGATCTTTATGTTACCGACATTGTAGCATTACAATACAATCCCAGAGGTATAATAAACTACAAAACCGACTTCGATCAGTTTTGGGAATGTTTACCAAGGAGACCACTGGTAACTGCTCCACTTCGCTTGAGTGGACGCCCTTCCCTTTACCAGAAGCCACTGGCTATAGAAGCAACCAAATTTGCACATCTTCAGGAAATGAAGAATCTTATTCCTTCGGATCATCATGTATTTTATGATTCTTTAGAACATGACTGTTCAGACATTGAAACATGTCCACATGTTCGTAAATTAGTATAGGTTATCAACATCATGTGCCACATCGTTCTACATCTTGACAGCCATGTTCTAGCTAGTAAATTAATTTAGGTGGTACTTTATAGCTAGTAAGTTAAAAATAAAGGCAGCAAACATCTTCGAATGCATGTTTTTTGTCCTATTTTATACACAGTTTTATACGTTAATTGCGGTTATAGTTATTTTATTATTCCGTTAATAAACTACGATTATTTTAAAATTATAAGCTTTTTTAAACAGCAATATGTTTTATGTCAAAACAATAGGTTCAATTAATTCATTGCAAAATGTGCTAAGTCCAATTATTTCCATAATTAAGCTACATTGGAAATTCATACACATATTATTTTATAGCTCTTATTACCGTTGTAACACTACGTACTTATCAAATACTTAGCGACAGAAACTAAAAAAAAAAAACAGTTTTTTGTCTCTACTGTAAAATCACTTTTAGCTGACATAGCTCCATTTGCAGTATCACCGACGATATTCTTAATAAGGATTATGACTAAGTTTATTATTTAGCTTATGAATGGTTCCAATGGGTAGGTATAAAGTACTTTTCATTTGATGAAATTGGTGGGTTGACTACTTAGAACCGCAGATGCAGTCGTGACCGACCAATGGCTTTTAACGTGCTCTCTGAGTGATGAGATAAGAACATTTCTGATCAGCCATATCTGAATATTTTCAATTAAACATGATTGATTTTTATTGACAAAGTAGCTTATCTTTCGCCGTTGCAAAATGGTTTGCATCAAACTTCTTCTTTGTAAGAACTTGTAATCTGGCACAAAAACACAAAACAACACAAGAAATACTATACCACGCAAAATCATGATTCTGCCCTACGTTTTCACCAACTAACTGTGGACACTATTCCAATGCGAACAACGAAAAGGCGACTCCTTTCTTTGTCGCAGTATCATGAAATGGCACGGTTTGCCCGCTCACGTGTTTTTTCCCTCCAAGCACTGCCGGATTTAGGGGAGGGCAACCGGGGCGAAACCCCCGTGGCCTTCACAAACGGGGGGCCCCCACAATAGAGACTTCGGAAAAAAAATCTTTCAAATTCCAACTAGTAAACACTAGTAAACATCTTTTCCTTTGATATTTATTTTGGCTCTTTTTACCTACAGCCTACAGTTTATTTATATTTATATGTGTTTGTTCAATACTAAGGGAATCTACTTGGTTCACAATAAATTATTTATTGCATAAACTCGACTAAAAAAATTTTTTTACTTTATTTGGAAAATAATTTGGGGTAAGGAGGCCTCCGCTCCTCTGTTGTCCCGAGGCCTCTGGACCTCTAAATCCGGCCCTGCCTCCAAGAACCCGGAATTCTTTAAAAGAGACGTGAAGAAGAAACATGTAGACCGGCAAGCTGAGGATGGCTGGTGTAGCAGATAGAACTGCTTTACCAGCCATCTTCGCGTAAACTTTGGTTTGTTTCATAAATATTCTATGTTTCGTGTAGAAAATAAACGAATCGGCGGTGATGTTCGGGAACAAGTCGGCTAAACTCCTGTACGTGGTCCGCACAGACGTCGATCCGAGCCAGGAGAAGGAGGTATGTGTCGAGAATATACTTCTATTTCTATTCATTAAGCTGATGCTTATCCTACACCTGCGTGACGATAATTCTGATGGCTTTTGTACTTAATGCACTTAAAGGACACCCGGCATTTTGTGCCAAAGTTGTATACTTTTTATTTTTTTTATCTGTGTTTCATAATTGGGTACCGTAGTCTGGCAATATTTGTCATCAGCAGCTAGCTGTCAATTTCAAATACGTAGGTTTGTCATCAAAAGGGTTTCTATATCAAAAAATATTAATCATTAAATAACTTCTTTCCACGATTCACTAAAATTAAGGCAAAAGTAGTTTTATGTAGCAAATAATTTTGGCTTTATTTTGAGACTAAATTCAACTGTATACAAGTTTAGCATTTTTTCTATGAAAAGTGCCGGGTCTCCTTTGTGTGTGAACTTTGTATTAAAAACACTCCTTCAGCTGTTGCTGCACATACAGATTTATCGTTTTCCACAATCTCTTTTAGGCCCATACTACAGAATGACAACTAAGTGTTGATCTTTACTTGAGTACAGTTAGAAAGGGATGTCGCTATGTGCTATATATAGCGACACCCCTTTCTAACTATGCTCAAGACTAGATTAATTTCTGAGATCTTTCTATAATACGGGCCTGATACTAGCTATCGTCTAGGGTCTGTAGACACGCAGCTCGCTACTTCATTACGACTGAACGAATTCAAATTTTCGCTAACTTTAGCACACTTAATTCGAAAGCCACCTGAAGCTTCATGGCGCTGGTGTGATAGAAGCGGGAGACATTTTATTGACAAACGTTAAATTAGATTATATATGTATATTTAACATTATGTAATGAAAGGTTACTTCATGAATCATCACTGAGGTCTTTTTAAATTTATAAAAGGTTCTTACTTTTATTTGTAACTGTTGTTAAAAAAAAAAAAGTAAGGTAATTTTTAAACTTGACGACTTTGTAAATAATAAAACAAGGAGAAAAGAACATCCCTTGCTGAGTTTCTTGCGAGTTCTACTCAGGAAAAGGTCTCCTGCCGTAGATTTAGGAACTGATGGTGTAGCTTCTAGACATTCATGAGTGCTTGTAACAGCCTAAACAATAAATAAATTTGATTATAATAACCAACGATATTAAATACTCTAGATACACCACGTGCGCTCATAATGTGTCCCAATCAAGAAGTGCTTAAACACGACTCAAGCACTTCTTGGTTCACAGTCACTCGCGGTCCGTTGGAAAGTCAACATGTCGCTGAGCCCCGTGAAAAAATGCGAAAAAAATACTTATAGCATGTAAAATGTCGTTTTTTCGACAGGTATCTAATCAATGTTTGTTAATTTAACGCATTTGAAGTAAAATTTGTTTTAATACTTGCTATAAACTGATTTAATAGAAAATATTTGTGATATTCAAAAGCATGGTCGGTAATATAGCCGTATCTTTGCCTCGCGGTCCGTACCTGCTCTATTGCTAACAGCGCATTCAGATTTGCGCGTAGAATCAAAGAAATAAGGTCTATATTCTTCCGCATATAGCAATAAGTTGTACAATTTTACGAACTTGCGTTTCGGACTGTCATAACTCTTTGTCGCATGCGTTTTAAGTAAGACCTTATACACTATGCTCTAAAGTTGATTTTCAATGTTTGAATAATATTGTTTAGACTACGCGATCATGTTATGGAGCTCCGTGGTTCGTCCAATGCACCTTGTGGACAGGTTTCTGGCATGATTTTGTTCGTGTTGGTGTATCTAGGGTATTTAATATCGTTGATAATCAACTTACAACGTTACACAGGTGTTTTCTCTGGCCCGTCGTATCGGCGACTCCGCGTCCCAACTGGCGCTATCCGCCGCCGAGCGCGGCCCCTCCCAACAGGACGAGGCCGTCTGCGGCGCGGCCGGCGCCTGCGCTGACAGCGCCGGCACCTTGTTGTATACCGCTAAGGTAACGTGTGGATGCGGAGTGGATATGGTGTGGATGCGGAGTGGAAGTGGTGTGGATGAGAAGTGAATGTGGTGTGGATCTTGAGTGGATGTGGTGTGGGTGGTGTGCTGTACGAGTGGACGGCGTGTGTCCTTGCTGAACACTGCTAAGGTACAGATGTGGTGTGGATATGATGGGGATGAAGTGTGCATGCGGCGTAGATGGTGTATGGATTTGGTGTATGTGGTATGTATGAGGCGTGGATGTTATGTGGATATAGTGTGGATGAGGTGTAGATGGTGTGCTGTATCGAGTGGATCATGAACTTATAGATGTGAACGATGTCATCATCATCATCATCATCAGCCTATTAATGTGCCCCACTGCTGGGGCACAGGCCTTCCCTATGGATGGAATAGGGAGATTGGGCCATAACCTACCGCGCGGGCCCAGTGCGGATTGGTGGATGCTAACGACTGCAAATGCAGCCGGGACCAACGGCTTAACGTGCCTTACGAAACACGGAGGAGCTCGAGATAGTAAATTTTTGGCCACCCATCCAATGACTGACCACTGCGAAACTTGATTAACTTCTACGATCGCAGCCGAACGCGCGAAAGAATAGCTAGAAAGAATTTCGACGCGGTCCGTGAGGGCCGCGGTAGCATAATTGGTCAGTGCATTCGCCCGGATTGCGAAGGGTGCGGGTTCGAGTCCCGTCTGCTGCCTGGTCCGCGTGGAATTTTTTCTAGTTATATTTTCTTTAGATTTAAACATCAAGCAGTTACATGCTTTAAAAATAATAAAAATTATAACTATAATTGCTATTTCTTCTTTCAAATGTTTAATACTTGTAAAAGTATTCATTTGACATTGTGGGTTTACCTATAATGGGAAGAGATGGCGCTGCCTTGCAGCTTAAGAATAGCTAGAAAGAATTTCGACGCGGTCCGTGAGGGCCGCGGTAGCATAATTGGTCAGTGCATTCGCCCGGATTGCGAAGGGTGCGGGTTCGAGTCCCGTCTGCTGCCTGGTCCGCGTGGAATTTTTTCTAGTTATATTTTCTTTAATGTTAACTATGTCTATTCCAAAAATGTATTTTATCCCTGGACATTTTAGTAGTGTTCTAACTGTATAATTTCGTCTCATAGTTCCCAAAATCAAATTAATAAAAGCTCTCCCCCCAGTTGGTGGCACCATCCATTCATATAGCGGAATGCCAGCAGTCTCTGGTGAAGGCTACGGATGACCTCTCCCGCCACGTGAAAGATTACTCGGACAGCTGGGCTCCCGTACAGACAGACGAACAAACCAAGCGACAGTTAAACGGGGACGTTGACAAACTTCAACGCATGCTCGACAGTTTTAAGGTGAGTTAAGGATAGCTTACCAATCATTACCTACCTGTCGCTTTATAGGGTTCCGTAGCCAAATGGCAAAGAATGGAACCCTTATGGATTCGTCATGTATGTCTGTCTGCCCGTCCGTATGTCACAGCCACTTTATTCCGAAACTATACAGTTGAAACTTGGTAAGTAGATGTATTCTGTGAACCGCATTAAGATTTTCATACAAAAATAGAAAAAAAAACAATAAATTTTGGGAGTTCCCCATACTTAGAATTTTTTTTTTTGAATGTGTGGGTTATCTATGGATAGGCCTTCAAAAAGGCCTTGCGGAGACGCATACGGACGACTTTTATGCCATTATAAGAAAGAGGTCTGCTTCTATGCTCACTAGGCTCCGCTCTGGTACCAACAGCCTCCTGAGAGTATTTAATGACCGGTGGGACACTCCTCTGCTGCCTCACTGGGTGAAGCTCCATATCCTAGGAATATTTTGTGTAATTCTTTATCATACTAACATATTTATAAGTAAATCAAATGTAACTAACACTATGGAACCTAGTTCTGAATTAATGATTTGAATTGAAAAATGATATTGAGATTTCAAATTTCATTTTTTCCTAAACTCTGTAACTTCTAAAATAAGAGAATGAGAAAACTAAAAAACAAATGTATTATGTACATTATTATTGTACCATGCAAACATCCACCGAAAATTGGTTTGAACGAAATCTAGTAAGTAGTTTTTTTTAATACGCCATAAATCACGAATCAATTAAAAAGTACACTATTATATAAATTAAAAAGTATTCATTTGACATTGTGGGCTACCTACAATGCGAACAGATGGCGCTGCCTTGCAGCTTAAGGCTAGGAAAATTTCTACGCGGCTAATAGGGCCGTGGTAGCATAATGGTCAGTGCATGCGCCCGGATTGCGAAGGGTGCGGGTTCGAGTCCCGTCCGCTGCCTGGTCCGCGTGGATTTTTTTTTCTAGTAAACTTTTCTTTAGATTTAAACATCTAGCAGTTAAATGCTTAAAAATAAATAAAAACATAAATACCTACACTATTATTAAAACATTGATCAAAGTTACAATGAACTACCAGAACTTTTATATTATGTTACTTGCTGCTACGGAACCCTTCATGGAGAGTTCGACTCGCACTTGGCTGCTTTTTTAAGTAACTTCAAAAAGGAGCAGGTTCTCAATTTTTTTTTTAATTATTATTCGCGCATATCTCCGACATTTTGTAGATTGATTTAGATTTGATGACGTGGACTTATCCACAAACAAAAATTACACACACAAAAAAATTGAAACTAGCTAAAAAAAGGAATTTCAATACGATTTTCTAATGTAAATAGACAGGTATCATTAAAGTTTCTTATTTTAATCATTGATCTGCTAGATTGCTTTAAGCATTTTAAGAAGAAAATTACTACAGTTGTAACCATATTGTGGTTGTATTGTCCAGTGGTTTCGCCTGGAAACCAAAGGACTCGTCTGAATCCAATATATGCGTAGGCCAATTAAAAATTTATTTTCTTCTCTTCGGCGCTACACTCTTGACAGAGTGGTCGTGGTCGCCACACCAGGGTTGGCGGCGCGCTTCACAATACGCCGCCATTCGTCCCGCACTGCGGCCTTTCTCGTGCACTCGCGAAGTGCCGCCTCAAAATTTATTTTAGCAGATAAAAAAATAGACAGTAAAATAATACATTTGGATAAGCAGAATTTGAAATACTCTCCTATTGAAGTGAAACTTCCTTGCGCTTTTTTTTCAAGTCCGCGTCACAATAGGGTATTTGACAGTATTAAAAATAAAGTGCCAATTGTTAGCATCTGTGTTTAGAATGAATATTGGCAGGGTTTTTACTATTTTTACAAAAAAAAATTATTTTACTAAAAACCCACGAAAAAGATAATAGTTTTCTTATCTATTGTCACGTGACCCAAAACGCTTGGGATTGGCGGAGCCTAAAATGACGTCACACGCAAGTAAACTTCCGGCTAAAGTGACATTACATTGTATCGTTTGACGTTTTAATATTAGTCGTGTGACGTCATACACTAGTAAGACGCCATATTGGCCAGAAATTGGAGTTTTTGATTTGGTTATTTTTACTGAAATACGCAACAGAATGATGATTATCTACTTTTTACTGACTCCATAAATATTAGTCAATAACGTGAGATCTTTTCTAAAACTTGTCAAATACCCTATTTGAGCGTCAGTTTTTTTTCGTGTGATTTTTGTTGTTTTTATTTAAATTATGTATTGATGTTAATATGTACATATGTATTATTTTATAATTATTTTTATGTAAGTTCGTTTCACATCTGACATGCGTACTCTGTACATACGCTGTTTTTATTATAGGAGGAACTGCAGACCGGTAAACTGGTGAAAAGAGTACCCGTAGAGAGGATCACTGTCCACAATACTCCGCTCAGAAATCTGGCCTGTCTCATACTGGAGGATTCACAGGTATTCACATCATCTATTTGTTATTTCAAAATTCTATCATATTGTAACGTGTCGGGATGGGGTTCGAAATGATAACTCCAGTTTACGCTTGGCAGTTCTTTCTCCAGCACATAGTTATTTTATACAAATAAATATCTGAAATCGCCTTTGAAGCTCAACTGTCTCTGTGCGGTGCTTGACGCGCTTATATACGTCAATCGACGCATTCCAGAAAAGTCCAGTTCAATTGAGAGCTCACTAGCAACGACAGTTTCACCCTTGGGTACACCCGCGACTTGGTAATTTATTCCCTTCTCTTCCTTTCCAAGCTCAGTCTTTCATCAAGATCGGTCTTATCGTCATGTTTGTTCTTAGACAGCAAGACCTTGTGAAGAGCAGCTGCGCTTTGGGTACAGATGTCAAACTCAAAACAGTCTGATACTGATTTTGGCAGTAGTTTAGGTCTCTGTTTATAAGATTTCCGTGTTGAACAAGCGTTTTTTAACGTCGTTCTTTATATCTTCTAGAAGAGAGCCAAGCAAGCTAACACTCCGCCAGAACAACGGGCCAAGTTCGCCAAATATGCCACAGATCTGGGCCAGGCTATACGACAGCTAGACCTGATGTACCATCGCAGCTCTAATGCACCACACGTGAGTAATATATCACATACTTTTAATATTACCATTTACAATCGTTTATTACGGTTTACGGTTTTAGATCTTTATTCTCATAAAAAATTACAAAATTCACTTACCATGAGAACATAAAATATTTTAAATAACAATTTGGTTAAATACAGAGATACATTGAAGTCGGGGGTAGAACTAAAAACAGTGTCATTGATATTATTTATTTTTTAAGCATTTAACTGCTAGATGTTTAAATCTAAAGAAACGATGCATGTTCGAGTCCCGTCGGCTGCCTGGTCCGCGTGGATTTTTTTTTCTAGTAAACTTTTCTTGAGATTTAAACAGCTCATTGATTACGTTCGGGCATAGATGGCTCGGTTAACAAATGAAAAAAAAAACTTTGATCACAGTTATAGCTCCGTGTCGTACTAGAAGTGGCTTGAGTTGTTTGTGTTAAGAGTTTAGTTTGTAAATAATTTATATTTATTATATTGGTAGTTCAACGCCATTCATCATATTTTATTTGATGCATGTAAATTATCACGGAAAAACCAGGCACATTCAGTTCAGGCTTGTTACAAGCACTTATGAAAGTAGTGAAATTATGTCATCGATTGGCAAATCTACGGCAGGAGCCCTTATCTGAGCAGAACCGGCTAGAAACTCAGTCTCTCAGGAAGATTAAGTTGCTGCTTTTTCTCCTTGTGTTTTTAGTGACCGAGGCATCAATTTTTTTTCTTTATATTAAGGTAGGCAAATGACTCTACCCCACCTGATGTTAAGTGGTAATAAAGTCCAAACGCGAAGATAGCTGGTACAGCAGTTATAAACTGCTACATTTCCTCGCCTTGCCGGCCTGCAAAAATGCTGCTTCACGCCTCTCTTAAAGGACCCCTGATTATAGGAAGGAGGGAACACGTGCGCGGGTAATGAATTCCACTTACGAATAGTACGACAAAGAAATGAGTCACCAAACTTCTTTGTTCGTGTAGGAATTGTGGCCACAGTAAGTCGGTGGCAACGTAGGCCAGCGCGCGTGGTGCTCTGAAGAAAAGGTGATGGAGGGATAAGGTAGAATAACTCCTCAGAACACTCGCCTTGGTATAGTCGATAAAATGCGCTTAATGATGTTAAATGACTCCAATGTGAGATAATTAATGAAGTCATATTCCATTACATAATTTGGGATATCACTATCACCATTATTTAGATATATGTTCTCACTGAGGATTTATAAAAGAAGATGTGCCCTCGCCATACTAGAAACGCATGAAAATGTTTCATCGTCGGGAAGAGTCATTTCAGACTTCTACCGGGTCCAGTGGTGAATCTTTCATTGTTACCTAATCATTATCTATATATATAAAACTCAAAGGTGACTGACTGACATAGTGATCTATGAACGCACAGCCCAAACCACTGGACGGATCGGGCTGAAATTTGGCATGCAGGTAGATGTTATGAGATCCGCTAAGAAAGGATTTTGATCAATTCTACCCCCAAGGGGATAAAATAGGGAATGAAAGTTTGTATGAAACTTTGTCAATTTTAAACCGATCGGGCTGGGACTTTGCATGCAGGTATAAGAAGAATCATAGATGAATGTCATTGTGTATAATACAAGCCTGAGAACAAAAAGCAGCAATACCACAGACAAATAAACTTGCGCTGTAAACGTTTTTGTATGTCCAATTGCTACTGCGCACGCTGCCTTGTCTATGGTCGTTGGTCAAGAAGCTTGCGGAGGTGTACATTTATCCATTCGAATTCCAAATTATTATAATACTTATGAGAGGAGCTCGAAGGCGCAAGTGGTTAGCGCGTTCGGTTGCGATCGTTAAAGCTAAGCAACTTTCGAATTGGTCGGTCATTGGATGGGTGACCAAAAACCTTCTATCTCGAGTTCCTCTGTGCTTCGGAGGGCACGTTAAACTGTTGGTCCTGGCTGCATCTGCAGTAGTGAGTCGTGGGTGGGTCATGGCCCATTCTCCCTATTCCATACATAGAGAAGGCCTGTGTCCTAGCAGTTGAGAATTTAATTATTATGAGTTTAATAATAATGGTACATGTCGTAGGATGTAGAAAAGAGACAGCAGCTAGAGAATGCTGTGCAGGGCCTCCAGGTGATGGTGCTGATGGAGAGGCCCACAGCTCGATCTCCGCACGACAACATCGTCGACTTGACGGTAATTATCTTGCATTTACTTATGAAGTTACTTTTTATAGCAAGGGGATGATGTTGCCTCGCAGCCTTATATATCGATCATTCTCACGACAAGGTGTTCTTCCTATAATTTATGTCACGTTTTATAATTTGCATTCAATTCTTTGTACCGACAAGTAAACTCGAAAAACACGTTAAAGTTTATAAATTTGTGCATTCGGAACTTTGTAATTAACTATTTAGTTTCGGATTTATGATTTTGTATACTTTTAGCCGTGACGAAAATTAGATTCGCAAGGAATAACTTTGAAAAATGCTAATGGAAATTAGGAGAACAGCTTTTTTTGATGTGTAACATCTTTCCTCTCACTTCCCTGCAATTTGTAGGAGTGATTTCGTGAAATGGGACGGAAGTGTGTAACAGGAAGTCGCGAAAGCGATTTGATTTTAGAACATAATGTTGAAATGGCTTGTTCCTTTTGTAGTAGGTTTTTTTTACTAATATAAGGTGAGGTTTCAAATGTTACACATCATACGCGACTACTGTAAGGCTCGCTCGCAGTTTTTCTAGTCCTCACTACTTCTTCTTTTTATTAAACTTTTCGTAACATATTTAAAAGAATATATTGCCCCTCATTAACACAGTAATTTAAAAGGTTTACCTATTATGTTTTTATTTGATAGATGATTAAATCTAATAAAAAGTATTACTAGAAAAAATTCCACGCGGGCCAATCAGCGGACGGGACTCGAACCAGCCACCCTTCGTAATCCGAGAGAATGCGCTGACCATTAGGCCCTGATGGCCGCGTCGAAATTTTCCTAGCCTTAAGCTGCAAGGCAGCGCCATCTTTTCGCATTGTAGGTAACCCACAATGTCAAATGAATACTTTTTCAAGTATTAAACATTTGAAAGAAGAAATAGTTATTTTTTTCTAGTAAAGCTTTTCTTTAGGTTTACCTATTTTTTATTAAAATGTAAGTAATTATGTAACAATATATTGAACAGGACTACGTCAGAGCTGTATCCGATGAGGCTGAGAAATTACACAAAGAATGCAAAGAAAGTCAACCAGAAGTAAGTAAAAAATATACATCTACCCACATTTGATTGAATTACATAGTAATAACCAAACATGATGTTTTTTTTATTAAAATAGCTGAAAATGGTGAGAGTGCTCTGCGAAAATATAAAGGAGAAAGCGGCACGGACTATGAACCCGGAACTTTACGATCAGGTCCCAGGAGAAGGGGTACATGACAGAAATGATGTGGCAGAATTCGCTGAGGTAATACTTATAAAGCTTAATATTGAAGATGAAATTTCACAGAGTGCTATTGAATGAATCTGTATTAATAAAAGTGTTTATATAAATTTAAAATTGTTATTAGTTCAAAAATAGGTGTTCTTCTAAGCTATAAATACTTTGTTTAGTTTTCGTACAACAAATCGGAATTATTTATTATTTCTCTAAAGTTATCCTTGGTAAAAATATATTCACATAATTTAACTTTTGTGAATTTCTGAACTGCTATGTTAAATGGGTTGCACACAAGCTTATGGCCCGCTTGATGGTTAGCGGCCACCATATATCATGCAAATAAACTTTCATTTCATTTCATATTACAGTCAAAACCGAATATAACGATATCGTTTACGACTTGTCGGTTATTACGACCAATTGACAAGGTCCCGACCGAAACCCTATACAAACCCCTAAGTAAACAAACCGCCTATAACAACACCGGATATAGCGAAATACCGCTTAAAACATTTTATAGCTAATGAATATTGTTAAAGTTCATATCGATATTCGTCGGCTATAACGACCAACCGTTTTAAATGTTCCAGCAAAACAAAAATATACTTTAAGTACTTAAAATATTCGTAGTAAACTTATTACTTCTTTTTTCGATATTATATTTGAGAACAAACTTATATTCATTATCTATAACCATATAACATACATACATATGACATTAATATGACTACTTGTGTATATTGCTTATAAGAACTATCGGACATAACGTCCGAAGTTATATGATCCCTTCAATGTCGTTATATCCGGTTTCGACTGTATTTCATATTATTTCATTTCATAGCCTACAAAAAATTGCGATACAAATACAAAAAATATCAATCGCACCGTTGCCTACCTGACCCAATCCCCTACCCCGAAGTTATAACTAGTGATGTGCCGGATATCCGTATCCGTATTCGTATCCGCGGATATCCGAGGCAGAAGAAAGATCCGTATTCGTGTCCGTATCCGTTACTTTTTGGGGGATCTTTTACGGATCTATTTACCTTATTAATTTTAAATTTATAGATAAAATTCTTTAAGGCGAAGGGTAAGCCGCACTAGCGACGCCAATTGCCGAGATTTCAATTCATATTCTTCAGGATGTTTTCTTTGTAAATGATTTTTTAAGGAAGTTGTGCCTTTACCTTTACGAGAATACTTTCCATCACAAATTTTACACTTGGCACATTCATCATTTATTATCACAAAATAATTCCAAATTACACTACTAAACTTCTTTGTAAACATTTTTTTAAACTCATGTACCAAACACAAGCGTTATCTATGCTGCCCAGTGTCACATTAAACTAAAACAAAACAAAAAAAAACCGCCGCGCAATGCAAGTGTCTCAACTCAAGATCGCGAAGCGCCGACACCGATTATGTAAGAAAGTTAAGATCCGTATCCGTATCCGTATCTGCGGATCTTGACACCAAATATCTGTATTCAGATCCGTATCCGCGGATCTACATTTTTTAACGATCCGGCACATCACTAGTTTGCTTTTTCATAACTTTCGTTTGCTTTCAGGAATGCGACCAAAGAGTGAATACAATCAATCCGATTATTGAAGGTCTTGAAGATGGCAAGAATAAAATTAACTTGCAGGAGAAAGCGGCGCGCCTGACGGAGTGCATTCATCTATTGAGGTGAAATTATATTCCCTAAATACAAAACTCTATAAAGCTAAAGAAATTATAGCATCCGATAAACTAATAACATCCTTGACTCTGTTACAAATTCTCATATTCATTACAAGAATATTTGTTAAAATATGAAACTAGTAATGTCATTTTGATTGCTGTCAGTTATAAATAATATTAATATAAATAAATATTTCCCACACTCATACCAATTAGCCTAGCCCCAAAATAATGCCTTGATCTCACGTACCGAATAAACGAGCGACAGTAAAATATTTCTCGTTCGAGAACACTGTCTCACTCGTTTGCTCGGTATATATAAAAATCCATGACTAAGGTACAATGCTTCTATTCGTCATACGAACATTTGCCTCCACCTGGACTCTAACTCGGGATCTCTGAGTTCGCGACGCCATGAAACCCGGCGTATAAACCACTAGGCCACGGAGGTCGTTAAAACTCTTATGAAACTGTACAGGGAATGAAAATAGAGACTTTTATGTTTACAAATAACAAATACGAATAGCCATGTGAAGTGGCGGCATGGCTTTGAAGCATTTATTGGTTTACATTAATCAAATCGATTGTTTTTATTATTCGCGTCTAATTTAGACTTTGCGATGACATCTCTCTCTATCTAATAACCTCTTCATTCAACTAAAATGCTTAAGATCAAATAATTTGACTCTTTGTATGTATGTCGTATGATAAATCATAAAAACTATGCATTTTCAAAAAAATGTCCAAACAGAACAGACACACAGACAACAGAAACAGAAGCTTAACAAATACGTAGATTTCCCTTCATTATTTATTTAATTTGATATTTGGGTAATATGTTGAGTGTTTGATTTAACCATTTTATCGTTTAAAATGAGGACATTGTAATTTTTTTACTGTGGTGTCGATACTGGCATGATTATCTAAACTTAAAACTAAGTTTAAAGACAGTCTCGCCTTTTCACTCCGTAAAGAGAATGACAAGGATACACTATTGTCAAATTTAAGTTGAAGTTTGGAGAATCATGCTGGAATTGACACCTGCAATGAGTTTTTAAATCTTAGTCTTATTTAATATTTATTTTATAGTTTCGCCACAAAATGTGATTTAGCAACGACACAGAGTGTTTCGCTAGACGCAACATTGGAAGAATTAACGGACTTGGAGAAGAAAATTGACGAAATGCTGGCGGTTACTGGAAAATCACGCGTTCTTTATAAGGTTATTATGTTTCGCGCTTTTTATAAGTAATTATATTTATTGCTTCATGTTGGTAACATTTAGTTTTTAAATCTAATAACAACACGCAATGAGCCATGCAAGGGCTATGCAAATTATATTAAAAGTACATGGAAATTAGATAAAATTACAGTGGATAACAATTTGAGTGGATAACGATTTGATAAATTAAAATTAATTCATATAATCATTTAATCAACTATAAAATACATTAAGATTCCTTAATCAAGGTCAAGAAATTTAAGTCAAAACAACAAAAATTAAATAAACAAGTTATAATAACAATTAAAAGAAATAATCCATTAAACATTCATTCACATAATAATATCTTAATATAATAAGTAGCAGAATTGTTGTATTCTGTGTAAATAATAATTCTTCTATTGAACATTTTTTTCGAACGTTTAGACTTCAGTACGGGGTATTAGCAAATTAAATTAGTAATGAACGTAAACAAGCAAGTAAAAATCAGCATAAATAACATCAGATATTTTTTTCATAGACTGGATTCAGGCCCACTCGGGGCCGGGGGCGCCTGGTGGGGGCAGTTTGTGGTGGAGAGGGGGAGAAGTCTTTAGCTCCGGCGTACGCTTCATATCTGGATGATATCAGAGTGGTCAGTGACTGTAATGAAGCACATCAGAAACAAAGGTTTGTATGGTAGTGTAGCCCTTTTTTAACCTAGAGAAATGCTAGATACATATCCTGCCGCTGGGTAAAGCTATGGAGTTATATGGGACTCTGCCGTGAACCTGCCGACTAAAACTCCTTGCCGGCAGTGACGATATGAGATCCTTATTAGAACTCGGCCACACCGATGACAGTAGTGTAACCCTTAAATGTTAGTAAAATCTTTAAAAACCCAAAATTTGACGTTCTGCATGAAACTGTATTCACATTTTTACTAGGTATTAGGTGGCAAGATATAATCCAGTCTTAAAATTTTAGGAATTGGGTTAGGTTCGAATACACATTTTAGTTTTATTTATGATCTTACTTCTAACTTATATTTTATTTCAAAAACATTTTGAAATATTACTGGTGGCGTTTGAAAAATCGCAATTTACGTACCTCACGCCTTATTTATTAAAATTATGATACTATTCTTTCCTGAAATTGTTTATATCATATGTACTTAAATGTTTTTGGTATCGTTTTTTATTTAATAATACAAAGAATTGTCTTCAGCTACTCACAGTTTGAAGCCCAATGTTTTTGTAAACCATAAAAAAAAACTGTCATCGAATTAAATCTTTTTCTCTTTTGTTTTTGGTATCGATAAAATAAGTTTGATATTTTTATTATTTACTTAAGTTTATTGATTAAATTGTATTAATTTTATCATAATATCATTGTGATCATGTAGGTCCAAAGAACACCTGGTAAAAGTGCTCAATTTGCTGAAGACGTTAGTGATGACGAACAGCCGCCATGTTGCCACTTGGCAACCGCTAGACCATCCGGAAACTGCCCAGATCACGGAGCAAATTGTACAGGTATTGTTAAAATATTCATTTTGTTTCTTTTGTCATTATTTATTGTTATTTGTTACATGTTTAAATATATCCATATTCTGACAAATCCGCAAAATCCTTTGTTATTCAAACTACCTACACATGAAATAATATTTATTAAACAATTTCCAAAAAGATTTTCTGTTATAACGTTTAAAAAATATAAATATTTAAGAAATGTTGTATAGCTAAAAGTGACGTTGATAGATGTTATTTCATCATTTACATATACAATGGTGTCGATACTGGCACGATTCTCTAAATCTAAACTTAAATTTGACAACAGTGTATCCTTGTCATTCTCTATACAGAATGAAAAGGAGAGACCGATGTTAAATTTAGTTTTAAGTTTAGAGAATCGACACCAATACATTTATAATAAATAACGGACATATAAATTTCGCAATTCATATATTTTGTAGCAATAACATCAACATTTACACTGGGAATTTTAAATCAACTGTAGTAGTAATAAAAATCTTGATAATTTGAAAGAGTGAATTGCATTTTAGGGATTTAAATTTTAGCTACGGCGGCGATAAATTTTTTTTTTTGTACTTGTAGGAGCTAGAGAGCTATGATTCCGCATTGACAAACAAAGACGGAAACCAGAAGTCAGTACTGAGTGAAGTCAACATCAACAAGTTACTGCTGCCTACGAGATCTAAACTCCAAGTAGATCAAAAGTAAGTTTGTAGTTATTTAGAAATAACACTAATTTCCGTGGATGTATTTACTGTATGTCAGGGAATCATATCTTTTGCTTAAAAAATCAGTAGGTTTATGGAGTCAAGAAGCTGGTTATGAGGAGGAGCATAGAGTCAGTATGTTATTATGAATTAATAGATTTCCAAAGTCTTTAGAAGTGGGTTTGTAATTTTTTGGTAATGTAATTGTATTATATTTGTAATTATAAGAACAAAATAACACGTTAAGAAGTACACATAGTCCAACGTTTCTTCAAGCTTAACATTAAATATTTATCGTAAAGTGCATAGAATATATTAATTACTATTATTTTAACATTTCGGAGCTGTTAGCGCTTTTGTATGACTTTTTACTGGCAGGCAAATCTTTTTAATTAAATTTGTCTGCTATAAATATGAAATTTTGTTTTACATCCAGGGAGTACCCCGAGAAGTTGAACCAAGCTTCGTCCAAGTTATCTTGCGCGGTAGGAACGTTAGTGCAAGGCGCGGGGAATCCCCAGGCGATCTCTCGTGCTGCCTCCGCGCTACTGCAGGCTCATACACATCTCGCGCAAATCGTTAATGCTGCGCCTGTGCACGTGAGTCAACGTATACATCGTTAATATACTAAGGATTACTTCCAGTTTGCAACTAAAACTAGATTTGGCCCATACAATGATGACATAATGTCGACAGTGACGTTTTGACATTTTTCTATTGGTTCAATCTACTTTTAGTTTAATTAAGATTTAGCAAATTTGCTACAAGTTGTCCTTTCACGCATAAACAATACTATATATTCTACTAATATTATAAATGTGAAAATTTGTATGTTTGTGTCTTTGTTACTCAATCACGCTACATGTAGTTTTTATCCCAAAAATGTTAGTATTAAGAAAATATATTAGAAATCTAAAATTAACGCGGACGAAATCGCGGGCGGCAAAGATGGGGAAAAAGGATAATAATAGAGTAAAAGCAATACATATCTTGCCTTGAATGTCTCAGGAGTATTGTTTGTTACTTATATTCTTTCTATTTTTTTGTCATAATTGCAATGTTATAGTATGAGCAGGACTTGATGTTTTAGTTTATGTTAAGATAATAATAATAATAACTTTTTTCAGGACATAGCCCACAGTCAGAAAATAGGTCAAGCTATGAAAGAAACGTCTCTACAAACTTATAGTGTGCTGAAATCAGCTGAGCTTGTTTCTCAGGTAACACCAACGCGTATTATTTTACGACTCATTCTAAAGATACATAGGTATTTTAGATTTCATTAGAATCATATCAAGAAATCGATACATTCAGAGATATCATTTATCATTTTACTACACTCGTACCAAATAGAATCTTTTCCTATGGTAAATTAAATCAGTTTCATTTTTCATATGTCAAATAACCGTTATATTTATTTCAGCAACCAAATAATTACGCCACAAGAAGCAAACTATTGGATGCTTGTAACAGATTGAATGATGCGATTAGTCAATTGGTGAGTAATGACTTTATTATTTTAATGTTAAATTTTATTTTCATGAATTTGGACCCAGGTTACGCCCTTAAAGAACCCCACGGATTGTTGTATAATTTAAAGTTTTTACAAGATAGTCAAAAGCCTGACTTAATTTTATTAATAAATAAAACAACTTATGAATCAATATTGCAACTGATATTATGTAACTCTCTTTGTGTTATAACTGTGTTTTTATAAGACGTAAAAGAGAAGCTTAAGTAGCAGACAGTCGCTGTAATCATATTATGGAGTCCCACAAGGATATTATCTGGAGCCATAGTTATTCAAAGAACTGAATTTTGTTTGAATTTAGTTCCTGCCAGTATCAATATGAAATAAGTAGTGGTAAAGATTTTTATAATTATATTCCATAGGTACGAACAACGTCGCCTTCGGGTAAATTACAAAAGGAATGCAGCGAACTCATTTTCCGATCTCAGCTGCAGCAGAACATCGCTCAGACACCGAACTGGTGCTGCTCCCTCAATTATCCCGACACTCTATCACAGCTGCAAAACCAGAGGGATGTTATAGGTGAGTTATTTCAATGCTTACTTTGGGGCTAGGCTGATTGGTATGTGTAAGAAATATTTATTATTATTTCGATGGCACCGGTCCAATACCATCTATCTTACATTTCTTGAGATATTGACCTTTTTATATCTATAAGTTCTAAGTATATTTCCGCATGTTTCGATGGAATCACTCATTAGAATTTTAACAGTGAATGTTAAAAAAATACTGTAGAAATAACTCCCAAACGAGTAAATACATGGCAATTTCTCCTATGTGAGTGAAACGCCCTTATAAAAATTACCAATATTTTTTGTGATGTCACCGTTATTTTCCTCTTTGTGTGTCAAATTTTGTCTGTGTTAGTTAGAAGGAATTAGAATTTCACCGTCAATTTATTTTTTTGCAGAGAAACTGAATGAAGAAACCCCTATGCCTCGCGCTGAATTCAGTCGCTCGCTGGCTTACGTGAGCTCAGCAACAGACCGCAGCTGTCAGTACGCCGCACATGCTGCTTATTTGGTAACTTATGATTACTTATCACCATCATCAGCCTATTAATATACCCACTGCTGAGGCATGCGCCTTTCCTATAGATGAAATAGGGAGACTGGGACCGCGATCCGCCACGCGGGCCCAGTGCGGATTGGTGGGTGATTACGATGGCAGATGCAGCCGGGACCAACGGCTTAACGTGCCTTCCGGAGCACGGTGGAACGCGAGATAGAAAATTTTTGGTCACCCATGCAATGACCGACCACTGCGAAAGTTGCTTAACATCCACGATCGCGGGCCGAACGCGTTAACCACTGCCGCTATCGAGCTCTTCTAAATAATTGCTTATAACCTGTACAAATTATATTATTATTATTCACGTACACCAATCCTTCTAATATTATATATGTAAAACTTTGTATGTGTTTGTCATTCAATCATATAGAACAGTTAAGTTTATTAGCTGGATTGAGAAATAGCATACTTTTTTTCCCGGAAAACGTAAGGTTCCTGGAAGATTGACAAAAATTTCAAAATTAAAAAAAATAGTATCTGATCGCAAAAAAAAAAACAACTGTTAACCTAACCTTTTGTTTTCTTGGTGGTCATTTATTGTACTTGGTGTTTTTTTTTGGTGACCCTATAAATATTTACGGTTTATTTTATAAATTACTTTTAAACGGATATAACGCGCATATGAAGTCCCAGTGCAGCAACATTTGACAAGAGCTAAAAAGGCCCCATGAAAAAGCAAAACTTGCGACTATGGAGGTCTGCACAAATATCTACTGAAAAAGTTACTAAATCGTACTTAAAAACCCCTTTATAAAGTTTTTGTTTAAAATATAGTTTTAATAAATATCACATAATTTGATAAAGGCCACTGATTTGTTTCCCTTGTGCCTCAAACTCAAACTGTCGTTTTAGCTCACCGTAGCAGATCAGCATAAGGAGCTCGCAACAGAAGGATTCGTAGATGTAGCCAGAATACAGAATTTATCAGAAGCTCTACAAGAATCCTGCCATAGAATCATAAAAACTGAACCTGATCAGGTAATCATATCCTACTTATTAATATTATAAATGCAAAAGTTTGTGTGTTTGTTAATCAATCCCACAAAAACAACTGAATGGATTTGGATAAAATTTTACAAACAGACAACTTATAATCTAGAAAAAGATATAGGGTACTATTAATCCCGCAAAAGTGTTGGGTTGAGAAAATTTTTAAACAAACTAAAGTTGCTGCAAAGATTAAAACGAAGTTGCGGGCGGCCGCTAGTTTTTTAATAAAGTAAAAAACTATTAAAATTCAATAAATATGAAAAGTGGAAATCAAATATTTTTTCAAAATATTCCTCACTAACAGGCCAAAGAAGAAGCTTCGATTGTGGTAAAGCAAGTGCGAGAGTTCCAACAAGCAATAACAGAAGCTCAAGATAAGATTAAAGATGAAAAAGACAAAAGGGAAATAAATGAATCAAATGGTGATCTCGAAGAGGCGATGACAGAACTAAATGCTGTCGTTCATGAAAAAGCATTAAGCAGTGTAAGTTAGATTTCCTAATAAAACTTATTGGTTTGAAAGTGCTTTGGTTGGTAATACAGAAGAAGTTGAGTTTTAGGTGTATATACAACTCGTTAGTAGAAGTCGAAAAGTACCAGATTCCAAAAGTCATACGATGAATTAAAATAAAAAGTCGAATTATATGAATATTTAGATCATCTTTTTTGCTTTTTCACTATGTTTTGCTTTTTTCAGTATTTTTTTTTAATCAAATAATGCTAATGAGTTAAACGAAGTGAATTTTGTTTGATAAATGGTTCTTGATGTTTTGGATTATTCATTTATTTTTGAATCTGTAAGTGTTAGTACATTGGAGTTTAGTTAGTTTTTTTTTGCGCTAACGATTTTTTGTTGCAATTTTTTTCTTAGGCTCGATTAACCGCAGTCATTATTAAAGTACTCGATTCAACAAGATCGATTTGTTACATAATCGAAAGGGTATCGATTGTTCCTGACATCAAAGAAAGTTCAGATGAAACCAAGGCGTGCCGAGATGATGTATTAAAGAATTCTAGGTAAGTTGTAATACACAAGGAAAAGTTTTGGAAACATACCCATTGTCAAAGAAAAACTTAGGCCGAGAAAGACGTCAATCAGATTTAATATTTTATTATATTTACATGTCGTCTTATTCTATTGTAAAAATAACAACAACAATGAAAAGAAAATGACAGTAGCAACATTGATTTCGAAGTGAATTAAAAGTACACACGTTATTGTTATTTGGTAAATAACTGATTGCCGGTTTCTTACAGAAACTTGAACACCAAACTGCTTGCCCTCATCAGAGAAGTGAAATCATCAGAAGACGATGATCCCATGACATGGGTCACGTTCGGCACTAGGAAGGCGGTTTTGGAGATGTTCGAAGCTTTGATCAACAGTATTCAGTAAGTTATAAAAGTAATAATTATATGAATTGATATTTTAATTTTAGTTAAAGAATTATTAGAATGAAGATATTAACTTTTAAGACCTGATTTAATGTATTATTTCAAATATCTGTGCTAAGAAAACAATGGTGTCAATTCTGGCATGATTCTCTAAACCTAAATTTAAATTTGGTAACAGATTATCCTTTTCATACTCTATGTATACAGAATGAAGAAGAGATGTTAAATTAAGTTTTGAATTTAGAGAATTATGCCAGTATCGGCACCAATATAAATACACCACTTTAGATTTATTTTAAGGGTCCTTCAGGGATCCACATTAGGTCCATTATTGTAAGTATATCTAAAACACGTGAATCCAATTTTTATTTGCTTTTACTTTATAGAGCAAATGGGAAACGCGCGAGAATCCTGGAGCCATCACAATCTGACAACGAAGAGGTATGCGTTTATATTTTATAATACTATTATTACTATGGTCCATATTGAATCAAACTATGTATATTTTATTAATTTGCAGGAATCAAATCAAGGAAAGAGGAGATTTGTACAGATACAGTATGTAGCTATTAAAATTGGATATTATTTTATATTTACTCTTATTTTATTTAAATCTGATTTGTACTTTATTTTTATTTTAGGCTGGATTTGGCCAACAAATGGCTTTCTCGACCTACAGTTAAACCTGATGTCAAGACTGCGGGAGAAGAAGCCGCAAGGACTATAATAAGTTTGGGTGAAAAGGTAACTTTGCCGATAACACAGTTTGTGTCGATAGATTATATTTTTTTATCTAGCGATTTTATAGCTAGAGCTTTAATAATTTATTCAAACGTATTATGACTGCAAGTACCTCAGAATATTCGAATAATGTTAGTTGTAATAAAATTTATAAACCACATTCACAATAACTAATGTTAATCAACTTAACACACACACACATGCCCGCCCACACATATACACAAGCACGCACACACACACAAATACACGCACGCGCATACACATACACATGCACGCACACACACACATACACCGGCTACATGAACATTCTTAATTATTGTTAATTTAGAAAATAAAAATAAACTTCTAATGGAAGAGCGGTGTCCCCTGACACAGGCCTTTTAGCTTAATAGAAGACCACGATAACTGATTTTTTTTGTACAAAAATTGTTAAGAACATATAAAGATTTATTATTAGGGGCAGATCATCAAAACGACGAACTATATTTAATTATTCCCTAAGTTTTTTAAGTATTCGAATGTATATCTGGATTGAATAATATGTATATTTAGACAAATGAAAACCAAACGAAAGTTTTAACGGTGGCAATTGACTCTGTGGTTTGGTTGTAGATAGCGGAAGATTTAAATGGACAAGAGAAAGAAGAAATGCAAGATTTGATTACTTCAAGCGAGGAGTTGCTCGCTGAATGCTTAAAGAAACATGAACCGGAAAAGGCGCGGTAATATTATTATTTAATTAAATCTGCTTGTGTTTTGACTTTGAAAATTATTTTAATGACTCATGTACCTACTGTGGGTACGTGAAAGGGTTTTTTTTTATCATAATCAGTTATGTCTTAGCCGTAGGGTCACATATTTTGGGAATTGAATTACATCCAATTCACATGTTCGTAAACCACTTTTTAACTCTATTTTTTATATGGAGTAGTATTTCACAACTATGATTTTGTTTTGAAAAAAGAAACTAAGGCTATTTTCAATAAGAAATAATAAACCTAGGCTTTGTTTCGATGGTCCATGATTATCCGAGAAACTAGAATTTTGCTACACTAATGCTTCGTCTATGATTACCACAGTAATAAGGAAATGATATTGATAAAATTACAATAAAGTATGAAGTCCAGTCTACCAATGTCAATGTATCATCAATGTAGACTATGTTTGTTATCAGTTTACTGGCGGAAAGATTGAAAGCACTGAAGAAAGCCATCGAACGCGGAGTCGTGGCTCGAGTGGTTGAAGACTTCCTCGAGGGAGAGGAACCTCTCGCAGACTTGGATATTCTTGCTGATGCTGAGAAGGGTATTTATGTGATTGATAAATAATGATAGAAAAGAGTGTTACAAGAATTTTTGAGTGTCACATGAAGTGGGATGGGCATAGGGAGTATCTTTTGGAATGTCATTAGGAGTATTGATATTATTTTTGAATGTTTAGGAGCACAAGGAATTTCGAGTGTTATGAGGAATCGTAAGTTTTCACTAAGTGCCATTAAGTGTGTTACGAGCTATAATAACTAGGTATGGCTCTAGTTTACTAGGAATACCATTAGGACTATCATGGGAAATGTCTCCAGAAGTGTCTGTATCAAGTTGGTTTTAACAAGGAATGTCATGGGGAGTGTCACAGAGTGTGTCACTTGGAGTGTCACTAGGAGTGCCACTAGGGTCCTCATAAGTATAATCACGGGATTGTCAATAAGAGTTTCAGTAGAAGCGTTGACTAGCATGACGAATGTCAAGCGTTGTGGAGTGTTTAGTAGTTATATAATATTGCACATTCATGTAGTGTCGTTGGCTACAAAAAAAAATGCTATAATCTCCAATCTTTGAAGACTAAAATATTCATTTGATGCTTAAAAATTAAAGTTATTAGCGGGACTGCTACCATGCACCTTGTTTTTTGTGAGTTTCCAATATTTCGGCATTGTGAAAAGCGCCACGATCACAGAGTAACTGTACTGAAAAATTATATATTGGAGTTAATATCAGCAATAAGTATTGCTGATCATGGAGCTTGCAACAGTGCCGAAATGTCGAAACACACAAAAAATAAGGTACGAGTACATCCTGCTAATATATGTAATAGTAATGTTAGTGATCATGAAAGTTCAAAACTGTCATTAAATAAAATTTTACACCCTTCTTACCTTCCGACGACCTCCGTGGTCGAGTGGATTGTATGCCGGGTTTTATGGTGTCGCCGACTCGAGAGGTCCCGGGTTCGAGTCCCGGTAGGGGCAGATGTTTGTGTGGTGACTACGAGCATTTGTACTCCAGTCATGGATGTTTCATATGTATTTCTGTACAAATATACATATATATGTACTGTATATGTATTCTATCCGTTACCCTAGCATCCCATAACACAAGCCTTATAGTGCTTACTTTGGGGCTAGGCTAATTGGTGTAAGTGTTGGAAATATTTATTTTATTATTTATTATTTACTTCATCCTATATTTTTATACAATCACGTCAAATTAATTACTAATTTTTGAAATAGACGAGGAGAAACGCAAATTCCTACTGGAGCGTAAGATAGCAGAACTGTTGGCGCATCTCGGTCGAATCACTAAGACTGCACGTGTTGTCGCCGGCGCTTCTCACAATACTGACACTAACAAACGACTGCTGGACTCTACACAACAGGTAAAAATATCTTATAAGTCCTACTAGGTTATATATGTTATCCTTTCAATATATTCATTCATTTATTTAATGTTCAAATAAGGACAACATGATCCTAAATATGTTAGTAGATACTTATATTATGTTAGTCTAAGTGACTTTGTCCTCTGGATAAATTTCCACACAAGAGGACTATCAAATTTGCTAGCATAAATGCTCAAGACACTGTTGCTACTCTCGCGTATTCTGCCCTACAGAGATGCGGTCTTGAAAGTGAAAGGTTTCTTAAAACATCGTCACAATTTTTCATTCATCTTTAGCAAGTCGCATTACATTTTTAATTGTTATTAAAAATATAGACCTTATCAACAAGCATGGTAGGTTAGTTGTAGAAGGCTCACCTCCTGTGCGGATTTGAATCACAGCCGAGGAAGGATTTTTTGTTTATTAATGATTTTAACAGTTTCACTAGCTTTGTGGTTTCATTAAAACCACACCATCTTTCTTTATTTCATCTTTTACATTTACCTATGTTTCTGTTTTCGTTCATGATAATGTTTAACAGTGCAAATATAATTGTTGTATGGCACGACAGCAAACACCATAGTTTTACCAATTTTTAATGCCCGCATTTCTATTTAAATTAATTATTTCGGCATAGGATATTTTCAGAAAACTATCTATTATTATCAGAATAGTATCAGATATTTTCAGAATAGTATACAAAATGTGAGACTTTTAGTTCTTCATATTTTTAGAATAGTGAATAGAATAGAATAATCCTGCAACTAATAGTTTTGTACAATTTCAGACGGAGTTACTAGCTCCGATGCTTGTTCAAGCAGCTCAGAAGAGGGTCATCTCGCCTGATGATCAGGTAGAGTAAATAAAATCTTATAGAAACAATATTTCATTAAATTATTTCAATACTTAAATGCCCATCACGATTATATATAGCGATTGACAATCACTGTGTTATTATTTTTGCCTCTTTCTTGTAGGCTGCTATTGAGCACTACCAAAAGCTACTGTCCCAATATGCAGAGGCGTTGGCCAACATACGTAACCTTTGTGATGAAGCTGTCGATCCAATGGACTTCGTGCAAACCGCAGGTAAATATTGTAATCGAATGATACGCAATCAAAAAGACGAAGACATTTTTCTACAGAACTTGAAGGCTAAGAACTCATGGCGTGATTTTCACGCGCGCTCGCTCCGGATATAATGTAAAATTGTAGGTGAAACGTAAAAGGAAATTTGACGACGAGTTTCGTCTGATCTCGCAACCGTGGTAGCTGCGGGACCGCAGAAAACATAGATCTTGTGAGGTTTGAAATAAAAAATGTCCGGAGTGTGCTATGGATGTGGGTAAATAACTCTGGGAGTTCTTAGCCGTAGTATACCAGATTAAATTTTGCACTATTTAACTCACACATGATCCTATTTTTGATTAGTCTAAAATTTCTATCTATTTTTAATAAATTGGTAAATGACATGTTTTTAAAATAATAATAACAGGTGAAACAATGCAGAAACTGCGAGAGGATAGCACTAATGATAATGATCCTCAAAAGTGTGCTTATGCTTCCACGGCCATCACTAAGTAAGTTTATTAAAGTTACACATGAAAATTGTGCAATATTTTATTTAATTTCTCCTTATTTTCTTTAATATACAAATGTTTGTTACTTTTAGGTTAGCTAACCGTGTTATCACAGTAAGCATGTCATCCAGCGATGTGCGTAAAGATCCCGAGTTGCAAAAAGCTTTAAGAGAAGCCAAGGAGAGACTAAAAGCTGTCGTTCCCGGACCAAATACTAGGCCTAGTCGGATTCCAGATTGGAAAGTCACTACTGCTGAGGTCAGTTTTACACTGAAACAATTACATGTGGATTTGTCGGAAACCTGTACTGAAGTTGATGTATATTTTTTTTAAGTGCGAATAAAATCATTTAGTTTCCTTATTGTTATTTTAAAGCAAGATATATGGTATGACAGGGAAGAATAAAACAAATAATTATATGGTCTTAATAAATCAATAAATATTTTTTTTAGATTCTGCGAACGACTGGAGAGGTAGAATCTGTGCTAGGAGGTGAAATGATTTTCAAGAAGCAACAGACTTCAGACGAGCCTATATTCGTGAGTTTGTCTAACATTCCTGTTAATTGATCTAAGGGAAATCGATTATTCAAGAAGCACTAACTGAAAACTTATTGATAAATTGATCTGTGTTTTGTATCGCTTCGTCTATTTAATTATCCTGTATTTTTTCTGTACCTAATTTATATGTACAGGTAATTATTTTTTTTATTAAAAAATAATTTTCAATAATGTTTATGGAGTGGAAAAAGATATTCATCATTCTGTTGTGCTTTTCTATATAAAAACTAAATCTAAAATCTGAATTTCGAGTTACTGCGAAAACGTTTCTCTGGGCATTATGGCGTGTCTCTAGTATGTGACTTTATACGTCTGTCATTAAAACCGAATTGATCGGCAGTTTACTAGCGTGTGACGTCATTTTAGTTTTCGCCAATCCCGGGCGGTTTCGGACACGTGGCTACTGGTTATAGAATAAAATAGTCACTTAAATATTTTTTATAAAAAATCTTAATTATTTTGTTCTCTAAGAATAGTAAAATCGCTGCAATTTTCCATACTATCAAATATATATTGCAATTGATAATTTTTAAAACGTATATGTTAAAATAGTTATTTATGCAACTTTTGTATAATCAAGGGTATTATGTATGTGGGAGTATCATGTGAGTGTTTTAATATGTAATTATAATTATAAACAGTTGCATATAAGACTTTATCTACACTCATGAATTTTATAAATCCTGTATAAGAAATCTAAAACAATGGGTCGTTCTAAGAACTTGTTATTCATGAAAAGTTTCAGCGTTGTAACGATAATATTCTTTTTTTTATAATATACATGAAATATTATATTAAAAAAAGAACATTGAACACAATTTAATATTATATAACACCACGCATCAAGCAGGGGAAATTGTGGCTGTCTTATGAGAGAGCACTTGGTGCGGAATTTATTTAAAAACCGAAGGAGTGTCATTATGAAATTTAGTAAATTACAACACCCCTTTGGGTGTCATAACGATGACATTGGTTGTTTTCATGTGGGCAATAAGATAACTGTTTCAGAAACTTTAGTAGAGGTTTCAAAGTATATGTTTAGATAAAATTATTTGTGTAGGCCGCTGCGTTGGATCTGCACACGGCCATCAGGTCGTGGTCGGCGAAGGACAACGAGATAGTGGCCGTCGCCAAGAGGATGGCCGTACTCGTCGCGAAGCTCTCCCACTACATGAACACCGGTATGCTAACAATATTAGTAGTACATATTTAAATGATCATCGAAATATTGTAACTGATACTCAAAAAATAAAATTGGTAACCTAACCTAAACCATATGAATATATTCAATTTTACAAAATCTTTTTATTAATAACACATCAGGCGGGTACAACATAAGCTTAAAAATTACAAAAGTTAAAATTTAAGGTGATCATTTTTTAAGGTTCATTTAAATATTTCACATATTTATTACACACATACATACATGCAGAAAGGCAGACAGAACAGATATATACTCAACAAGCCCATACATCAATCTTACGGTTCCTTCTCATCTATACGAGTAACTTTTTACCTGGCTGCGCAATGCAAGAGCGCGAAGCGCGACGCGCAGACAGGGTTATGTGTTTAACAGTCTATATATGTATGTTTGTTCCTTTGTGGCACACTAGAGACCAAACGCCTGGACCGATTTTGATGATTCATACATCAATCGATTCGCCTCAATTATGGGAGTGCTACTAAAGATATGATAGTAATCAAAATTCAATATGGGCAAAATTGGGCGCCATATTGTGACGAAGTAAAAAAAATAAGTTGACAAAATATGTCGAGTAGGGTATCACTGTCTAGATAATCAAAAATCATATTTAGGTTCCTAACACCATTTTTCATTTAATATGATTGTTTAGGATCTACAACGCTTTAAAGTTATACCACTTACGCTTTTAATTTCAATCTTACGTTTGTATGGATCTTTTTTGTTTTATTTAAAGAGTGATTTGCCTGAAAACCTAAGAAACAAACCTATTGCTTTGTTTAGAACGCAAGCGCGACGTGATAGTGACGGCGAAGAGCATCGTCAGCGAGTCGCACGAGGTAGCCGAGCTCGCCAGGAAGCTCGCGCACGAGTGCTCCGACATCAGGATCAAAACCGTATGTTACCGATTCAAACTGACAGCCTTCATATTACATTGTTTTAAACTTTCATCATCATCATCATCAGCCTATTAATGTGCCCTGTGACGGCGACATCTATATGCCCCACATATATATAACGGATCATTACTCACCATCCTCAAGAGATGGCGTTACCTGCACTGCGATCATAATAGTATGGAAGCCTACATCGCGCAAATGAAATTAGGAGGCTAACTCTTCATATATACGATGCCCGACCAACATCAGTCGGGCCGCGGCCCCCGAGTTAACATCACCCAGCTCGGAGGAAGATCTTCCCCTTTGGCCTTCCTACATCCCCACTGCTGGAGCACAGGCCTTCCTTATGGATGGAATAGGGAGATTGCGCCATGACCCATCACGCGGGCCCAGTACGGATTGGCGGGTGCTAGCGACTGCAGATGCAGCCGGGACCAACGGCTTAGCGTGCCTTCCGAAGCACGGAGGAGCTCGAGACAGTAAATTTTACAGTAAATTCACCCATCCAAGGACCGACCACTGCGAAAGATGCTTAACTTCAACGATCGCAGTCGAACGCGCTAACCACTGGCGCCATCGAGCTCCTCACTAAACTTTCATGGTCACTAACATTATAGTAATATAAGTTATTTACGGGATTGTTACCATGTACCTTGTTTTTAGCGAGTTTCCGATATTTCGGCACTGTTGCAAGCGCCATGATCACGGAGTAACTGAAGTAATTGCGGGTAGGCTGTTAGTGGTTTGACATATCGGTCTATCCTCCGACGAAGTCTTTTATTTACGGCTTCCAATCCCGCAGCCTATCTTTAATCTCGGTACTTGCGGGATTGCAAATTTTCGATCGCACGGGATCCCGGTATTTGCGGGATCCCGCATAGAAATTAATGATATCAATTATTAAGCTAAATAAAACAACGAAACAATCAACGTATTTAAATTTTTATTATAGTTTACCTTTTAAATATTAAATATTACACATAAAAAAATAACATTGCACTTCTTTAAGTTCTATTGAGATTAAAATCAACCTATGTTAAACAAACTGTAAGGAACTAAGGACCTCAATTATAATTTAAGACAAATTATTAAAATATCAAATTTATTATTTGCTTTTACCAATATTTTGTTGAAAATGTTTGCGAAGAAAACTTACCATGTCTAAGGTGTCGTCAGCCAAACTACTACGAATTTTAAACGCAATATAACTAGCCGCCGAAAAAGCCCTTTCAGCTTCCACGCTAGTTGACGGAATTCCTTTTAAGGCGTTGTGCGCAAAGCTTAGATATTTGCCTATGGAGCCCCCAGATTCATAAAGAGTCATCTCTTTTTTTATGATGGACTCGAGTGTGTTAGCCCGAGATGGCGACGGACATATGTCCGTCGCTGGGAAGCTGATGATATAGTCAACTGTAACTCCTGCTGCAAGGTAAGTGAAAGGTTAGGATCGGAAACCTCTTCATAGTTTCTATTTGTGACTTCACGTAGTTGATCTCCTTGCTGAACAACGTCTTCGTTGTTATTGTTCTCAGCAGTCTCCTTTTTGCAGTCCCGCGGCATCCCGCGCTCGTAATCCCGCTAGGAGCGGGACTGGAAAAAGGCGCGGGATCTCGGAATACCGGGATTGGAAGCCCTACTTTTATTGCGTTAGATACCCGTACCACTGTTCACATTCTCACTATTCACTATTCTAAACTCGCTAAAAACAAGGTACATGGTAACAATCCCGTTAATAACATATATTACTATAAATCCTTCATATTGCTTTGTCTTATGGCCGAGTGGTTTGTACGCCGGGTTTCATAGTGTCGCCGACTCGAGAGGTCCCGGGTTCGAATCGCAGTGGGGGCAGATGTTTGTGTGATGAATACGAGCATTTGTACTCCAGTCATGGATGTTTAATATGTATTTCTATATCATCATCATCATCATCAGCCTATTAATGTCCCCACTGCTGGGGTACAGACCTTCCCTATGGATGGAATAGGGAGATTGGGCCATGACCCACCACGCGGGCCCAGTGCGGGTTGGTGGGTGCTAGCCACTGCAGATGCAGCCGGGACCAACGGCTTAGCGTGCCTTCCGAAGCACGGAGGAGCTCGAGACAGTAAATTTTGGTCACCCATCCAATGACCGACCACTGCGAAAGTTGCTTAACTTCAACGACCACTGCGAAAGTTGCTTAACTTCAACGACCACTGCGAAAGTTGCTTAACTTCAACGACCGCAGCCGAATGCGCTAGCCACCTGCGCCATCGAGCTCCTCCATATAAATATACTTATATATGTACAGTATATGTATTCTATCCGTTACCCTAGTATCCCACAGCAGAAGCCTACAGTGCTTACTAACTAACCCCAAGGTTAGGCTAATTGGTGTGAGTGTTAGACATGCCTTCATATTACTTTGTCTCATTTCCTCATCTGTGAGGCATGTGCGAGTCTAAGACTAAAGGACACCCGGCATTTTGTGCCAAAGTTGTATACTTTTTTAATTTTTGAAGTTATACTTCTTTAGGCGCGTTATGAATAAATGACGAGAGTGAAATTTTAAGATGCGCGCGCATCACTGTAACAGAAAAGTAACACCATGAAGTCGGCCGCTAAACCGCACATTACTCGTAAGTCTCGAAAAAAAGCTTCCAACAAAATAGTAATAGGATCTCTTAGTCGCACATGTTGGGACGCTCGTCGCCTCTGATCACTGTTTTCATATTTATAATATTTATCCACATGTTTCTAGTTTCTATATTCTTAACACGTGTTATAATGTTATACAAATGCGAAATTTATATGTGCTAATAAATTTTATTCAGTAGTGATTTAAATTAAATATTGTGATTATTTAATAAATTTTTCAAATTAAAACTGAACTTTATTGACTGCGTTGACTATCCTTTTCCAATCCTTTTCTTATCTTATTGTAATTAATTATCTGCATGCAATTAAAAACTATTTTTTAGACATGACAGACCTGTATTCCAAAAAGAAGTACTTATAACTTCTCACGCGCGTACTTAAGTACACGCACCCATTTTTTTTTATCTGTGTTTCATAATTGGGTAACGTAGTCTGGCAATATTTGTCATCAGCAGCTAGCTGTCAATGTCAAATACGTAGGTTTGTCATCAAAAGGGTTTCTATATCAAAAAATATTAATCATTAAATAACTTCTTTCCACGATTCACTAACAATAAGGCAAAAGTAGTTTTATGTAGCAAACAATTTTGGCTTTATTTTGAGACCAAATTCAACTACGTTTAGTAGTATACAAGTTTAGCATTTTTTCTATGAAAAGTGTCGGGTCTCCTTTCTTTATTCAAATTAAAATCATTATGGCGCGTCACTTGCGCGTTAGTCCGAATAGGAGTGCCAATGGAATTCGTGTAAACGATTAAGTATAAATGAACGCCCGTAACCGGATTGTTTTCGTTTTGGTTGCCTGACACCGTCTTCTAGCCTGTATTCCAGTGTAAATATTGCTTCTGGTGCCCGAATTTGAGTGATGTCTTTCATGCATTCGATTACGGGTTATCGACCAAATGTAGTTGAGCCATTAAGTAAATTTCGTTACACCGTAACCGAGACACCTGTAATAGGGATGATGACTAATTTTTTTTTCTTCGTTTATCAGGTAGATTATCAAAAAGTATTGGACACGTATTTTTTTTTTCACATAATATAAACATTGCAGAGATATATTGATTTGAAAAGTCGCATGACGTCATGTTTGAGTACACTTTTAAGGGAAAATTCACTCAAAAGTGACGTCACGAGCCCCTACTCCCAAACTTTGACGCGCTATAACTTTGTCATTTTTTGGTTGATTGCCCAAAGAAAAAATACGTGTCCATCATTTTTTGATCATCTAACTGACGGACTAAATAGAATTTCGTTTACTGTACCCCGTCATCACCCCTATTGGCCTTTCTATGCAACTAAACTTTGTAATTAATACGCTGATGGTTACTTAAAAAAAAATGGGTGCGTGTACTTATGTAGGCGCGTGAGAAGTTATCCTTCTTTGGCATCGTTTAAAATTAGTTTTTAATTGCATGCAAATAATTAATTACAATAAATTAATAAAAAGTCTGGAATAGGATACAGTCAATAAAGTTCAGTTTTAATTTGAAAAAATAAATAAATAATCAAAATATTCAATTAAAATCGCTACTGAATATAATTTATTAGAACATATTATGTGATTTGCACTTGTATGAAACTCAAACACGTATTCCGAATATACAAACTAGAAACATGTGGATAAATATTATAAATATGAATACCTATAACTGTTACTTTATTACAAAAAATAAAGATGTGGTTTTTGGTTCTACTACACCAATGTTCAAGAGATGGCGCTGTAGTCTCCTGAATCGCGCTTTGGTTCCGTTGTTCCAGATTAATAAATACTTTTGATAGGCCTTCACAATGCATTCGTTAGCACCCACTAAATAGAGTTTCTATTTCTATTTTGTTCGTAGATTTTCTTAATGTGCGGTAAACACAAAAGTAACGCATGAAGTTGGTCGCTAAAGCGACACACTTCATGCTGTTAAAATTTTGTGTTACAGTGATGCGCGCGGATCTTAAAATTTCACTCTCATCATTTTTTCATAACGCGCCTAAAGAAGTATAACTTCAAAAAAACGACGGTTTGCACTCCGGGAGTGCCGGCAGAAGTGAAAACTTGAATATTAACGTTGTGCATTTTTGATATTTTGGAATGGTTAGGGAATAATTTTGCACGAATTGCTTTAATTATCAGTATAAAAGTACTATCATGTATGTGGTAGAATACAATATTTATTTATTGCGCTATCGTACACAAACATGACAATTTAATTGTATTACATTAAAAAAGTTTATCTCTCAGAAAAATCAACTTACATGAATCACGTTTAAGTGCACTTAGCGACATCTTTTGTAAAAAAATGCATTTTCTTTGCAATAAAGCTACCACGTGGGCGTCCTAGATAGAGACTCATTGTTATAATACGGTAAAATATAATATTACTATGTTTCGTCCAATATATTGAAAGTCAACAACCTTTCCAATTTTATTGTGTGTCATGATGCGATCAGCCCACGTGTTTAACCTGACGCGAGTTTAACATTTTTTACCCAAACAAAATAAAAGTATACAACGCCGCTAAAGAAGTTTTCACTTCAAAAATACAAATATATTTTGAGTTGGTGCCATGCCAACAAACCTACTTGAAAGGATTTGAGTTGCGCTTCAGTACTTGGGTTGGAATACCGTAACCTTACATTAATGTAGAGTAGTTCAAGTAAACTTTGTTTGCTCTTTTATTAGTACTGAACTAGCAAACCAGTGAACCAAATATTCACCAAAAAAAAATGTATTTAATTAATTGAGAACTTCGGAGATTTTGTGTGGTTTCGTTTGAAATAGAAATCACGTGATTTCTCGAAAACCGGAAGTGCTACGTTACTCACATCCGGTTTGTAGTCTTATCAGACTATTCTCAACTTATAACTTAAACATTCTCTTTATCTATCTCTTACGGTTTGGCCGCTGAAACAGCACCACGGACGGACGGACGGACGGACGGACTTGTCTAATAGATAAGAGATTTATTCAACAATGATATAATGTGTCTTATTTTAAATTAATTTGTACTTAGCTGTTATTATTAGTCTGAAAGATTTCGTCCAGAATGCGCCTATACCTAAAAAAAACAGATCATCAAATCAATTATTATTGGTTAATTTTTTATTTGTATTTGTTACAGAATCTATTGAAAATTTGCGAGAGAATACCCACGATCAGTGGACAATTGAAAATGTTGGCCACCGTTAAAGGATCACTCGGAAATCAAGGTCAGCCATTTTTTCATTAAAGTAAAATTTCTTTTCGGAATGTGTGTAAATGGAAAAATCCTATGGAAAAGATGAAACGGAAATACGACACGAGCGTCACACACGTGTATATATATATATATGTATATTATTTCTATATTATAATATAGAAATTATTTCTTCATCTGGTATATTATTGTCTTATGTACCGCTAAATGTTAGATTATTTAAGAAAAGAAGTTTAACTTCAAATGTGTGGACCATGATGCATACTATTTTTTTAGGAACTTTTACACAGGTCGTGCTTCATTATGCGAAGTCACATATTTAAATTATTGTTTGCAAGAAATTTATGCCTTTGATGATAAGAAGCGGGTAAGACAGTCAAAATTTGATCTTCCTTCCGATGAATTTACCAAAGTCACTAATATATGTACTTGTAGATGTTTGTGTATTAGTCAATATCTCATAGGGTATTTGACAGTATTCGAATGAATGTTGGCAGGGGCTTTTACTATTTCTACATAAAAATATTCATAATTAATTAGTAAAAAAGATAATAGTTTTTTTTATATATTGTCACGTGACCGAAACCGCAAGAGATTTCCGGATCCTTCTCTGACGTCACTCGCTAGTAAATTCCCGCTTAAAGTGACAAATACCTTGTATCGTTTGACGTTTCAATGACAGTCGTGTGACGTCACATACCAGTGAGACGCCATAGTGTACAGAGAAACATTTTTGCGGCAACTTGAAAATTGAGTTTTTGATTAGTTTTTCCTGAAGTACACAAAAGAATTATGAATATTTATATAATATTTTTTATGGACTCCATAACATTAGGAAATAACGTGTGATCGTTTATTAAAACTTGTCAAATACCCCATTAAGGAATTAGCAGCATTTCAATGTATGAACAAAAGGCGAAATTATGTCTTCATCTGGTATCAGTTTTTCTATCTTCATCAGAAGAGTTTCATTTATTTGGATTGATATTTATTTACTTATAGTAAATACAGGGTTGATGTATAGGTGTGGACGCTCCAAAATTTGGGGTGGGCCACTTACGAGCACGTACCAGTGGATTTTTTTTCTCTGTTTGGTCCTTGGGCCAGAACCCTGTCTGTTCCGCTTTAAATCCAGCCCTGAGTAAATATATGATTTATTGACAGGTTTAAAAGAGGACCAAGAAGATATGAACATGCTGGTTGCAAACGCTCAGAATCTCATGCTCAGTGTAAGTGTAATTTTGTATAATTGCCCATTGATCATTATTAATCACTCATCATCGGCTATTAATGTACCCACTGCTGGGGCACAGGTCTTCCTTATTAATGGAAGAGAGATTGGGCCATGGCCCATCACGCCGGCAAAGTGCGGATTGGTGGGTGCTAACGACTGCAGATGCAGCCGACGCGACGGCTTAACATGCCTTCCGAAGCACGGAGGAGCTCGGGGTAGTAAATTTTTGGTCACCCATCCAATGACTGACCACTGCGAAAGTTGCTTAACTTCAATGATCGCAGACGAACGCGATAACCACTTGCGCCATCGAGCTCCTCATTATTAATCAGAAATCAATTATTAATCTAGTTCTGAAACATCCATGTGGTTAGTTTTAAAGGAGTTAAATAAACATGAAGATTAATCTGTGGTCACTGTTCGTAATGAGGACTACCGTTTTCTGTCTCACCAGATGGCGCCACTGTTGAGTGACGTCCTAAATTGTAACTTTTAAAGTTTATTAATACGCACATGAAATCAAAGGTTACATTTAGATTTATTTTAACACAAAAAAACCATATCCTAAACATAATAGGCCATGCCACAGTGACGCCCAGTTCCGTTTTATTCGGAAAAAATGGGAACATAATCATTTTTTCTACGCTCAAATTTTTAATAACTGACATTCATTGCCACATAACTCATATCTGCCATAATTAAGCCGAATTGTTACCAATTATTCACAACATTATTTTAATAAGAAATAAACCCGCGTAGTCAACCAACAAGCGATAACATTTGACATTTCGGAGACCTCACGCTACACTAGCACCTCTAGCGGCGGATTCATACGCGATAGCCCTCATTGAACCTTACTGTCAACTTACACTATGGAACCTAGTTCTGAAATAAATGATTTGAATTGAATTACTACTACTGTCTATTGACTACTACTGTCACTGTGTGTTTGACAGGAAAAACATTTTTCATGTATGTGGTCATTAAAGACAAGTATGTACACCTGAAATCTTGATGATGATGATGATAATGTACACCTTTTTTTTCAAGGTATCACCTACTTTAAGGTACTGGGTCCAAAACCTGATAGGGAGATGACGGTAGGGGTTAAATATTTGTATGACGAATACCAGAATCTGTAGCCGAGTCATGTTTATATAAATCATTATCATTATCGTCAGCCTATTAATGTCCCCACTGCTGGGGCACACGTCTTTCCTATGGTTGGAATAAGGAGACTGGGCCGCGACCCAACACGCAGGCCCAGTGCGGATTGGTGGGTGCTAACGACTGCAGATGCAGCCGGGACCAACGCCTTAACATGCCTTCCGAAGCACGGAAACTAATCTACCATCACTGAACTACTGAAATATGTATATATTTTTACAATTAGTTCATTAATTATTATTTTATAAGACTCGGAACATCACCCGTAAAATGCAATATTACTAGTGCAAATCAACATACGCGCCGATCAGTACGACACGGGCGCAATTTTGTAAAAGGGCTCTTAAGAAAGGCTAGAAAGAATTCGACACGGTCATCAGGGCCGCGGTAGCATAATGGTCAGTGCATACGCCAGGATAGTGAAGGGCGTGGGTTGGAGTCCCGTCTGCTGCCTGGTTCGCGTGGATTTATTTCTAGTAATATTTTCTTTAGATTTGAAAATCGAGCAGTTACATGCTTAAGGGTACGGTCAGAGTGCACTCAGTTTCAGATTCAGACTCAGAAAACAAGCGCGAGAAATAAACAGTGTAGTTAAAGCAGGGTGGCCATAGTGGCAGCAGGCAACCTGCTTAAACTACACTGTATATTTCTCGCGCTTGTTTTCTGAGTCTGAATATGAATCTGAGTGCACTCTGGCAGTATTTGCGGGCTATTTAAAACTTTACGGCTCTAGAGATAGGTCATTTCGCCAAGTTAATCTATGGTTAAACTTCTTCATACAAAAGTAGGCTCTAACTATCACAAAAACGGCTTAAGTCCCGTGGGTAGAGCGCCGCGATCGGGGCGTATGGTCAAATAATGACATTTAACTGCTAGATGTTTAAATCTGAAGAAAAGTTTACTAGAAAAAAATCCACGCGGACCAGGCAGCGGACGGGACTCGAAACCGCATCCTTCGCTATCCGGGCGAATGCACTGACCATTATGCTACCACGGCCCTATTAGCCGCGTCGAAATTTTCCTTGCCTTAAGCTGCAAGGCAGCGCCATTTCTTCGCATTGTAGGTAACCCACAATGTCAAATGAATACTTTTTCAAGTATTAAACATTTGAAAGAAGAAATAGCAATTATAGTTATGATTTTATTTATTTTTTAAGCATTTAACTGCTAGATGTTTAAATCTAAAGAAAAGTTTACTAGAAAAAAATCCACGCGGACCAGGGATTTTTTTCTAGTAAACTTTTCTTTAGATTTGACATAACTATTTAAATAACAGGTACAAGAAGCAGTGAACGCCGCAGCCAGTGCATCTGTAAAGATTATGTCCCAGCGAGGTGGGCCCCGGATACGATGGGTTCGCAAGTCTTACTACTGACGTGTGATGGACAATTTTCGATATCATACGATATTTTAAACTAAGCCAAAGTGGAGATTTTTATTTTTATATTGTATATTTTTTTTAATAAAATGACTACACTATATTTGTTTTTTTTATTTTACATAAATGCTACATTATCACAAGGTATATAAATATATATACTATTTCTTTTACTATTTATTACAACATACTATTACATTAAAAAAAAGACGGGTTGCACTCCGGGTGTGCCGGCAGAAGTGAAAACTTGAATATTAACGTTGTGCATTTTTGATATTTTGGAATAGTTAGGGAAATAATATTGCACGAATTGCTCTAATTATCAGTATAAAATTACTTTCAATTATATGGTAGAATTCAATATTTATTTATTGCGCTATCGTACACAAACGTGACAATTTATATTACATTAAAAAGTTTATATCTCAGAAAAATAAACTTACATAAATCACATTTAAGCGCACCTAGCGATATCTATCGTAAAAAAATGCATTTTCTTCGTAATAAAACACTCACCTGGACGTCCTAGATAGAGACTTATTATTATAATATGGTAAAATAAAATATTAATATGTTTCCTCCAATATGTTGAAAGTCAACAACCTTTCCAATTTTATTGTGTGTCATGATGCGATCAGCCCACGTGTTTAACCTGACGCGAGTTTAACATTTTATACCCATACAAAAAAGTGTACAACGCCGCTAAAGAAGTTTTCACTTCAAAAAAATATATAGTATTTAACTGCAAAATGTTAAGAGCAAGATTGAACCATTAACTGCTGCTTATGCGCTGGATTCATCTGCATACAGCGGCGGTGACTCCTTAATCGTTAATTTTATTTGTATTTTTAATATGTTTCTTTTGTTTTTTATTTAATTTTATTTTGTGGATTCAATTTACTAACACTAGATTTGTAAGCATAATTGTTACTAACCATTATGGATGAATAATCTAGAATAAATGTTATTATTATTATTATTGGTGCCGGTCACTAAGTGTCGCCGCACCGACCACAACTACAAAACGCCGCCACCGGCATATTTCTTGTAGTTTTCATACATTTTATATGGACTCGTCACACACGATACGCCGGTGGCCGCCACACGCTTAATGGCGCCGATACAAAACGCCGCCACACGTCACTCACGCGATTCCCCACCCCTCTCTCCCTTTCCTTAGTCGGCCGCTGTCGCGCGCTTCAGCCACTTTAGTAGCCGCTTCTAGCTTTTCGTGGCGGCGTTTTTGGCTGTGGCGTGTGATAGTGGCTCAATCAAGCCACAAGACGTAGCCACCGACCGCGCCGCCGAAATATCAATCAACTCAATCAAAGCTTGTACATGTGTTTAGTGCCTAGTGGCTCGAAGTTCAATTGCTTTTAAATCTAAAAAACTTTTTTACTAGAAAATGCTTAAGATGTATACCTTTCCTTACCCAGTCCCTGTAGCATGAGCACTACAATTTACATTATATCTCGTTTTTTAGTGCGGTATAAACGTGATATATATCATATCGCGGTGTTAATGCTAGGGGGGCAGGATACCTTAAGACCCCTTTCACATTTTATGCAAAAAATCGTAATTTTTGAGCGCCTCGTTTACCCCCTTAGAAAAGATTTTGACTATTTCTAATTCCTATTAGAAATAGTCAAAATCTTTTCTAAGGGGGTTTACTCCTGTAAACAGTACATCTATTCTTCCTATTGTAAGTTAATGTAGAATATTTGCAAATACTATTTTCCTTTTTTTGTACTGGTCGTTCTACTGCAGCTAGTTTACAGAAAAAACAATAATATGTACTACTTCAAACGCCTCAATCTCTCAATACCTAATGTACAATAAATTAGATCAAATTATTTTGAGCGCCTCGTTTACCCCCTTAGAAAAGATTTGGATTTTAAGAAAATTACCAATAGAAGTAAACAATAGATTTATTCTTCCTATTGTCAGTTAATGTAGAATATTTGCAAATACTATTTTCCTTTTTTTGTACTGATCGTTCTACCGCAGCTAGTATAAGGAAACAACGATAATATGTACAAATTCAAACGCCTCGATCTCTTAATAATGTACAATAAATTAGATCAAATTAATTACTAAGACATCAGAAATATGTTTTTGTTGTAACATAATGTATTAGAGTTTTGATTTTCCATCTCATTAATTATAAAAAAAACATCTAACCTCCGTGAGTTTTCTCAAAAAATTATGCAGGTTTACCTCGTATTTTGATATTGAATTAAATAGAATTACTATCAAAAACTTTTTTATAACTAATCTTGCATCATTGAACTACTGAAATATGTATATATTTTTCTAATTATTACATTAATAATTATTTTATAAGACTCGAAACGAACGTAGTAACATCTAGCTTCGCGCGGTACAGTACGGCAGAGGGGCGCAATTATGTAAAAGGGCTCTTAAATGAGAATGGAAATTCTGGAAAATCTGCAGAAATACGATTAAGTCCTTTGGTTAGTATTTTTGGTAATCCTGGATGAACCAGTAATATAGCATCTTATGTCTCAATTCAGGTAAAAAATCGTGTGTCAATTCAAATCTAAATCTGGTTGAACTTTTCTATCCTAGATCCTACATTAAACTACTTGACCGTCACTGAAAGCTTTATATTGAGATAGCACTTCCGTTTCCCGTCGAATTACCATCAGTTTCCGTACTTTTATTCACCTTATATCCGGTCCAGTGGCGACACCTGGCAGAAGCGCGGCCATTTTTGTTTTCCTAAGTTTTGCCAGCGCCATATTAACTCATTGGCGTTCTGACTCCCGTCAGTTTTTGCAGCCCTTGTGATAAGGGATATTTAAAACAAATATGTTAAATTGTGCAATACGCTTGTTTGAAAAAGTAATAATAAGCCGTGAGTAAAACTTAACGGCAATTCAAGGTGCGTTTTGTTTAAAAAATTAAAGTACCTACATTAAAGTAAATTTTGCAATACTTTACGTCTGTCTTCTCTTGGTATTCAATTAATGTTTCCGTATAAGTAAATGTGAAAGTAAATTGGTAAATGTATTACAAAATACTTAATTAAATTATTTTACAGTTTAGAGTGAAGGAATATCGGTCAATATTGACGTTTCAGCCGCCGACTGACTGGCATTATTGGCAAAAACAGCAAGATGTGTCGTCTTCTGGTATAACGAAAGCGGCATCGCTGCCTCAAGAAAAATAAGCGAGCTTGATATTCCAGCCCTTTTATTAAAAGATTGTTCGAGGGGTAAGTGAACTATGTACAATCTTAATAAGGTATTTCTAATGTCGATGTGCCGTTTTCTGAACATGGCCAGCTATCAATATCTAAAGGCTTATGAATAAAAAGTTCTAACATTTTTACTGACCAATACACGTAATAAAAATTCGCATATGAGTCGTGTGACTAAACTAGGATAAAGGAACGCTCTGTTCGAAAGACATTCAACGTTTATTTTAAATGATATGCTGATGTAAATTAAAAATTATAAACATAGTCCAGGCTTTATCAACCTGGAAACAAACAACGAGGTAAAGAAGTATGATGATAATTTATGATATATCACGTTCCTGACATTAATTTTCTTTCAGCAATTGCATATTTCTAAAATAAAAATGAATCATTGCGGGAAGGCACCTGCTCAGTTAATTTTAATAATGAAAGTGATAAGATAACAGAATCGTTTCTTAGGTCTTTTACAGCTAGCACAAAGCTAAAAAGTAAAAACTAAAGCACTGCAAGAAGTTAGTGATCTCTGTGATGAAGCACCACTTAATAAGATACCATCTATGAGGTTGTTTTATCGTATTAAGTAAGTATTTGTCATGGATTTAAGTGATTGACATTTCATTAACCTAATGAGCAACTCGCGCAGAGGCAAGTGATATTCATAAGCTTCATCTCATGAAGCCCAAGGCGTGTCAGGACATGCCCTCCCATGGCGTACCTACACATATGAGTACCGGTGGCAAATCACCCTCGCGGGGTGCATATTATATATAATTTGTTTCCACTACGTGGAATCTTATTAAATGCCTCTAATGCCTTGCCTACATATACGAGTACCGGCGGCAAATCACCCTCGCGGGGTGAATATTATGTACAATTAGTTTCTACTACGTGGAACCTTATGAAATGCCTCTAACGCCTTGCCTACATATACGAGTACCGGTAGCAAATCACCCTCGCGGGGTGCATATTATATACAATTTGTTTCCACTACGTGAAACCTTATGAAATACCTCTAATGCCTTGCTTACATATACGAGTACCGGTAGCAAACCACCTTCGCGGCGTGCATATTACGAAAACTCTGATGACCGCCCCTCGCGGGGGCATATTATGTATAATTTGCTTCCTCCGTATGGAACTCATTATGAATAAGGACTTGCCTTCCTTGGCTTGCCTACACATACAAGTATCAGTAACAAAACATCGTTGATAGAGAAATATCCTCATAAATTTTATAATCGCCCTTGTGGGGTCATATCACACATAATATATTATTTCCATTACGTGAATATCAATATATGTTCTCCTTAGAACATGTTCGCTTATGGAGTTCGTACTATTATGTAAGCACCGGTAACATACGACACTCGAGTGGAGCAAATTATGCATAATTTAACATGTAGTCTATTCGTGATTCATAATTTATTTTTGTGACCATGGGGTCTGTAAAAGTGTAAACGATTCGAAACATTAAAAATAAGTAAATTGAAAATATAATAAATGTCGCTTGACATAATTCATTACTTCCATCGCGTGGAAATCCATACATCAACGCAACGCAACATACCCGCTCATGGCTGTTGAGGAAGTGGATCGTAGAAAGGAAAGACAATCAGCTCGTAATATTTAGTTTATGTAGTCCCAATCACATTACATTTTATTATAGGTATAGACCGTTGACGTATTTGCAAAAGTCCTAGAATGAAGTAACGGTGACATAGAGAACAGGCCATCGAGTCGCGCTAACAAGAAGGTTTTACATAAAATCATAACTTCAACACACCTCCTTGATTTTATAGAAAACAACAAAAACAACTTAATACCAATATAACAATTTAAAATAATAATAAAAGGACTTAACAAAAACATAAGACTATCTGTCATTAACATTTCATTTG